TCAACGTGTGTCCCGGTGTCCCCCTCCCTCCCCTCCCCCCTCCTCTGTTGCTTCCCTCTCACACACACCCAAGTTCCAGTTCCAGTTCCAGCTTTAACCCTCCGGTACGGTACTCTTCCGGACACACACACACACACACACACAAGACGCAAAGGTCGGTTGGTGGCATCTCAGATGAACATGAACCACCCAAGAAGCGGCTGAATTCCAATTCCAAGACCAGACGATATAGTTAACGAGAGAGCACCATCACACAAACTGACTGGATACAGCACATTAGTCTTAAGAGAGAAAGCACACGGTCCGCCTTGTCAACAGACACAGGCATACGAACACTCGCCTGTTAAGTTTGGGTTTTGTGTCTGAATCAATCCCTTTTGGATCTCTCCTGTGACGGAAAGCGTTTTCCCGTGGAAAGCCGAAGGATACGACACCATACCCTACCGGCCCGTTACTATTCCAAGAACTGCGTCGTATGAGCTACAGCACGACAGAAATCTCCATCCCGACGACGGTACCGAGCAAGTAGCACTACGGACTACAAAGATACCTCCACCCGACGCCTCATTGCCCTTTCTCAGCAAGACAGAGAGAGCATCGCACGTGGTTGAGCGACCGCCACCACCACTAACACCACCAAGACGGACCACGCGAGTAGCAGAGGAAGTATCAGCCAGCCTTCCGATCCACTTTGTTGCCGAGGACCCTCCTGGATCAAACCACCTTTTTTCTACTCTTCTTCAGCTTGCATCTCACCACTACACCTAGACACAGACTGGAAAACCGATGCCTCTACCTCTTTCAGGGTCCGGCATCACCCGCTCGACCTTCTTTGTTTCTGAGGATTGTTGTCGCAAACTTTCGAATAACAACAGCAGAGTGTACGTTTCCGAACTCGATATCGATTCTGCAGGCGGCAGCAAATCGACGACACAAACAGCTGCGCGGCGGCCAAGATCAGGAGACCTCCGAGCTACCCCTTTCGAGTCCGAGCCGCGTATGCCCAGCCTTTTGCCCCTTGCGGGACAAACAATGAAGCCACTCGACAATTCTTCCGCATAAGAGAGTCGCCTTATATATCAAACACACAGAAGCAAAAATCAAAAGCAAACTCCTCAGCTGACCTGTCACGTCGCTTCACGATACATACCAAGATTCCAGGGATTACATCTATCTACCTGTACTGAGATTAGGTAGGGGGGCGAACAAAGAAAGAAAGGTGACAGAAAAAGAAGAAAAAGAAGGGAAGGATGGTTACAACGACGAACGGCATACCTCTACCGACCACAATTATCATGAACACAGCAACAACAAGCAATTACAGTAACAGTAATCGACAACAGCCTCATACCACTCAGACTCATCCTCGATCGATCACTACCGCCGTACCGGTTTCACTACCGTCGCAGAATACCTGTACAGGGGCGCAGCATACCCAGCATCAACGTCAACAACACACTGTTTCCTCAACGTCAGCTGGTCAGCAGCAGCAGCAACAATCATATCCAACTACGATTCCTCCTGCCGTCAACATGTCATCATCAGTAATGGGAGGTATGTCCTCTCTCTCACCTTCAAGCGCGCATCAACAGAATAACAACTTCCGACGAACAAGTGTCGCCTCGTCAATAACCACCGCCACGCTAGACGACGACCAGATGGCAACTCCGATGTCCACTCCACGAAGTACCGATCCCAATAACAACAACAATCTCTACGGACCAGGACCAACCAGCATGGGACTAGACATGGGAATGCTTGGAGGAGGAGGCGGAAACATGAACGGACTATTGGGAGGAATCGGATCCGGAATGGTTGTGGGCAGCAGCAGCAGTAGTGCCGGCAACAACCTCCACCAACAACAACAACCCATCACATCAGTTTCTCACATCAACATGGTCTCCCTAAGCAGCATGCCCACGAACCTCCATCCCATGTCTACCTCGGGTGGTTTTCCCAACCTACCTCTCCCCAACATCAACATGCCCATCTCCATGCCCAGCCTCACCAGCATCAACAACATGAACATGTCCCCTCACCACAATCACACTGGAACCCATCATGCGTACACCCAACACCCACATCAGCACCAACACCACAACACCGGGGGCGGAGGAGGAGGACAAAAACCCATCCGTCGCCGCATGCGCATGATAACCTCCTGCCTCGAATGCCGTCGACGTAAGCTCAAGTGCAACAAGTGCAAGCCGTGCGTTAACTGCCAGAAGTTTAATCGCGAGTGTCTCTACCTGGGTCCCAAACTGGACGAGGCGTCGCAGATGCGACTTACCGAAATCAAAGAGCAGGTTGGCAGCTTGGAGCGAGCGTTGGAGAGGGATGTTGCCAAGGGCGCTGCTTCTTCTTCCTCTCATCATCTAGACAAAGGGGGTGGATTCCGGATGGTGGGCATGGGCATGGGCATGAGGAGGGGGAGTTGTATCTCCCTTTCTCATAGGGACGAGAATGGAGATGGAAGTGGGGAGGAGGGGGAGCTGGGGGAGGAAGGGGATGAGGATGGACATGATGAAGGAGAGGAGTATGCGGAATCTACGCCTTTTGTGACGGAAGATGTGGCGTATGATGAGAATGAGACGGATGATCTTATTGACCTGGGGATACAGGTGGGCAAGATGAGGATCACAGAGAGGATTGGGGGGATGAGTAGACCGAGGTTAGCGGAGGAGGTGAGTACCTTACCTACCTTGAGCGATTCTTTTGGCGGAAAATGGGAGGGGAAAGATGCTAATGAGTGCCTGGTAATGACAGATCTCGGTCGGTATCGGAAGCCCTCGCATGGGAGGGAACTCGTCCATCCCGGGCAACCCTAACGGAGTGCACCAGCTGGACACAGACATGAGCTACGATGCCACCGACCTTTCAGGATATCACACGGTAATTGACCAAGACGGAAACATTGAACACGTCCCGGACTTCCTCCGTCCCACGGCGGCATACATTCCTCCTACCAGCGGCTTCTTCTTTGGTCAAACCGGCCATCCCCCTTCACTCCTCCATCTCTTGCCACCCAAGTTCGTTGGTGACGGGCTCTTGGCTCGATACTTCGCCGCCGTGCACCCTATTGCCCGATGTGTGCACAAGCAGTCCTTCCAAACCCTGTACGACGGGTTCTGGCTAGAGATCCTTAACAACATCGAGCCCAGGGCGTCGGCGCAGGCCGTGGTGTTCGCTGCCTGGTTCAGTGCTTGCGTGAGTATGGAGGAGGAGGAAGTGCTGAGGGAGTATGGGGAGTACAAGGCCAAGTTGCTAGAGGCCATGAAGATCGGGACCGAGATTTCGCTGGCGAGGGCCAACTTTTTAAGGACGACCAAAGTTGAGACGATGCAGGCTTTTGTCATGTATATGGTGAGTTTTGCCTTAAAAGAAGTGAAGAGGTGACATACTAATAACGGGCCACAGATCCCCCTCTGCAGAGAAGAAGTCTCCCGGGCTCACTCCGTCCTTGTCGGAGCCGCCGTTCGCATGGCCGAATGCATGGGCCTCCACCGAGACGGCGAAGCCTTCGGTCTCAACCCCTTGGAAACCCACGTCCGCAGACTCATCTGGCATCAACTCTGCTTCCTCGACATCCGGACCTGCGAAGCCCAAGGTCCCAAGCCCGCCATCCGACGAGACGACTATGACACCCGCCTCCCCCTGAACTGCGAAGAAGACGTCTTCGTCAATAATCATCCCGGCTACCCTGTCGTCCCGCAAGACCATCAATGGACTTCCTCCCTGCTGACCATCATGCGCTTCGAAGTCAACCAGATGATGCGCGTCATCTGGTCCGACCGCCGCAAGCTCGAGACCCGCAAGATGGAACTGCCGCCCGTCATCAGCAAGATCGAGAACTTCCGCAAGCGCATGCTAGAAAAGTACACACCGTTGTTAGACGACCGGGTTCCCATCCAGCGCTACACCAGATACGTCATGAACCTGCTCATCTACCGACTACACGCCATGGTATTGCACCCTTACCACAGCAACACGCCGCACCCATTGACGGAGCGCATGAACGGGATTCTCATCGAGAGCGGCATCATGATCATCGAGCACTCCATCGCCCTCGAGACCACGCCCGAGTTCCGCGAATGGGCATGGTACCTGGGTGCCTACCAGCAATACCAGATCGCCCTCTTGCTCGCCACTGAGATCTATTATCGGCCCAACAACGACAGGGCCGATCGCATCTGGGCGTGTCTGGATTGGGTGTTTCAGCTGGAACGCGACATGCCGAGACAGGAGAAGAGTCTGAGGATCTTGACGGAAATCCAGAGCAAGACCAGTGTGTACGCTAATATGCGCAAGATGCGCGCCCCGACCGACCTCGTTAGGGCGGTACCCGGCAAGCAGGCCATTAAGGAATCGCCTCCGCCGCCGACGCCGATGATGCAGACGTCGAGTCAGTCGTTGACGTCGAGCCAGTCGTTGCAGTCTTCGCAGTCGTATGATGGTCATCAACAGCAGCAGCATGTTCAGCAGCAAGCTCAGGCCCAGGCTCAGGCCCAGGCTCAGGCCCAGGTTCAGGCTCAACACCACCATCAACAACAGATGATGATGCAGCAACAGCAACCCCTAGTCCTCAAACAAGAACCAGGTCTTCAAACACCAACAATGCCTCCATCCTCTTCGATGTCCATGTCCGCCGCCGCGGCAATGGCATCCATAAACACCCTCTCTCTTCCTCCATCCATGAACGGTTCCCTCTCTCCCGCTGAACATCATCATCATCAACATACCAACACCTATTGCCCCAAAACGGACAAGAACGATAAGAAACAAACTTCCACTGACAAGACCCTCAGATAGCATGGACTGCAACCTCTCTGACAACAAACAACAACAACAACAACAGCAGCAGCAGTTGCTTTTACTCCAACAGCAACACCACCAAGCCCAGACACAGGCTCAACATATCCACGCCCAAGCCCACGCCCAAGCCGCTCAGCACTCCCAACATCCCCATCACACCCATCAAGCGCACCAGCACGGGCAACACGCGCAACACCAACACCAACACCAAAGCCAATGGTCCAACCAACACAACAATCACTGGCAAAATAACATGCCGCCACCGAACATGGTTTACGCAGGCGTGTCCGATGGTGCAGTGCTCTGGGGATTACCTCCGGGAAATCCCGGGAGTCCAGAGAATAGTAGTGATGGGGGGAGTGTGGTGAATGTGAATCAACATGGTAATTCCCAACAAGGAGGAGGAGGAGGGCAAGGAGGAAGGAATGGAAGTATTGCTGCTGGGAATGGAGGTGTTCCTGGTGGCTCTGGTGCTGGTAGTGGTAATGGGAATGGGAATGATAGTGGTGGTGGAGGAGGTGCTGGTAATAACAATGGAGGGCAAGGAGCAGGAGGGACGGGGTTGCGAGGAGAGGGATCAGGATCAGGAGGAGGAAGTGTTGGAGGTGGTGGTGCTAGTGGTGGGCGAGGGACGACGACGATAAGTGGTGTTGGTGGGATGAATGTTGATTGGGTATGTTTCCCCCTTTTGTTATTTCTTACCTTCCTTCATCGTTGACCATCTCCTTCACTCACCTATTTGCCATGTTCACTCTTCCTTATCCATACCGTCGTACTACCACGCATAATGCACATCACTCATACTTCCCCATCCCTTCTCTTCAATCCCATCACTCACACTACCCTTCTAACTCCCTCCCGTTCCCTCACCCTGATCTCCCTCCATGCTTTTTTCTGGTGAAGATAGGTACTAAAAACCCCCGTCCGCACACAGAACCTAATAGAATCCCTCTTCCCAACCCATCCCGAAACAGGCCAGCCTTCTTTCCAAGCCTTCGCCGAACCTGTCATCTCGTTTGTGGACGGCGTTCCGGTTCCTACCATGCCTTCTTCTCAGCACCACCCACAACAACTCCAACAGCAACAACAGACACAACAACAACAACAACAACAACAACAACACCGGGTACAGGAACACTCCGGATCGGTGGGACAGAGGCAGGGGCAGGGACATGCTTCTCAGACGAGACCTGTGAGGGGAGGACAAGGACAAGGACAAGGAGGGCAGGGGTTGAAAGGAGAGGAATAAGTGGACGGGCGGGGTGCGGTGGTTGAAAGATAGTGAGGTGATGGCAGTGTGGAAGACATACGGGAGTTGGGAGCGGAAGTCGTGAAAGGGATGGGGAGAGGATAGGCAGGGAAGGAATGAATGAATGAAGCAAAGTAGTTTGGTTCGTTGTTGATGCAACTCGGCGCGATGATGAAGAAAGGGACAATATTGGGCGTATATGTAGGTAGGCAATTGAACGGAATAGTAAAGTTGAGTGTGTGTGCGTGTGTCGAATGTTGATCGATTTCCTCCGAGTGTGTGAGTGCAGGGCAAGGCGAGACGACCTTGTGACCGAGGCGACTGTGATTGTGATGTGATACCGACGGACCGATGGACGGACCGCCCGGCCTCGAGCATAAACAGATTTTATTCAATGGTTGAATGTATCGAGATCGAGTTTGTATATGTCCACAAGAAAAGAAAAGAATATCCGTCATGCGCATGGGTATATACGCCCCTATCCACCTCCCCTCCCCCCTCCCCCCCTTCCCTTTCCCCTTTCCTCATTCCACTCACCACCTCACCACCTGAGATCTAGGAAACCTAATGATGCAACCCCTGCCTCAACTCCCTCCTCCTCCTCACCTGATAACTATCCGGCTTATCCCTCTCATAAAGCTTCGTCCGCCAATCCACCAGTTTCTGCCTCGTAGCCCTCGCCACTTCCGGTCCATAATGTCGTTCCATGCACTGAATGAAATACTTGAGTCTGGTCTCCCGTCCCGGTCTACCCATGACCAAGTCCTTTGTGACAACTTTATAAAGCGCCATCAGGACGTCTGCACTTAAGCCCTGGTTCCAGGGGTTGGGTTGATGGATCTGGTCAGGGTCGGCGACGCCGCCAGACTCGCTGTCGGAGAAAGAGGAGAAGGAGTCCTTGGAGGAGTCCAGCGTGTGTTGCACCGTAGACTGGATGTCATGATCCGTTAAACCGCCCATGCCGCGCGCGGCTTTGATGGCTTCGACTTCTTCGAGGTAGCTGATGGATTGTTGCATCAGCCGGTACTTTTGTCTATCAGAGAGGTGTTCTACACTGGCAAACAAAGGTGCGATTTGGGCAACGACGGCGGCGCGCCTGTCACCTAGGTTTCCGTGTAAGTTCATTCGTCGCCTTTGCTCCTCTGTCGTCAGGGCGCCGGGGTCGAAGGCCTCCTCGAAGCGCGGGATGTCGAGGACTTTCCAGATGGTGCCGATTTTGATGGTCGGGTCGGCGATGATGGCTTTGGCGTACTTGAGGTAGACGTGCGTGCTGAAGGAGGCGTTCTTATCACCGTCGTCCATCTTGGGCGGGAGCTTGGAGTTTATTCTTCTTTCCATCTTTTCCCGCCACACGGGCCCGATCGGTTTCTTTTTCCAGGAGTAGGCTTCCCAGATGCGGCGCATCTTGAGGGCGACCTTGTGGTCGTCGCAGAGATAGGCGAGGTCTTCGAGAAGGGTGCGGTTGATGAAGCCTCTTTTTGCGAACTTCTTGAGGGCACGGGGGAGGTGGTGGACTCGGCTGAAGGAGCGGAGGATATGAAACATGCTGGTGTACAGAGCCGCATGATTGAACACTGGTTCGGACTCGTAGATGGCTAGGGCAAGACACGCGAGCTGGCTGTTGTCGAATCCTACTTGGTGTGCCTCGTGCTTGTGTCTGTATACTCTGGCTGTGAGGAACCGTCTCTTTAGCCGGTCTCGACTGGCCCAGTGAAAGAGCATCAAAGAGCACATGTGGAAGTTGCCCAAGTGCTCGAGGCTCTGGGGTACCGTCTTGAAGGCGTCAAGGGCATCACAAAGCAGTTGGGTGTTCACTCCGTCCATCTGGGCAAGCACAGAGAGCCAGTTGTATACTACCGGACTTCCCAGACCCTCTGGACTGGAGCCGAGTTGTAGAACGAGTTCGGTGGCTGCATCAAACAGAATACTAAACTTGTGTGGAGAGACGGCTTCTAAGGCCGCAGAGACCCATCGAACATGAAGACTGTTTCTCTGAGGGTTCTCCTGTCTGGAACGGACGTTGAGCGCAAACAGCACGGAGTCGACGCAGCTGATTGAGTGGGGGTCTGGTGGAGGCCACTCCAGGTACAGATCTTGATTTGGGTCAATCTCCTTGTCCTCCTCAACCTCATGGAAATTGACTTCCTCTAAATCGTTGTTGTCAAAGTCGCTCTCGTCGACATCTTTTTCGTCAACACCCAACTTGGCTTTATCAGCCTGGCTCAGTTGACCGCCCGCAGCGCCTTCCCCGAGATCTGTCGTTCCTGGCGGTTGAGCAGCCCATCCGACGAGAATTCGTTCCAGGACAGCTAAGATTCCTTCCATACCCTTCTTAATACCTGGCTGAGATACGGTGCGCATTCCCCAGTAGAACAGGAAATACAGCTCGTTGCCGAGTTCGAGTTTGGACATCCACTCGAAAAACTGACGCCAAAAGGCAGGTTCAATGGCGTCTGGGTTGAGAATTTCGGAACTCCTGACGCCGTCAACAATGGCTTTGAGGAATACAGCCAATTGTGCCTGTGTCATGTTGTACAGTGCCTGGTAATGAGTTTGCATCAACTCCTCGTCTTCGCCCCATCTCTCCTGTATGGTTCGGATAAGTTCATGTGAGATAGCTCTGAGTTCTACGGCTGAGATCTCGCCAAGGGTGATGTTTTGCTGGAGTTTGGCGCATATTGGACTGAACATTTCCGCAAAGATGGCCAGCGGTTCTGTGAATGCCGCATGTAGACGTTCTACGTCTTCTCGAAGACTTAGATATTGTGCTGATGGTGTATCCGATACCTCCTCCAATATTTCTTCTTCCGCCTCTTCTTCCGGGACGGCTTCTATTCCTAGAGTTTCCAGCTCAACGTCCCTCTCCATGTTTTCGAATTCATCAGGCATCGTTTGTGCCAGGGCGTCCGAAAACGACTGGAGATCATCTCTTCGATCTCTTGCCAGCGATTTTATGTTTATCTTCTCTGGGTCTTGAAACCATGATGGTAGTTTGACAGCCGAAGGATCGGTATCCTCTGCTTTTGTAGGTTCTGCTTCCTCCGGTGGTTCTAGCGATGACCACTGTTCCATAAAGTCCTCTGTGCTTATCCAGTTATCTTTGGGTTTTTGGTTCTTCGGGCCGGTTTCTGACTCTGGAACCGTTGTAAAAAAGCCTGAATCGTCGAAGACGCCGGGGGTAGTTGTCGAAGTCGCAGTCCCGAGGTCTACTGCGAATGGGCTGTCCACTGCTCCATGTAAGGGCTCCTCTCCCCAAGGTATATCTTGCGGAGCGGAGTACTCTGTCTTATCTGGGCCTTCTAGTTCGTCTTCTGCCGACCATTCTGGCTCATCTTCTGCCAGCCAATCTGGCGTGGAAGTCGCAGTCTCTAAATCTACCGCGAACGAGCTGTCGACCGCCCCAGGTAATGACCCCTTTTCCCATGGTTTTTTCTGTCGGGTCGAGTGCTGTGTATCCTCTGGGGCTTCTTCTGCCGGCCAGTCTGGTGTAATTATTTGATAATCGGAGTGCTCCAAGGTATTTGTGTCTTGCGCTTTTGGGTCCCAAGTGAAATCGCCTGTTTCGCCGAAGATGTCGGATTTTGTTTTCGAGTGACTGTTGTTCGCAACCCTCACAATGGGAGCCTCTGGGTTTTCCTGCGAAGGCCAGCCTTCAAATGGTATTTCGTGTTGTATCGAGTACTGTGTATCCTCGAAACTTTCTGTTTCCTCTTGTGCTGACCATGGTCCATCATCTTCGTCCTCGGCCGAGTTCTGGGTATCCTCGAAGTCTTCTATTCCCTCCTGTATCGCGCATTGTTCGAGGAACTGTGGTGTTATCGGTTCATTTTTCGACTGTCGCAAATCTTGATGCGCCGTCCAACCGCTGACAAAAAAGTCGGCATTGTCGTCGCATAAGTCAGCGGTCGCAGAATTACCGGACGCAATCGCCATGTGATCAAAGGCGACATGTTGCGCCGAAGCTGAAGATGGCGGCTCCCATTTCCACTGACTCAGGTCAACTGGGTAAGGGAAGGCCCATGGTGGTGGAGTGGGCGGACATTGTATGGCGTTGAGGTCTGCGAGGTTCCGTTTCCCCAGCCGGCGACGGGCCTCAAGCGGGCCGGGCACGCTCCCCACCGTCCTCCGTGTGGTCTGGACAAAGCTGGCGAGATGTGGGAACTCGGGGGCGGAGGCGATCAAACACGGAGGGCCGGTCGGGAGTGGGCTTCGGGGGATGGACGGGATTCGCGGAGTTCGACTCAGCTGGAGTAGACGGCAGCAGTGGGAAGTTTGTGGAGTCATGAGTGGGAGTGGACTCGGAGCGGAGGAGGAGGGAGGAGACTCGACGGGGAGCTTGACTCGCGTTCACGGGCGGAGGAGGAGGTGGTTGTTGGGGGATCCCAGCCTGGGGAGATCCATCGGAGGGGGGACGTGCTTTGAAGATGGTGGAGGATGTCGACTGCCGAGGTGTTTGATATAGCAATTAAAGAGATATCATAACAGAGGAAAGCAGAATTGGTGTTGAAAAGAACATGGCGAGACTACAGCGACGACACAAGAGAACAGCCTGGTTTCTAGAGTGTTCGCATTCGTGAGGGGGAATAGTGGATATCAACTTTTTAGTTTGGCATTTCGGGCAGGCCCAGACGGGCAACGGCGCGGCATCTCCAAGCAAAGCTGTAGCGGGAGCTGAGGGGGAGCTGTGTCTGTGGCTGAATGGTACCTGCATTCTCGTCTGAACTTGGGGTACCTGTGGCTTGCACTGACCTTCCAATTCATCCTAAACTCATAGCCCAAGAAATGGAGAAAGCGGGGGAAGGTCCTTCTAGGGAGGGACAAGAGGGGTAAATTTAGTGGAAGCATCGATTGTACCAGGGGTTGCAATTGGCAGCAGATCGACCCCGCAAAACCGCGGGCCCAAAAGAATGGAGCTCCACTGAAATTCAGAAGCCGGGGCCAGGCCGGCGGGGGGCCGAGCTTCAATTGCCCGCTGGCGGTTGCTCCTCTAGTTCGGGCAGTCTGATATCACCAGTTCATTGGAATTATGGCGGGGGCTTCTCTCTGTCTCTTGTCCCTGTCCACTGCCTTGGTTGCCTGGTACATTCACAACAAGTCGACAAACAAACACAAGATGGCTTCCCAATTCCCTCCTCTCAAGAATGACTTGTTGCTCCGGGCCGCCCGTGGTAAGTTGAAAAATTCTGATAAAAATGAAGATGAAATTTCAGAGTCATCCCATATGTCATATTCACATGAAATCTCACTAACACACTTGTTCTCCTCGCAGGCGAGACCGTTGAGCGTCCCCCTATCTGGGTGATGCGCCAGGGTAAGAAGTCACTTACACATTTACTCACTCTCACTTCAAACATCACTCTAACACTTTCCCACAGCCGGCCGCTACCTCCCCGAGTACCATGAAGCCAAAGGCGGGCGTGACTTTTTCGAAGTCTGCCGCGACCCCGAGATCGCCTCTACGCTGACCCTGCAGCCCATCGAGCGGTACGCGGGCCTGATCGACGCAGCCATCATCTTCTCCGACATCCTCGTGATCCCGCAAGCGATGGGCATGACCGTCGAGATGGTGGACAAGAAGGGTCCTCACTTCCCGGACCCTCTGCGCTCGCCCAGCGACGGACAGTACGCCGAGCTGATGAAGCGCGACGTCGACGTGGCCAAGGAGCTCGACTACGTGTACAAGGCCATCACGCTCACGCGCAAGAAGCTCGACGGCCGCGTCCCACTGTTCGGGTTCACCGGTGCCCCCTGGACGCTGCTGTGCTACATGGTGGAGGGCGGCGGCACCAAGCTGTTCAAGGAGGTCAAGACGTGGATCTATAAGTATCCGGAGGAGACCAAGGCGCTGTTGCAGAAGATCTCGGAGCTTTGTGTCGAGTATTTGGCGCTGCAGGTTAAGGCTGGTGCTCAGGTATTTCTCCCCCTACATCCAGCTCTTCATTTTTCACCCGCGCACTACTAACGGATCATAGATCATCCAAGTCTTCGACTCCTGGGCCGGCGAGCTCTCCCCCTCCTCCTTCAAGGAATTCTCCGCGCCCTACCTTACTTACATCGCCAAGCACCTGCCCCTTCGCCTGAAGGAGATGGGTCTCGAGCCCGTGCCCATGGTCGTCTTCCCCAAGGGCGCATGGTACGCCCTCGACGCCGCCTGCGACATGGGCTACAACGTGGTTGGCCTCGACTGGCTGCACGACCCCGCGGAGGCCGTCAAGATCGTCGGTGACAGGCCCATGGTCATCCAGGGTAACGCTGACCCTGGCGTCCTGTATGGCTCCCACGAGGCCATCACCAAGGTTGTCGAGGAGATGGTCCGGGGCTTCGATTGGCATGGCAGACACAAGGGCTGGATCGTCAACTTGGGCCATGGCATTACGCCGTTTGTGAACCCGGATGACCTCAAGTTTTTCTTTGAGGAGATTCATCGGTTGACCAAGACTAAGGCTTAGGAGATCTTTAACTTGACTCCTATGCCGACTTTCGGTGGCGTGTATAAATAACAATAAAATGGCGTTGATGTATGAAGAAAAAGATCTTGTATATCCCTCAGTCAGTTGCTCAAATCCAACTCCAACGTCTGTTTCAAATGCCCGTCTACAAAGCATTACCAACGGTAGCCAAATCAACAACAGCCCAAGATAACAGCCACCCAACCCGCCCTCCAATACTCTTACAAACTCCCTGACTCCTAACATTATCCACAAAAACGTCTGCTGCTCCCCACCCGTCGTTGCCGTAATCTCTGATGTGATCCGTCATGACTTTGCAGGCTACTGCCTTTGCTAGGCCTTTTCCGCGGTATTGATCCTGTTGTCGTTTTTTGTCAGCTTTATCCTCGTTGTTTTTTCGGTTGTTTTTTCGGTTTGTCTTTTTTCTTTTTTTTTTTTTCTCTGCTCGTTCACTCGTCCTCCTTTTGCGTGCAGTAAAAATGGAAGGGGAAGTGAACTGGTTGAAAGGGAAGAGGAAAAGGGGGCGAGAAAGGAAAAAGAAAACAAACCTCAACATGCAAAGTCATCAGCGTCCCATCAAGCGCCATGAATCCCCAAGCAACCATCTCCCCTTCCTTGCCCTTTTCCTCCCCATGCCCAATACCCTCTTCACCCCTCTCCCCCCCACCAGTAATCTTACGAATAGCAACACTAGGCAACCCCAAAAGTGTATCCTCCTGCCTCTTAATCGCCGTCCTACTCTGCACCAACCTCACATCTTTTGGGGTTCTCACCGAATCCCACACCAGCCCTTCTTCCGCCATCGTCTTCTCCAGCAAAGCTTCCTTCTCTGGCGAAAAGACGAGTGATTCAGTGCGGAATAACCACTTCTGGCAAACTTCCCAGTCGATATCATCGGGTATGTTTGCTGTTTTGTGCATTTTGACGGTATGTCCAAGGGTTGGGTTGGGGGAGAGGAAGAGGCGGTGGCGGTGGATTTCGGCTAGGGAACCGATCATGACTTTTGGCCCTTGTTCTGGCCCGGGCCTTGGTTCGGAGTCGGAAGTGGTAATAGAGGGGGAGGGGGTGTTCATGCACAAATACTCCCTAGCCCCCATCCAGTTCTTCTGTCTTGTCTCAGCCATCGCCCCCTCGCCGAGACCTTCTAGGTGAACAGGCATTTGTTGAGCGATAGTTTTCATCCTTCTCAACAGCGCCAACAGATACCCATCACACTCCCTCGCCTCTTCCTCCGGCAAGCTATGCGACCCAAACACGTCCGCGGAAGAAACACCGGTGCCTGGGCCAGCCTCGGGATCAAAAACCCCATAATCCTCCAACGAGGAATAAACCCAGACTTGCGTCTCAGGAAACCTGCTCAAGTCCACAAAGGCAGCTGCGAAGTGCTTCCTTTCTGGCTTTCCTTCTCCCTTCCCATCCGCCTTCCCTTCACGAGTGGCCAAGCACTCCTCAACCGAAAACCTGGAAGCATAAAGTACATGACTATAAGGCGTAGTTCCCAGGCCGTTATCGGGAAAATTCGCCGCGTATTGAAGACGGCGGAGGACGGGGAGGGAGTGCGGGAGATGTTGAGAGAGGAGGGTTAGAAGGGAGGAGGAGGGGAGGGGGGTGTCGAGGAGGTGGAGTCCTTCTTTGGTGATTGTCATTTTGCTTCGAAGTGCTCTGGAATGAAGAGGTTGTGTGGTTGGGTTTGTTGGTGCTGCTGGTGCTGATGTCGTTCGGTTGATGGTGAGGAATATTGTAAAGTGATATTTTCGTTGATGTCGGTGGTGTTGTGTTGGTGGTATTTTCTTTCTTTTTTCGGGTTTGGAAAATTTCAAGATTCGGGTATTTCCGAGACAGTGGGAACTCTTCTGCTGCGTACAAATGTATTGTGTGCTCAAAAGCGGGAAGACTGAAGTCTCGTTCCCCTCTGTCAACTTTCTCAGAAAGAGAATGGAGAAAGAAATGAAGTTGTCGTTGAATAGGTACTTAAGTGATTGTTGTTGTCGTAGAAAGTCCTCGTGAAGTTGTATCTAAATCCTTCAAAATAGTCACAAAAGTGGGCCTATCAGATACCGACATCGAAGAGTCAGAAAGTGAAAAGGGTTGCACCGACAACATCGAACTATTGAACGGATACCAAGCGGTTATAGGCAGGTGTAATGTCTCTTGTCTCCGTCTCTTTCTCCGGCGAAAAGTAAAGTTCTTCAACATGAAACAGAAACTCCCGACAAGCATGAGTCATCACTTATATAGAGAGAAATTAGTGATGTTGGCCGACAAACCGCCAACCAAGAAACAGATATATCGTAGCATTCAAGTCATGAAAGCCTAGCGGCCCCCAAAAAATGTAGAAATAAACCCATGAGTGGTGAAACTTTTTGAAAACTCCCTTTTTTTCCCTCGCCTGTATCAATGTCAAGGCTTCCCTTTTGCCGTGCTGCGTTCAGCACATCCGTCATAAACCATTCGTTCCAAAAAAATCCCTAATGAAAAAGAGGAAACCCCCATTGCCATGCGACACGGCAGGCATTCCTGACAAATTCCAAGCCATTATAATCCGAGTAATCCCATAGCCCATTAACGCCAAATTCCCTTGGGTATAAACAATGTGATGAATCAAAGAAATCCCACCTCCCGCGAATAAGCAGACGTCGGTACGTTGGCGGTTCGGAGGAAGGTTGGAAGAGGATCGTGGGTGTCGTGACAGCAGCTGTCATCGGCTTGAGGTTAACTCCAGCTCGGGTCTGGCCGAACACCATGACACCACCGCAGTCTCCCAGCGTCCACTCCAGTTGTATTCCCCTCTTGTCCTCAACTGCACCTAAACCCAACCGCACCAAAAATCAACGCCCCTACGACGAGCTATTCCCACTCTTCCTCTCCGAGCTGCGCTCAGTCTTCTCATTAGTCTTGTCCTTCTTCCCAAACAAGAAATTCTTGCCCTTCTCGGCCCACCCGAGGTCGGACTCGCTCTTCTCGCCCTTCTTATGACCTTGTCTTTCGGCGACAGCAGTGTCCTTATTCACCTTATTTTCCTTGTGGTGATTACTTCCACTGCCGTGATGGCCATTATGTGTTCTCGACGGGTGCAGCAGGTTGTGCAAGTGCAGGTGGTTCTCGTCTTCCTTTTCGACTGCAGAGTTCCCGTTCTTTCGGGCTTCGCGGGCGGCTTGTGCGTCTTCGGCCGTGAATACGTTGCCTGTGCCGCCACGGCCGATATGCGTGGCGCCGAAGGAGTCGCGGCGGACGACACTGTGAGACAACAAAGGTTAATGGTTGTTCGGGATAGGGTGTGGAGGTATGTAGAAGGGAGGTACACATACGGCTCAACATCTTGCCTCTTCCTTGTCTCAACGGGATCCGAGTTCTTCGCCATGTTACCGGTTCCGCCGCGGCCAGTCGTCACCATGGCCGTCTTGAGGGTTGGCGTTTGCAGGTCTTCGGGCTGGATGCGAGGGGACTTGGAGCTGTCTACTATGTTGCCGGCGCCGCCGCGGCCTGATGATTGGAAGTGGCCTGTCATTGTGTTCTCGTCTCGACTGTGTGATGTTGTATGGTATGGTATGAGTTGCCAAAATTGAGTGGTTGCGTCAAAGGTTTTTGACGACACACGGGGGACGATCGCGTCTTATGCAGCGTCTCTGACGTAGGAAGAACTTGGGGTTGCAGACGGGTTGTTTGTTGTATATATGTCGGTCGTCACGAGGGAGTTGACGATTGGAGAAGTTGGAGATGTGCTGGTATGTAAGGTATGCTTGGTATGCGCGGGTAGTACGGCTGATATCTTTATGACTCGGGCGGTTGATTGTCCAAGAAATGAAATGGATGTGATTGAAGAAGTCCCAACTCTGGGAATAGAATGCGTCTTATATTCGTACCACTGTTCTTTGTTCCTGGTTCGAAGCAAATCGTGTTGGATTGTCGTTTTCGGTTTCTTGTCACACTCAGACCTCAATGTATGGCGGGGACACTTGGGAGGGAGGGGTGCAGAGGAGGGTAGGCAGGGGTGGTCGAAGTGGGCAAAACCCTTCCTTTTTCAGTTCAGCCCAGCAGCGGACAAGCCGGGGCAGGCAGCTCCCTCACTGGACCTCACAGGGCACCGCATGATCAAAACGTGCTGTGACATGGAAACCACCACCCCCGAACAGCACAACAAGGATCTTCTTAGCCCGCCTGCTGCCAAAAGTCGATCACAAGGGCCTGAAAGGTTTTTTTCTGCTTCTTTCCCTTGCGTGCTCACAAGAAATTCCAAGGGTCTCGTCCTTCTCGGCGTTGACATCACACACTTCACAGCCTCCCAGAGTCCCAGGTCATCGTGAAGAAGAAAAACTTTAGCGAGGTCGAGCTTGATGAAGAAGCGAAGACCCCCAACCCAAGAACAAATAACAAAAAAAAAGCCAAGCAGGGCGGAGAACACGCGGGAGCAGGCGAAGCCAAGAACAAAATGACACCATCTAGCAGACGATGTGCTCGGCCAACGAAAGAGGTTCCTGTTACGTACATTCTTGGAATGCGTGGATGGCACGATGGATTGGTTGTTGTTGATCGATGGGGCACCCCCGACTGGGTGACCGGCCGCACCGGTGAGTAACATTACGAACCCTTGTATGTATGGTAAACGTTTCCTTCGATAACCTTGATGGGAATAAGTGCAGTTCGATATCACCATACCTCTCTGAAGTATAATGTCAATATCAAGGACCAGGAGGTATGATGATATCAAGAAGACCGACTTTGCCTTGGAAGACGAGGAAGGGTGTTGAGGGATTGGGTTTGATATCAAAAGTTCCCACTCACCTTGCCGACAACCGGGCGGGACCGTGGCCGGACCCAGCGGGGTTCTAGCGGAGTAAATTCCGGCGACGGAGAGCACCGCTTAGGCCGACCGGAGGGTCCTCGCTCACGGCTTCCCCGAACTGGAAATGCAGTACCATCGGACTCGTCTCATGACAAACAGTTCGTGACTATTGATGGTTACAGATGAGACCCAAAACGCACTGAGCTGACTCCTGTTTTCTGTCCCGTGACAGCTTTGGCACGGGAGATCCCCCGACTTTTATCCAGATGGAATCATCAACTTTAACCGTAACCCCCGAGCCACGGAAGTCACGAATGTTTCTAGAATACGGACAGAAGGGATTCAGCACCTGAACCGCTCGTTGCAATTGATGGGACAACACGCTTCCCACGTTTTCGATGGCATGCAGCTGAGTCGTCGACACACGGACCGTTTGCTAGATTTCCAGGACGGTGGTAGTGTGGCTGGGTAGGTGGGTGGTTACCTACCAAGCAAACCACCATCAGATCAACAAGTCGAATCAACACAAACTTGGTTCCTGACCTCGAGATGTCATCCTTACGTATGCGGGGGCTGTTTGCTCACTTTATCTTGTTGATCTCCCGAATCTTGAAGTGCCACTATTAGATATCTTCTGATATCTCGGTTGATCTATCAATACCAAGCAGCATGGTCGTCGATCAACTCTGATAAGACGATGTGAACGGAATGACACAACCACTTCTTTCGAATGTCAGTCCCGTCATTGAAAAACAAGATATGTAAATGGAAGAATCGGTACCTGCGCAGCCTGCGCAGTTTCGACAGTCTCGGTGTGCGTGCGATTGCTTTTCCGGAGCGGGTAACCGCAGTCGGCACTTGCCCGGCGGTGATCCGGCATTGTATCCGATCGTCGCAACCGGGAAAAAGTGGAGAAAAGCGGCACATTACCCGGGTCTCCCCAGTGAGAGAATCCCGGTCCAGCACCCGGGCCCGAGTCCGGACGGAAAGACTCCCATGCCTCCACCCTCGCAGCAGTTAGTTACCTACTAACTATTGGAGTAGTCTTGTGCGGCTTGAGATTAAGGCAATCCACGGATTTGATCTCGCTATGTTGTGACAAGGGAGAGAGAGAGAAAAAGGGGTCAGTGTTTGTTTACCTTTCCTTACTTACTCTTGTTTTTGCCATTTGCCATCGGCAGAATGCAAGGAGGTGCCTCAGCTTCTACTGTACCATATCGGCCGCTTAAAACCGCACTCTTCGTCCCAGGTGGTGTGCAGACGCCCTTCCGATCCGAACGAAGTTACGGAGGTAAGGGTAGCGGGGGGGCATATAGGACACAGTATCCGTCCGTGTCTCTATCCTTCAAACGTGGGATTTCTCCGGACTGAGATTCGGTCCCGTATATCCCAAATAAATCCTGAAACTAAATGTGAATTGCACTTGTGGGTCCGAGACGTAGTTTTTGGACAGTATATCGAGCCGTGAAGTTCTCATTATAATCGAACTACATACATACAAAAGCAATCGAAAAACAAAAACAGAAGAAACCGCCAGCGCCTCTCCTCTCCTCTCCTCTTCTTTCTTGTGCAATCCCCGAAGATCCAGTGACAAGAAACGCAATGTGGAAGGAACTGTAAGGTAAGAAAGAAAAAAAGAAAAAAAGTATTTACAACTTGTAGTACTTGACTTCGGGCAATTGGGCATAATGGTCCCGCCAATTCTAGAATAATAAGCCAACATGATAACCATAAGCTAGAACAGCAGCAAGATATCCCATTTCGTTTCATCCTCAATTCCCGAAATTCTTTCATTCATATCCCAACTCGTACTGTAGCCCCCTCTGTCTTTTGTCCCTTGGACATCCAACCCACCTCCGTAGATCCAAAACATACCTTGTGTTGAAATGGATCGTGTCCTGGCAAAATAAGCCACCACGCAGAAAGATCTCTGACAGTCGTTTCGTGATCGGATATGCTATAATCCAAAATCCTCTCTCTTTCTCGATTTGTTTCCATCTTTCCGCCCTCTCTCGTGACCCTACCCTCGTTTGCCGTGAATTCGTCCCCGTGGGGGTTTGAGCTCCTGCGGTGTTGTTTCCAGGTCGACATGGTCCATGCACAAACTCATCCTTTCTGCGGCCCCAGTATTGGCAATGTTTCGCCCATGATATCCAAACCTCGACCCGTAACCTGACTAATAATCATCATCATCCTCATTATTCTTACTATTCGCCCCCTCTTTGCGAATAGGGATCTTGATCCCCTGTGTTGCAAAACACTTGCTCAAAGCCGTGCTGTCGCACACTCCTGGGAACTTCTTTGCCGAATAGACCTGAAACGGCTCGCTGAAGACTGAAGCCAAAATGGGCGCCTTGGATTGGTTGATGCCTGTGCTGCTTCCAGAAGATCCTGAGGAGGGAAGTGGGGTGGGGAGGCCGACGTTGACGAAGGAAAATTGGAGTCTTTTTTGGTAAAATTTGTCAGTACAGTTCAATGGTCCAGGTTGTGATAGGGGGAAATGGGGCTGGAGCGCAAAAGAACGGGGGGAGGGAACGAAGAAAGGCAGGGAACTGGGAAACGGGGGTACACACCTAAAGACGCCTTCAGTCCTCACACTCAAATCCTGCATCACGAACCAAATCCCAATCTTGTCGTTCGTATCCGTCAACCTGAACGCGCTGCACACCAAGCTTCCAATCAAGTTCCTCGTGAACATGCCCTGGGGCTGCTGTCCTCCTCCACTCTGCCACCGGCACCGCTGACAGACATTCTTTGCTGGAGAGGTCCGCCTACTACACCACCAGACATACCGCCGCCGTACTGAGCTCCAGGATGGTCGTAAGGTCCTCGCGGGGCACCGTATGGTCCGGCCTGGTGAGGTGGAAGTGGTGCGCTGTATTGGTAGTGCGTGGGGGCGGGGGCGCCGTAGGGGTTTCCGTTTACGAAGCCGGCTGTCGTCTCGTTGTTAGCATTTACTGTAAATACTGTATCACATCGTGAGAAGCCGGGGTAAACATAAACATACCCTGGTAAGGACTCGTCTGCATATCATACGGATTCATGCCCTGGTTCCCCCCATACGGCGACATCCCCTGATGATGTCCATAGCCACCAACATCTCGATTCGACGGCAGAATATGCGAATAAGCGGGCGTCGTTTGCTCGAGCGAGGCGTACGAAGCCGGTGTGGTGGACGAGATTGAGGGCGTGGAGGTCGTGTGTCGGACGAGGTTTACTTCCTTTAGGGCGTCTTCTGTGTATAGGCTGACGTTGCAGATGAACATTGAGTATTCGATTTCACTAGTGTTAAATCCATGTTAGCCATCGCCAGCTCTATAGAGGAAGGGGTAAGGAAACAAAAGGTTTGGTTACTAACTTGCAATCAATCTCTTTTCCAGTCTTCGCGTCTCTGATGACCAGCTTTACACAGGGAGGCGGCGTGATAGGTCTTCGATCCTATTATTTTTTTACCCCATGTGTTAGTTCATATGTACTCTAAGCCACCGACCGATCGGATCGAAACTGTTTGTTCCAGTGTAGAGCGAAACACAACACTGCACAACACAACGTGATAGGCAACACTGGTTGGTTGGTTGGTTGGAGGACCGCCGAACGAATGCGCCAATGTGCCCATGTGCGATGTCCTGTGCCGGCAGCCAGCCAGCAGCAAGCCAGACAGACGTAAGCAAGCCATAAATCCACACGTACCTTGTCACCAAAACCACACATTCGCGCACGTTGTGGTTGTTGCACAACTTCGAGCCTTATGGAACGGAAAGAAACCGGGTTAGCCCTTGTTGTCTCTTCTTGTCTTTCGTCTCTTGGCTCTTTCTGTCTCTCTGCCTTCCCGTATCTTGTTTGGCTCTTTCTGTCTCTCTCTGACACCGCCAATCGCAAACAGAAAGGCCGCCGAAACCAAGGGTACTCTTGTAGGTATGCCAAAATCGGAAAGAAAATCAACTCACGAATACATCCTCCCCTGACTATCCGTGCCCGAGTATGGCTTCAGATTTTGCTCCTGCTGCATCCTTTCCTCGACCGTCAAGGGCACCCGTTCTTGTTGTTGCTGCTGCTGCTGCTGCTGGGATGGCGGAGTCGATTGTAACTGGCCGCCGTGGCTGCTTCCGTCTCCGTGGCTGTTAGGACCACCGCTACCGGGGCCGAGAGGAGGAGGAGGAGCTGAAGATCCGGAGCCGGACATGGTGGTGGGAGCTCCCATTGTTGGATCTTGGTATGAGTTTGTATGGCTGGGCGGCGGTGGCGCGTTGGGAGGGGCCATGGAGGGCAGTTGTTGCTGTTGCTGCAGCTGGTGATGACGCGGGGGGTATGGAGACGCGTGAGGGTTGTGGTGGTGATGAGGATCGTGGTGATAGCTCGTGTGGTCGGGCGGCAGCTGGTGCGGCAGGTTTGAAGAATACGGTTGCATCTTGTGTTTGTTGACTGTTCCGTCCTTCTTGTTCTTCTCTGTTTCTAATATGGCTATATGGTATGTCTTGTCTGTTGCAGTGGTCCTTGTTGCTGGGTCGGTAGGTAGGTATGTATGCCGGCGCGCAATTGATCGGTGATCCCCTGGAGGCTTGGAGCGGACTCGAGTCGGGGTCTAGGAGCCAGGTAGTAAAAGTCGTAGGGGTCTTTTTTTGTCCTCCTTTATTTCTGGATCCGATCCAAAAGAAGGTGAACCACGGTTGATATTTCGGTGGGCGCAAGGGAAGGGAAGTGGGCGTACAAGAGCTTTTGTTATTTGTTCTTCTTCCAAACAACAACAAAAGCGCTGACGACAGCTCTTGGAGAAAGAAAGGTACAAGATGTCGTAGCTTGTCAGGAAGTTCAGGAACACCCTTGAATCGGAGCTGTCGCGGGTACCTCTCTGTTGGGTTGGAGATCGGTTTTTGTGGAGAGCCGCTCAGGTGGAATGAGGGGTGGCGGGCGGGTTCGGTCAGTGGCACCGAAGGAGCGGCAGCAGCGTGGGGCACGTTTGGGATTTTTTGGGGGCTCTCTTTTCCAGCAGAGGCAGTGTCCAGGCTGACGGGAGTCGCTCGGGAATGCAGTGACGGGATCCTGAGAGATGATTTGGCAAAACTGACGAGTCGCCTAAGTAAAAAGTGTCAGGTCAACTTATAGTGAGATGACGATGACGAAAGGTTATTGGGTCGGGACCGAGAAAAGTTGAAAGCTAGAAATTGCCGAGTTTGTCCAAGGACTCGGGTTTCAAGTTAAAAGTGAAGAGAGGGTGAAGGGATGTATTATTTGCGAGCCAGCGATTATGCCTTGGCCTTGTGTCTTTGAAGACTTGTGAGCCTCTATTCCTGGGTTGAGTGAGGTTGCTTTGAACGTGACTTTACTTCTCTTCCGGAAAAAAGAAGAGAGACTTCAGTTTACTCTTTAATATCCTTGCCCACATTTAAAATCCCCCCCCCCCCGCGAAGCCGTGTTATATGTGTCTGTGTGCTGCTGATGATTGACTTCCGCTTGCGTGTGAAATGGGATGTGCGAACTGTGAAAGTGAAAGTGAGGTTGCTTCCCCAGAATGGTGGTCGTCCAGGGAGCCAGGGGTCTCTTAGTGGTGCGAGGTAACGTAAGGCCTGTGTTGTATTGGTGCGTGTGGAGCTCTTCTTACAGCTGTTTTTGGGGCCGCTCTTCAGTTCGTGTCGACCCTCTCATTGGCGGTTTCAAAGTGTTTCGTGTAGCTGTACCTTTGAGAAGCTGCTGCACAGTCCATGCAATTTAAGTCTCCGACACGCAGCCCCCTGGTTCTACCTGGAGCTTGTAGACGGCGTTTGTGCAGCTGTTGTTGAACACAGGCAGTTAAGCTCTTTTAGAGAGGAAGGGATACCGCTGCCTGTCCGTTTTACCTTTACATAACTCGCTGTTGTGTCAGGTTCTGCAAGACATGAAGTGTGCATCTGGTTTGACGTTGTAGCGGTTTGACTTTGGCTATCTAGACGACGGGAAACCAGATGTTGACAAGCAAAGTCAGGTCCGCTGCCGAGCTGCTGGCTACTGCCGTCGTCGGGTAGTACTGTGCAAATGCCCGTCAGACGGGAGTCCAGTCCAGGGGCACCTTAGCTCATCAGCCGCAGAGTCCTTAGTTGGAGTTGGGACTGGGGGTGCTAAGCTTAATGGGGGGAACAGCTCATGGACACTTCACTTCTTTTTCATCTTTCCCGTCGGTATTTTGTTGTCGTTTTGGGGTGAGCTGTACATAGTTTTGCTGTGGAGATTGGGAAATTTGATCTCAATGTGCTTTTGGGTGGTATCACTGATATGGCTGATAGAGATTATTTCAAATGTCTACTCAAGTTCGAGAGATATTAAACCTTGGTAATTCTCGGAAATGCAATGTCCAGTCAGCCTCATCCTGGACTATCCCCGCTCTCACCGTAGTATCGGTTTGCTGAAGGCGGGACGTCAAAGGTATGAGGGCCCGCTGGAACGGGAAGCTGAGATGTCCTGGAAGCGAGTATTGATCTTTCTAATATGCCAATTTCCAGAGAGAGGTTGTGCTGGTAAATCATCAGCTGCTGTATCGTGGTAGCTTGTGCGGGTCAATGAATAAGAGATCTTCTATATAGTGCTATTATTGTGAGTGGTATATTTCCCAAGTCTATAGCACGTTAGCGCTCACAAACGAATGCGAATAGACCGCGAAACAGCCACTAGGCCACCGGAGTGTTCATGATAATGGCCCATTATGGCGACCACAAGGCAAGGAGGCCTTGTTGAATATCAGGCGACGACGTTGTAGCAACTTGCTCACGGACACTTGCGAGAAATCAAGGGAGCACAGGGCATCTTGGCCGCGGGTGTAATGAAGAAAAGCAACGCTCAGTAGCATGTGGTGGTGCAGTGTAAGGTATAACCTGAACGGGTTGCATGGAGAGGTAGCTATTCGGTACCTGGGATTGCAACTGTCACCTCATGCAGCGGCGCTTCATCTGTCGTGCTCGAGCTGTGACCGGGGAGTAGAAAACAGCCATTTCGGATTCCAGGTTGTCCTGTTTTGTGCTATGGTAGCAGTGAACAGCCAGCAACCGGACAGGGGGTTAGGTAGGCAGTGTGCGTGAGACGGGATTCAGACGGGATACCTCGCCGGACTGCCCTACCACCCAGAGAAAGCGTACAGCAGAATGTCACAATCGCACAACTTGCATAGTCCAGCCTAGGTACGACCACTGGGCCGTTACCGGGCGTCCATCAGCAATAACAAGCCGTCCTCAACCGCTGAGATGGGATACCAGCAGTGGAAGGTCGTTTGCAGATTTCGCTGTGATAAGCTCAGTGTCGATGGAGAGGTCAGTGCATATGTTAGATAGGCGGCCGCCATATCATATCCGGGCGTCAGCCGCGACCTCGCCTTCACTTGCCTGCTGTTGGCATGGATATCGACGTAACGGTCGGCAAGACCTACCTTTCCTGTCCCGTGCCCCGCCTTGCCCTTGTGGTGGTATCCAGCCTGGAGTTACCAAGTTCGGCTCGTCGTGTTTCCGCTCCGGGTTTTTCACAAACCCTTGTGCGTGTGTTGCCCTTTACTGAGCTCCAGGCTCGGGCCCGTTTGTAGACCACCGAAAGCAAATATGAGAGTACGGCGGTTGTAGGCACCGAGATTGGAGGCTGAAATGGCCCAGACTTTGGTGTGTGATACGAGTCCATAGCGTGGTTTGTCGTGCCGGCAGGTGGTGTTGTAATTAACCACCAAAGGTCATCAAAGCCTCTAGATGACCTTATTCGCCGGGTCACCACTTTGTATCTGTGGCCCGATCGGTGAGCATACATCTCCATCGGGACGGACAGGCAGTCACAAGGTGGTGTAGGGTTCGGTCTGATGGCAATCAAGTACCGCTCGCTTTCCCTTGGCCCAGCTCACACCCACACGTTGACAGCGGAGGCAGGTCCTGACTCCTCAACGAGTCCTTTGACAATCAACCAGCCCTGGCGTTTTCCGCCACACCTATCAACTGAGTCGCCAAAGAGGGAAGCGGATCCGTACCGTGCGCGGCAACTTCCCGCGCGGCGGAAGCCGCGTCTTCGACGAGTCGGACAGCGCAGTCGGAGAGGGTATACCGTTTCCGCGGGAGAGGCACAGATGTTCTCGAGTTGTCAGAATCCCACCGCATTGCAGCCAGTGTTGTCCCAACTGCAAGTCTCCGCTTCTGTGCCTCGTCAGCAAGAGCGAGAGAGAGTGCAAAGGGCGCCAAGGCAAGTATAGGTATGATGGGAGGAGGGGCGCGAGGAGGTCCAAACTCGACAACCAACCGGCCATGTCGAGAACGATCCTTGCTGGAGGAGGCTATATGTCGAGCCACGACTTATACTGGATGGGCTGGCAATACTGAGTGTTCGCAAAGAATGTCCAATCAGGGGCTGGATTCATTGCCATTCGTCTGCAGGCGCGCTCCTTCGTCCACACACACTCCCTTGCCATGACCACTACGTCTCGTGGGCCTGACTGATACAACGACGGTCAGTCTTGATTTGATGCAGCTGAGATACCCGTAGATACGTGATGGTTAGATATTCAGGGCCTTGCTTGCCAGGGCCTTGCTTGCGAAGGCAACGTCGGAAGAAGACACGGTGATGCCACGATCCGATTACTGAAAGGATGAAGTGACTGGAAATAGGACAAGCCATGGTGGTCGAGAACCTGGGACTGGGTGAACAGTAGCACCCGATTGAGTTTGGTAATGGTAGGAAGGAAAGAAAAAACGGTGCGGGCGGGTTCTCGCCGAAGGGCAACCTGCGTGGTGATGGAAAATGGAGGATTGGAGAGGTTGATTGCTTAAAGTTTGGTTGATTGCAATGTTGGATGTCATTGATGAATTGAGGTCCTGGCGTTGGAGACTTGGAGCTGGAGCGGGCCGAATCGATGTGGGCGTCTTGGAGTCCTGCAGGATCTGCCACTCCCGTCACGGCACCTGTGGGCCAGTGACAGCTGTCAAAGGCTCCACCACCGTGCGGGGATCTTCTTCAGGCTAAGCATTTAGTGTGTGCACAGACATTATCAACTGGGAAACGGCATTGGAGATGCAGCTCTCCTGCAAGCCGGCCTCGAGGTTCCTTCCCGAAACTTTGGAGATTTTCAAAACTGACTTGGAAGTCACAAATTGGGACAGTCTTGTTCCGAGAAGGGACCGGCAAGGGACCGGAAGACCTGCCTCCGAGCTCTTTTGGGTCTGTGAAAATTCTTTTTTTCGTCAACGCTCGAGTGTCTGGGATTCCGGATTTCCGGTTCCCCCACAAACCGCCAACATCGCAACCACCACAACCCCTTGGCATCCTGGTGACTTCTTCGCCGAAATATTCACCCTTTCACTCGTTTTGATTATGAGTCTTGGACAAGACATCGACCACTTCGTTGCCGGGATTCAACGTCACCACCATAACCGTCCAGCATGACTGAAGGGCGCCTCATGGGACGAACCGAGACCGTGCGCATAAAAACGTGCGCAGGTGACAATGGAAGATGATCATCGTCCAAGAACATTCGATGGTCCTTCTCTCTTGAGTTTGGTTTATGTTTGTTTGTTTGCTTGTTTCAGTCTAGGCCTTTCCATGATGCCCGTCTCCCTTTTCGTTTCTTGACTTGGCTTGGCAGGATGCTTGAGGAAGGCTTCCAGACGTTCTACATCCGTGCGCATTTATGCGAAGGTCGTCGATGAAACAACTTGTCAGCATCATGTGCTGGAGCGTGCTTTCACTCACTCTATCAAAAACAACGACATCTCAGACTTCGAGTCCACACTCATCTTAACTGTTGCAAAGTGAATGAACCATCAAGCGCCATCAGGACCAGAGGCATGGGAACAAGACAGGGCTTTATTCATGCGAGCCCATCTCAGGTTGCTACTGCTACTCTGTCGTCTTGTTCTTCCCCATTGCCAGGCAACCGACGAGTGTTTGTTCCCCTGAGTTGACATACTGTATACTGTGTGGTGCAACTCCATCACTCCCAACATTTTTGTCAAGATAGTGAGTGTATCAAGGCTAACTTCCGATTCTGCAGGGAACTGCATTGGGATACGAATTCAAGCAACAACACCAACGCCCCAGACATCTGCATTTCCCGGTACTTGCCGCACGGATAGACACCAGACCGTCCTCTACAATCTTCGAACCGATGGCAGACCTTGTCATGCCATGACGACAACACAGGGCGGCATAGACGGGAACTTCAGTAACCGTCCAGAAATGGAACTTTCCCGCTCGCCGTACTTTCGTCGAGGCGAGCTTTGGATCTTGTCCAAAGGCAAGGTTACTATGGGGCCAAGGCAGCCATCTCTGCAAAGAGGGTACCCCCACTTCAGCGAACGATGACCCCCTGGGTAGGGAGACCAGACGTGGGCATAGGGTATCGAAGAATGGTTGCATAAAATCGTCTTGTCAGCGTCACTCTTAACTGGACACACGCGCAGCCGGAAGTACTGGCAAAGAGCTGCTGGGGGCTCGATGTCTGGTGGTTATCGAGAGACATGGGCTTATGGATGCTCATGGCTCACCCTGCCGATGTTACTCCTCATATCTGCAGCCCATTTGCAGTTACGATCTCAACCGTTTAGCAATGGAACATCCGAGAGGGGTACAGGTTCATGACGCACTGGATATGGGCCGTCACCAAGGCCCAGCACCGGTACCGATATGATGCTTCATATGGGTAACGATGAGCAGAGAAGCAGTGCTGTCCAATGGTTCACTCTCGCCTTGCTATAACCGCCAGCAGACCAGGTGATCCACTTCGTTCTGCCCGGAAATTGGGCATACCACACGATGTGCTTCCCCAGAACGGTAGGACATGGCAAAGGATGGACGGTCGTTCCTCGTGAACCAGGCTATATGTGATCACGATATGGGATACCAGAAGGTACTAGGAGTTACTACATCTCCAGGCCTGATAGGCATGAGAGAAGTCTGGTGCTCGTCAAGGAACTCAGATCACTAAGCCACAGTGTCTCGGATAACATCACACCCTCTCACAGAAGCACCAGCATATCTCAGAGGCCAATAAGCCCAGCGCACGCCATTCCCTGCTCGGAGACTCGGGAATGAGGATGAGCGCCTAGAGATGGAGACACTCGGGATGTCTTTCCGATGTGGGAGATGTGACAGACACTGGCAGTGAATGCCTAGACCACGATAAAGGTTGAACTTGGCCAGTCATTGTCAATCTCTGAATGCTGGCCCTCAACGATCATCACTCCCGCCCGTGGTACACACATCATTTGGTCATAAGCACTTATCTTGATCGAGACAGAAGAACTGTGACCAATACGGTACTCGCTAATGAAGGCTACACCCGTCCCGTTTCCGGCCTTCCGTACTTTATCTCTAGACTGACTTGACTATTTTCAGACAGGCACATGTCTAGGCAGCACCGTGGTATTATCAGCTGGCCTTGCTACTTATCCGCCTCCTCAGTTCATCGCAACGACTGAGTGCCAACTCTGTGCGAATAACAATTGTGATACCAGAGGCGATGAAAAAAGAAAAAAAAGGGTTGGGAAAATGGGAGAACGAAAAAAAAAAAATATCAACTATCTACTTTACTTCCTCCTCGAGGATGAGTGGACCATGTGTCAACATCCGCAATCTCAGCCGTTCGGCGAAAGAAAACGTGACATGATCCGGTTCGAACTCGTGGCCTCTTTGTGAGACCGGAGTGCGGCAACACTGAAGAGTGTCTCAATGGGACCAGTTGCGGTATCTGGTCTCTAGGAGATCCTGACTACTCGGCCTGGATTGGCAGCTCATTAAGGGCGAACGAAGTACGGCGGGCCGGGGCGCAGGTGGTCACTGATCCAGAATGATTTCGTCCGATGTATGTGGCTGTTTGCGCTTCGGCGAGTGAAGGAAGTGGGAGGCACGGAGTGGAAGGTACGGGGTGGACTGTGCGGTCGTGTCGGGGCGGATGGTCTCGGAGAAGGGCAGGCAGTTGGGAAAAACGTCAGTGACGGACTTTCAAGAATTCACCAAGTGGGTTTTGGGCAAGGGAACAAGAAGGCACCTATACTCTTGTCCATCTCTTTATTGTTGGAGTTGTCAAAGATCTGTTGCGAATGCTTGCCCTCGTCTTCTAGGAAACCTTCGTGTTGGCGTCCTTCTCACAAGAACAACGTCCCCCATAAATCATAAACCGGCAACATCCCCCAAAAAGCCTCCTCCATCCATTCACCCCTGCTCGATACACTTCTCCAATCAGTCTATCAATATCATCATCCTCCTCCTCCTCCTCCTCTTCATTTTCTCCCTTATCCACAGACCGGATCATGAACCCTCTCTTTCTGGTTCTAAGTATTGGTGATGCTGAGGTGCTAGGTGATGATGTTTTGAGTGTTAAGAGGTTGAAACTCAACGGAGGCACTCCCTTTGTTCGGGATGGAGGTGCCAGCGCAAATTGGTTTTGTGGTAAAATGAACGTGATATTGACGGTGTTTACTAGTAGGGCTCAGATGGCTGTCTTGTGTAAAAAGCTGCAAGACTATTCTAGATGTCGAAGTGTCATCGGCCAGAAGTGAGTCTGGTGAGATGCCAATTCAGGGAGGCCTTCTCAAGCCTGTGAGTAGTCAGTTGCTCTGAGAATGAATACGAGACTAAGTGGAATGTAATTCAGGAGATGGAGAGCTGGCAAAAGGATTTCCCATGGTCCATGAGGACCCGAAACTTAGATGTATGAATCACGTCCGAGCTTGACCTACACGGCAACAAAAGGAGACAAAATAGGACATTATTGGATACACCCGTCCGTTTCGCTTCCTGTTCTTAGACTACTTACTTACGTCCGGAAATGCGCTCATTCATGAGACGTACGAAAGAAACAACAAAATGAAAAGGAGAAAAGGATTAAAGGAAAAAAGGAGAAAAAGAGAAAATAAGGTGTTTAGAAGTAGTTAATATAACCGACAACATCAACTCGTACAAGAGTTGCTTACTCCGATTGAATATCTCGAGCTCAAAACAATTGTGCTCAGTCACCTTTAGCACAAGATTCCATGCAGTTCGTAGACACACATAGACACAGACACAGACACAGACACTTGACAGTTTTTTTGCGCATCAATTTTTTCCCCATGCTTTTCCTTCACTTAACATGGCCTACACACTCGTCAGCTTAAGAGGACGGAACCGTTATTTGTTTCCGCTTACCACAGTTAAGCAGTATTTATATCAAACCATTCATTCAGTTAACGAGTCTCAGTTCGTGCTGCTGGTATTCACTACTTCAGAGTCAACCATCCAAAACCTCCCGCAGACCCAACATTGAATTGCCATCGACTCAACCAAAACTCCAAACAAACCACAAACTCCGACTTCTACTCAGACTTGAGACTGGGACTCCCACTCAGTTCAAAGGTTCAGCCTCAGACCTGGGGCAAAACGACATCCCCAACCCTAACCTTCACCACCTTCCCACTTCCAGCATTCTCCTCCTCAGCCAAACCCATATGAACCCCAAAGAACACCTTACCCTCAAACCTCCTCGTCTTGCTCAGCGTAACAAACGGTTCCCCTCCACTAATCTTCTCGCCCATTTTTTGGTCAATGCAGACCATGTGACATCTTCTGCAGGAACCTAGCATTTGGAAGCCATGCTTGTTGGTGCCGATATGGACAGAGGACCAGGTATCTTCTTCGTAGGGTTTCAGTTTTGGGTTTAAGCCATCACCAGAGATTAGAGGGGAAGACGGGGAAGACGGGGAAGAAGACGGGGAAGAAGATGGGTCGTAAGAGGAGGAGGAATGAGAAGGGGTAAAGATAAGATTAGCCCTAAAGACCGCCTCCGATATCGCCCTTTGTGCCTCCGGGTTGAGAGCAGCAACAGACGCATTGAGAGCATCGACGCTCGTAGTCGTTATCGCCAAAATCGGACTTTCATTCGACAATAATATCCTTCTTGGCTTTGGTCCCTGACTTTCCTCGGTAGGTGTCGTCGACCGTTGTTCGGTATCTGAGTCAGGCGGTGATGGGGGTGTTTCTACCTCCGTTTCAGCAGAGGGAAAAGCACCTGGCATCATCGCCGGTGTTTTTGGCCGTCTTTGTCTGCTTTGATGGTACAGACACTGCGGGCTGTGGTTGTGACTGAGGCTGCTGGTGTTTTTGCAAATGCGCCTTAGCATGCCTCATCCCCTTCCCCTGCCCGCCCGGCGGGAACCTAGCCAACACACACGGCACTCCGAGTACAGTCGAGAAGAAATCATTAATTTGTGCGGAAGCATATGTTTGAGCAGTGATTTCCTCACCGCAGACGCGGGAGGACATACCCGTACCGGATTTCTTTGGTACAATCATCTTTGGGTTTTTCGACAGCGGGACTGATATTGATGATGGTGGACCTGAACTGGATAGAATCTCGCCTGCGCCGGCGTAAGTAACTTGCAATTCACCCCTAGTAAAATCCAGATTTGGTCGTAGAAGGGCCATCTTGGGGTATCGTTTCTGGCTGAGAGCCTGGCCAGAGCCGCGGTGGACTAGACACCATTCTCTGTCCCAGGCTAGGCCTTCGGGGCGGACTTCCCAGTCTGTGTCTGGGGGGACGGAGAAGCCGGCGCAGGATTTGATGGGGTAGACTGTTATGCTTTTCACGACAAGCTCGGGTGTGTTTTGTAATGGTGGTTGGAGCTGAAGTTTCGTATCCGAGTCCAAGTCTGGCGAAGGTAAGACCGGTAGTGATACTGGTAGTGTATCCTCGCGATAAAATTCCTCCATAAAGTGCACAAACCCGGCCACGTCTTTTATCGTACTCATCGCCCCCAGACTCGCTCTTATGATACCCGTCGGCTTCCCGCCCATGATATCATTATCTGTTCCGCACCGGAACCCCGAGGAAAAGTTCTGCTTCATCTCCCATGGCTCCAAGCCCAAAGCAGAGGCGATACCGCCGGGGTTACACACCCCTCCGGTACGGATATGTATCCCCTTTAGCATCGCTAATTTTTCCACTTCTGCGAGACTGATCCACGTCCCTTGCGAGTTGTGGATGTTGAACGCCACCGTTGGCCCTGTTTGTTCCAGTTCAGGATCGGGCGAGTAAATGGTACAAACCTCCTCCCCATTTGCATGCCTCAACCCTTCCAAACCCCGATATAACCTCCTCACAAGAAACCCCGTATGCGCAGCCACCTTTTCCATACTCCCAAACAACTCCCTATGCACATCCATAGCGACATCCAGCGCTATGATATTATGTACCGGTAACGTTCCATCCTCCAGTCTTTCATGGAGAAATCCATCTTTTGGAGCGTGCCATTGTTCTTTTAGACAGACGACCATATCAACCGTTCCACCGCCGAAGTACCGTCTTGAAGCAAAGATATCCTGGGAATCCTTGCGGACGATCAATGCGCCGAGGTCAGGGAAGCCGAATATTTTATAAAAAGAGAAAACGACGAAGTCGGGTGCTGTTTGGGCGTTGCTGAGGTCAAGAGGGGATGAGGAGACGAGGGCGGCGGCGTCTAGGAGGGTATATGTTTTTCGGTTTCGGATTGTTTCGGTTTCCTCGCTGTGCCGAACTTGGGAAGACCAAGAAATGGGATAGCGACGGCCGTCCATGTTTGACTGAGCTGGGTATGCAAATAGGATCGGCCTTTGTTCTTCTTCCTCCTCTTTCAAAGGGCAATCCCCTACTAGCCAATCCTCCATCTGTCGATTATCCAGACAAACACTACTTCTGGCTTCTTCCCGAACTCCAACTAGGCTGGTGTGGCTGGCTTGGTGATAGGCATAGTCAAAGCCCGTGGGGAGACATCGCATGGTATCGACGACCAGCTTGATACCAGCTGTGGCGTTCGCAACAAAAACGAGATCGAAGTCGGCTGGGTCGGCGTTGAAGAACTGCAGGGCTCGGAGACGGATGTCTTGGATGCGCTGGGTGGATAGTTGGGAGGAGGCCGAGGCGGAATGAGGGTTGCCGAAGAGGTTGGTGGTCATCTCGTGGGCGAAACGGTCCATTAGGGACTTGGGATAGGGGGTGGTGCCGGCATGGTCGAGGTAGATGGAGTCTGTTTGTTTTGTGTTAGTGACAGGAGATAGAAAAGTGTTGGAGATGACTTACCTTTCAGCATGGGATACTCTTCTTCTCTTATCTTTTCCACTTCGGCGTTATGGCCATCATGTTGAATGTGTAATGAACCCATCATCTAGAACCTTCAAGCATCACCAAGTTCATCAAGAGACAGAAAGAACAAAAGACAAAGAAGCACTTCTGTTAACCGACTTTGATATTTCTGTGATAATAGCGAGCTATCGACATGGACATCTGATTAGACGCTGGGGTGGATAACTTGTCATGGCTTGCGGTCATGATATCGATAAGTACAGCCAAGGGGCAGTGGCATATTGGAGGTCTAAGTGTAGTCTCCTTCTTATCCTGTCAACGGCCGGCGCTTGTCATCCGGGAGAGGTCAGTTGGGCTCGGCAAAGAGGAGGTCCAAGGGAACGGAACGGAGATCGCCACTTTCCAACACCAGCAGGGGAGAGTAGTGCGGGGAGGTGGACACCGTGCCTGGAAACAGCCCCGCTTGACGCAAGGGGATGCGCCACAAATGGAAACAGTACAAGCCACAGTACACGTGGCTCATGCGCAACCGGGCTTAATTGAAACGCGCAGTGTAGCGGGGAAGCGCGTCGAGGTACGAACTGCAGCCCACTTATTCGCGGGCGCGTCCCCACACTGGCATGCACCAGGGGGTGGAGCGCGAAACTGGAATTCTACTTTGGTGCAGTGCAACCGTGAGTGCTTCTCAAGGTTCCTCTTTCCACCTTACAACCATACAACCACAAAAGTCCATCACAACCATCAACACCCGCGCATCATTCTTTCCACGCGATTGCTGCTCGTATCTGTGTTTCTGCATTGCAACTGGTGTTTTGGACTTTATAAAAAATCATGACCTCGCCTAGCGCGTCCACGACTCTGGGGAAGAGGAGAAGGAGCACTAGACTCACAGGTGGGCCACAACTGACGACACCATCTAGGCTTGCCCTTGGGAGCATTCATACTGACACACTCCAAGATGAGGAGATCACACTAGGCCCTCTTGCCGTAAAGCGCACAAGACGCTCTCTCCGAATTCATCCAGAGATCCATCATGAGCCCGACCACATCCAAGCAGAGAAGGAGAAGGCCGCCTCACCACCAAAGCCGATTGCCGACGACGTGGAGAATCACAAGGAAAACCGCAAACCATCAGAAGACAACAGCGAGGAAGTCATCAATGAGGCGGAGACACCATCAAAGTCACTCCTAAGAAGGCGCAAATCAATCATCGCCAGTCCGCCAAAGACCGCTCCAGTCACACCTTCCACACCGCGACATTATGATGTCTTCGCAAAGGCAGCAGTCACCACTCCGCGCCATCGCGTCATGTCTGTCGGCAAGCTCTCCAGGCGCATGACACCAAGCACACCCATGACACCTGCGGCTTCTCAAACTGTCTACCATCAAGCTCGTCAACTCTTCTCCCGAAGTGCGGATCCCGGGGAACTCATTGGGCGCGACGACGAGCGCGAGAAGCTCAACACTTTTCTGAATCGCTGTACCACCGCACATCCCAGCGGCTGCCTCTACGTCAGCGGACCTCCTGGCACCGGAAAGAGCGCGATTGTCAATAATGTCACAGACAAGTTCGCATCCGAGACGTCAACAGTGCGCAAGGCATACATCAACTGCATGAGCATCAAGTCCTCCAAGGATCTCTACGTCACCCTTCTCGACCAGCTAGTCAGCCAAGATGAGGACAAGGAGGAACTCTCAACCGAAAGCGACGTGGTGGCGGCACTTCAAAGGCTTATTTTGCCCAAGAAAAAGACCCAGGACGTCTTCCTTGTGGTGTTGGACGAAATCGACCACATCCTCACTCTTGACCCCGAAAGTCTCTACAGCCTCTTCGAATGGTCGCTCGAAAAGAAGAACTCGCACCTTGCCCTGATCGGCATCGCCAACGCGCTCGACCTCACAGACCGCTTCCTGCCGCGCCTCAAGTCGCGCAACCTCAAGCCTGAGCTTTTGCCCATCCTTCCATACACGGCGCCTCAGGTCAAGAACATCATCATCACGCGCCTCAAGAGCCTGCTTCCCGGTGGAACACCCAAGGATCCCAACTACATCCCGTTCTTCCACCCAGCCGCCATCGAGCTCTGCTCGCGCAAAGTCTCCAGCCAAACAGGCGACCTGCGTCGCGCCTTTGAGATCTGCCGCCGCGCTATCGACCTAGTCGAGTCCGAGACCCGTCTCAAGCACGAGAACGAAGTCAAAGAGCAGATGCTACAAATGTCTCCATCCAAAAAGAGCGTCCTAGGCGAAAACACCAACCTCTCTGGTTCTGCGCCTTTATCTTCACTCTTCCGGAGCATCACCTCCACCGGAAAGCCCAGCGCGAGCGTTTCCGCCTCTCTGCTCAAATCCCTGCAGGCCCTGACGCCCGCCACCGCGCCGCGCGTCAGCATTGCGCACCTAAGCAAAGTCACTGCTGCAGCATTCAGCAACGGCACCACGCAGCGCTTGAAGACGCTCAACCTGCAGCAAAAAGCCGCTCTGTGTGCTTTGGTCGCCATTGAGAAACGGAACCGCGCTGCGCAGAGTGAAGCTCTTAACTCTGCATCAGCCAGCTTCACCTCTACGACTGGCACCGGTACTCCATCAAGGAAACAAGCCGAAACACCCATTGCGCCTACAGTCAAGACTTTGTACGAGGCATACACCAAGCTCTGCAAGCAGGACTCGCTTTTGCACCCGCTGTCATCATCCGAGTTCCGCGAGGTTGTCTCTTCCCTTGAAACTCTCAGCTTGATCACGCCCGTGGATGGCAAGACAGGGTCGTTTACTGCGCTGGGGTACAGTTCTCCGGGGGTGGGCACGCCGAAGAGGGGAGGCAAGAAGAAGAAGGATGTTTTTGGCATGGGAGGCGCTCTGGTGGCGGGCGATGAGAAGAGGGTGGCTAGTTGTGTTGGGGAACGGGAGGTTGAGCAGACGTTGTTGAAGGAGGATGGAGCGGGGACGGGGATTTTGAGGGGGATTTTGAGTGGCGAGGCTTTGGATGATTGAGTTGTTTTGATGTTTGGGATGTTGATGGAAGTGTTGTCGATGATTTGTTTTGCGTTTGTTGGAAAAGAAAGAGGCATGCATGGAGCAGCATGGAGGAGCATTGAAGCATTGATGACGCATTGTATAGGGGCATGGCACGGCGCGTTTGAAGTTTGAAAGCATTCAAAAGTATATCATAGGGTGGTTACCCGGGGTAAAGGGTTGGTGTTATAGGCGTTTGGGAATCTTGTTTAGTTTTGTTTAGTTGTTTTGTTTACTGAAAGACAAAAGGAGAAGAGAGAGACTCAAAAGAGAAGAGTATGTCACAGGACACAGAAAGTCCTAGTCGGCAACATGTTACCTTACATAGACTTGCCGTCGTATATAGAGGCAAAGAAATCAAAGACTTCACAACCATGAATTGGCTCGCAGGAAATGAATGCACAACTCATCTCGCTTTACGTGACCGCGTTCATGGAAGTATCATCATGATGAATGTGCATGCACAACGCACATATTGATCATGGACACCCTCTCTCCCAAAGTTCCCCCCGTTCCCTCTTTTTTCAACACGCAGTAGAGTAGGCATGTATCCGACACATACAGACTTCCGTTCCCTATGGTACCGCATTTCTATTTCTACCATGATCAACAGACCAGCCACCTAGGTACCTGGCTGGATTTGGTTCACCCGATATCTACACTAACTAAACTAACTAGCTACCTTTCAAGGTATTACGAACGAGGCACGAAGAACGAGAAACGAAGCCGAGTGGATGGCGTCCCTTAAAATCTCCCCAAGGACAGCTTCCCCTGGTCTGACTTGACTTGATTTGACATAACGTGCCTTGACATAACTTAACTTGACTTGGTAAGGTATCTACCTACCTACCTCTACGGGCAACTGACAACCTGACACTACCTTATAGACCCATAGTATCGCCAGGTACCTACTCTGTTATCACACCTACCTCTAGGTTCAGAAGGGCACAAGTAAGTAAGTAGGTAGGTAGGTAGGTAGGTGGGTTGGTTACGAGCGTTTCTCTCATGAATAAATAAATGAAATCCATCTATCGGGTGACTGACTGACTGATTGCCTCCCTTTTTCTGCTCCAAGCACGACCGGACGACCGAACGACCGAACGACCGAACGACCGAACGTCTCATGAATGAATGATGAATGATCTGGTGACTGACCGACTGACATTGACTTGACCGACTCTCTTCATTGTGGGAACATGACTACATAACTGAGCGCAACATGGCTGTTCCATAGGGGATCTGAGGACCTCTAGGCAGAACTCAACGACAAGTTTGAACGACGTAATATCCATAGTACATCCGTGACATTTGATATTACACAATACCTGGTAACTAAGCTATTTTACTCTTTTGTCTTCTTCTTTTTACCTCCCTTGTAGATATAATAGCAACCTAGTCATCAAGATTTATCTTCCTTCTCTTTTCCCAACCCCCTGGGCCGGGCCTGTCCGTCGTCCGCCCCTAGGTGCTTGTTTGTTTGCCTTAGGCGAGTCCGGGTCCAGGTCCGGGTCCAGGTCCAGGACCAAGCCCAGCTCCGACAGATGGTGGTCCTTTGATCCCACACACCCCCCTTTCTCCTCATCCTCCGACCTGGGAATCAATTGTAAAAGAAAATAATAAGCCCATGTCTGTCCACTGGTTCAGTCCATCCATCCGTAACCTCCTGTCTTTCCTGCCCATCTGCCCTCCTGCTCCCCTTTAGACCTAACCGCACCGAATAGCCTTTTTTGCTCGTGCTCATAAAGTGTCTGTCTGTATGAAACGGCAACAAAAGAAAAGATAGGTGGGTAATAACTCTGTCTCTGAACGCCATGCTCAATAAAGCAGCAAAAACCAGAAAATCTTCGCAAAACGAAAACAACACACGTAAACAGCCGAAAGTGTTTTCTTACCCCGAACTTGTGAAGAATAAGAAAACAACGCGATGTCACCACCACCACTGAGAAAACCCCCAAGACGGATAGGTAGCGGTGGTCAGTGACGAAGCAGAAGGCAGAACCTTCGGGCTCTTCATGAAAGAAGGGTTCCCGACCCCTCCATCAACCCCCCTCATCCCCCTTCTTCACCTCACCACCCTTCTCCCTCTCCTTCTCCTTCTTCTTGTCTTCAGAAGCCATCCTCGTCCTCTCCGCCCTTCCCCGAGCATTAGCAATCATCGCCTCAAACCAACCAGCGACTTGCTACTCCGCCAGCTTGGCGAAATGCTTGCTCCAGATCCAACCGATGACGTTTGTTGGGTCGTCTTGATTTTTGGCCAGCCAGAGTTCGCCCTTTTCTGCCACCACGTCGAAGATCTACACGTTGTATGTTAGCTTTATGTTTACTAGGAAATGATCGAGCGAAGCGAGGAAAAGAAAAAAAAAGCCGAGCGCAGCGGATGTCAACAGGGAAAAGGAAAAGGGAAAGGGAAAAAAAGGAGAATACGTACCTCCCCAGCTTGATAAGTCAAATAAGGATACCCGCCCTCATGTTTGGTAGTCTCGATATTGAACTCGAACAGACTAGCAGCCAACCACATGACATTTGCTTCTGCGGCAGCTTCCGCCGAGATGAACATGCTTCCTCCTCCACTTGTACTACCAGCACCAGCACCGCCTGACATATGCATGTCATGACCACTGTGACCACTAGGCCCAGCTTCTGCTTCAGCGTGATGGTGGTGTTCGTCAAGCTCATCTGCGTCATCCATGGGCAAAGCAGAGTGGAACAACCCTGACTGACGACGGGGTTCGCTTGTCGCATAGTTGTGATGAGAGGAAGTATAGGACCCGCGGCGGGAGAGGGTGTGGCCTGAGCCGGAGTGTGCGACGCCGCCGTGTTGGCTGTTGTGGCTGTGGGTGCTGGTGTGATGGGTGCCGCCGGAGGCGGATTGAGCCGAGTAGGAATCGGTACTCTGCCTAGGCAAACTACCTGAATCAAAACTGCGACCAGTCGTGGGGCGGGTAGAGTATCCGCCAGTGGTAGAAGTAGCGTGGGTAGCGGGTACCGATCTTGGGGCCGAAGACGATGACGGGTCTGGACTGAGAGGAGCAGTAGAGTTGCCTCTTGAGTGATGACCGTTGGACAAGCCGGAGTAGAAATCTCGGTAATACTGTCCCGGACTGGGTAGCGCCGAACCAGTGGTGCCGGTGGGTGAGAGGTCAAATCTTCCCAACACGTCAGGTGTCGGCAGAGACGGGACATAATCGCTGTTGATAGACAAACCACGACCTCTAGGCGTGAGAAGCTCAGATGGCCGCGACCGAGTCTTGGACAGAACAGAGCCAGAGCCAATATCATCCGACGTCGATTGGGAGGTCCTACCTCTCAGCGAAACGGGTTTGAGAATGACGAGCTGTCCTGCCCGCTCGACTTGCTCGGTGAAATCTCGCTGGAAGGTCTTGACGATCTCTGGCAGATCGGGGACGTGATCGAGGTCGGCAAGGGGGGACTTGACTTTTTCTTTCCAGGTGGAGTACCACGCCGCTTGGATGTTGACGAACTTGGCCAAGCAGATATTGCCAATCTCAGCGGTCAGGTTAGAAAGCTTGGGAAGCTCCTTCTTGAGGGTATCATCGAGGGCTTCGTACTGCTCAACGGCCTCGGCGAGGGTCTTGTCGATTTTCTTGCCGTTGGCTTTAAGCTGCATGTAGCGCTCGTAGTCAAGACGGCGCTTCGCTCGCTTCTTGATAGCCAGTCCAGGGTTTTGGTAACATTTGATGACTTGCTCAAATGGCTCGATAACGTGTTTGCGAACGTCGACTAGATGTTTGTCCAGGATCTTCTCCATGTCCCGCATAGAGACACTGAACTGGACCCATCGGCTTTCAATATGGGCGTAATCTCTCGATGGCTGCAAGCGCATAACCAGCTCCATAGCAGTTACGTATTGCAGAAACTCGTGGACATAGGTGGAGGCACTTCGAGTGTAAAACTCGACATCGCGAAGTACCACCTGCAGACGAAGGAACTCGTCACCGAACCGCTCGTGAAGTTTGGCGTATTCTTCGTCTTCCGGTGCCCTGTTGCTTGCTCCTTGCAGCTTATCGACACGCTTGCCAAAAGCCCTGGCCAGACCAGCTCGGACATCCGAGTCCTTGCGCTTCCTGTTGCCGACGATCTGACCCACAAGCTCAAAGTTCCTCTTGGTCCTGTTGATCTCGTCAATGGCGCTGATTACGGTAGACTTGGCGTTGACGAGTGCATCTCGATCGGGATGGTCGGCTGGGGTATACTTGAGGAGATGAGCAATGATATCAGGGTACTTGGTCAACCTCTGCATGGGCTTGATGAGAAGGGAATCCAAACTCCAGGCTGCTGTCAGTTCCTTGGCACCCTCGCTGCACTCGTTCAGCCACACCTTGACGGCATCGTCCTCCTGGATCTGGATCAGGCGTTTGGCAGACAGATCACTGGTTCGGAGGTAGACTTCATGGACGGCCTTGAGCTGGTCGATGTTCTTGGTAAAGAGAGGTCCGAGGCTGGTCTGGCGGTCCTTGTCGTCGTCCAATTCCTGCTTGTTCATGGTCCCGCCGGAGTTGATAGACGCCAGTGTCGTCGTATCCGAGTCCTTTGACGACGCCTCATGTGCAAAGGTAGGTGACTTCCTGCCCTTGGGCTGATAGACACTCGCCGCCCCATCCTTCAGCTGAGCAAGGAACGTCAGGTGGAAGGCAATGATGTCGTCGGTATTTCGGAAAATGAGCTTGATCGTCTTGGAATCGAGTTGAGGACACGCTTCCGCTGTGCCCTTGTAAATCTCCTCCACAACGCTCATATCCCGGACAAAGATTTCTTCGGTATCGATCAGCTCCCGGATGACCAGCTGCCGTTGCCGAAGTCGCTTCTGCTCCTGTGTCAAGTTATCTGTAGCTTCGGACGATATGCTCTTGCTCTCGGTTCGGGAAAGATGCGACCGGTCCACTGTCTCGAAGGAAAATTGGCCAGCTGATGGTGGAGAGGAGATGATGGCAGTTCCAAACTCCTTTTCATCATGTGTATGTGGATAACTATTGGGCCGGGAAAGCACTTCGTAGGTGCTCTCGTCCAAATCGTCGTAGTTATTCGCTGCTGCTGGGCGAGCAGGGGCCGTCTGGTGCGACACTAATGGTATCCTCTTCTGGGCAGCAGAATTGTCCCTATCAAATTCTGAGGATTGCCGCGGGTCGGCCTTGTCGGCCAGCATGGAGGATGTAGACGCTCTGGGCGGCTGGTCAAGCGGTGATAATTCTGGACTTCGTGGTGGTGGTGGACGCCGTAAGCTCGACCGATTCCTGTCAAAGTTATTATACGACGCAGGTGGTTCGGGTTCTGTTTGCTGCTGCTGCTGCTTGAACTGCCGTGAATCACGCGGATCTTGGCTATCTAGAGCAGCATTCTGGTCATCGCTTCCAAAGGAAAAGTCAGTCCAGGCTGAATGCTGACTGAGGCGGTTGCCAGGTGACAAGTAGGCAGGTACGGCCAGGCTGTTGGAGTGTGAGCTGTCAGGTGTTTGCTGGTACTCTGCTGTGGAAGGGGGATGTGCATCATATGGATCCCCGTTGTCCGATAACGTGAAAGTCGAATCCCGCAGGCTGGCAATGTTGTCGCGTAGATGCGGGCCAATATAAAAAATCTTCGAGGCGTTCCAGGTTCTCGACCTCAACACGGGGTTCTTCGCGCTGCTGCTGGTGCTGATGCTGCTGGTGCTGGGAATGTGAATGCCCAGAGCCGGTGGCTCCCAATGTCTCATTCAGCGGCGGCTCATCTGCATGGTGCAGACCGGATGGAGGCATCGTGTCACGAGCTTGGTCCTTGTACAACGGTCTAAAATCATTTTCGGGGCCCAATATCGTGACCGTTGTTTCGTAATTTTGTGAAGAATATGTATACGGTTGGGGGACGTATTCGTCTTCTGCATCTGGCTGCACAGGAACCATGGTTGTTGGCTTGGTCGCAGTGAAATCCCCCCGGGTCGGCGTCGGTTGCTGCGAGTGACTGCTGCTGCTGCTGCTGCTGCTGCACAGACGTATCCAGCGCAATCTCGATAGACACATCGTCGTCATCGTCCACATCGTCATCGTCGTCGAATGGCGAATGATAGGATAATCGTTTGCTGTGGGTTGACAAAGGCGATGCCAATGGAGGCGCTGGTTCTGGCGGTTCAAGGGTTCGTGGACTTGGTGGCTGGTCAATCACAATATTTCCCAAGGCATAGTCAATCGCTTCGAGACTCTGCGGCCGTGGCGGTTCTGTTTGCTCTTCCTCTTCGAACTCGGTTACTGCGGTCGCAACGGATATGGCTGATTGCGGTATTGGAATATCGAGCTCGTCGTCACTATCGACAAAGCCTCCTGGTATTCCTAACGTCGGTGAATCACGGCCGTTGCTCGCAGGTGGTTGAGCCGGTGTCTGTATTACGGGTAGGTTGGTAATAAGCTTGAGCGGTTCTTCAAGCCCCTTCTTGTCTGTGTGTCTCCCTGCTTCCGAGGCTCTTCGATGTACTGAATCGGAAGACGATTTGGCCGAGGGCAATGCAGCAAGAGCGGCAGCTTCCGCTTTGGCCTTGGCGCGGGTGACCGCCTCCATGTCCTTCTTTCGCTTGTCCGCCGCAGCCTCCCTGGCCTCCTTTGCCTGCTGATCTTTGATGGTTTTGCTGTATGCAAGCTTTATAGTTTCTCGTCGCTGGGCGAAATCGATGGGTCCTACGGACAGCTTTCGTCGTCGAATGGTAGCAACGTTGTCGGCGGCCCTCGATCCGGCCCGGCGGTTCGACTTGTCGGGGGACGTTGGTCGGCCGGTGGAGGATTTCATCCGGGAAGCCGCGGTCGTAGCAGTGGCCACGGACTGCCGGGGTCGCGAGCTTCGCAGCGAGGGAGATAGTTTTGGAGCGGGCACAGCCACATATGCGTTGAGCCGGCCGTTGTTGTTATTGCTGCTGCTGCTAGGGGTCGCGATGTTACTCGGGGCGGCTTTTCGATTCGAGGTCTGGGATCGCTTGGCGGTTGCGGTCGCTGGCGTGGAAGGGGTGCTCGATCGGGTGGCAGGTGTTTTGGCCCTCGAGGCCGGTATCCCATGCTGCTGGCGGGAGGATCTTCCGCTGGTAGGGGTTTGTCCGTATTTTAGTGCGGCGGCGGGGGAGTTGGATCGGGTGGACACCGGGCTGCTTCTTCCGTGGCTTTCAGAAATACTAGCTCTTTTGACCATGACGGGGAGGCGCGAGGTGGAGGATAGGGGCGTGGTCGGTGTGGACGGAGTAGTTCGGCCGGTGTTGCCAACCGCCCTGCTACTTGTTGTCGCTGTGCCGCGGCCGGACCGGGTGTTGCTTGATTTGGAGGACGAGGACGAGACCACGGCATCGCTATGGGCTCTAGAGTGGTTCTTAGCTACTCTTGCTGAGCTGTCAGGCAGCGCAGAGGCCGCCCCGCGGTACCAGTCGGTTGGAGACTGTGGCTCCATATCTCCCATATCCGAGTGAGAGGAGCTGCGCAGGCGGGGTCCGGGCCTTGTGAGGTCATGTATGCTTGACTCGGAAGTCCGCCGGGGACGACCTCCCCCTACTACTCCCAGGTGGCCTTGGATGCCAAACCCAGCCGTGACCTCGTCTTGTTCGTCGGGCAGGATCTCGCCAAAGAGCAGCCCATTCGATCGCGACAATGATTGTAACGGCAATCCGGTGGTGGGGGACAGCTGCGGCAGCGACCTGGATGCCGGCCCGTTTGCGGCGGCTCCACCGTTATTTCGGGGCTTGCTGATCCGGTTCGCGAACGATTGGGAGTTGCGGTTCGTTATTCGATCGTCGGTCGAGAGTTTGGGTCGCGGCCGCGGAATACTTCTGGATCGTGCTCCGTACAATGTTTGGGATGGGCTGCCGGCGTTGTTCGTCGTTGGGTCTCCTCGCGAGCGCCGTATCGATGTGGCTATCGAAGATGTCGTCGCTGACCCTGAAGCCGTCGTCGTCGTCGTCGTCGTCGTCGTCGTCGTGGTGTTACTGGACCGTGCCGAATAGGAGGCAGCTCGGGCGCCAACGCTGGGAGATCGACCAGCCTTGATGGTGGAAGCGGCAGACAAAGTGGAGGTAAAAGTAGTCGGGTCTCTCAAGGGTCTGGACTGTTGTTGTCCTCGCTGTTGGCTTGGGTTATTGTTGTGGCTGTTGTGGGATGTCCCTGTTTGGTTGAACTTCTTGGTGAGGTCCTTCACGCTCCTCCCCGGTGGGTAAGCCCCACCTGCAGTCCCATACGAGTTAGCTGTTGTCAGCGCCGGCCTGCCATTGCCGCCAAGGCGATCGTCAACGGGATTCGATGCTGAGCGGAGACCCGATCGAGCACCAGAGGCACTGGGTGGTGGATTAGTATGCGCACTACGACCGCTGGACATTTTGGCGGTGCCAGCAACGGCAGCATGAGTAGCAGCATGTGTAGCAGCAGGCAGAGGGGATGGCTTTAGGGCCCCATTCGAAGGTGACCTTGGGGAGGATGGGGACTGCGTTTGTGGTTTGTGTTCTTGGAGTGGTGGTAAGGTGGCCGAGGTACTGCTCTTCTTCATTGGGTCCAGGTCCAGGTCCAGGTCCGTAGTGTGGTTGGGGGTGGTGGTTGTTACAGCGGCAACGGCATCACTTTCCGTTCCAAAGCTACGATAAAAGTTGTCGGGGTCTTCTTCTTCGTCCACTCCCACGTCTAGCGAGTCGGGGACTCTTGCATTGGCGGCAAAAGCCTGGAGATTGACGGCGGCGGCATGGGAAGCAAATGGAATCTTTTGGTTGAGGCTGTGGCCAGAGGCAGACGGGCTGGCCAGGGGAGTTCTTGATGGACTTTTTGTTAGTCGAGGACTGGCCAAGGGACTTTTCAGCAGAGGACTGGCTAGAGGACTTTGTCGACGGCTAGGTGGACGACTGGCTGAGTGGTAGCTGGTATAACTGGCTGAAAAGCTGGCCAAGTGACTGGGTCGGGGCTCAAAGTCTAATGCGGGCGCGGGCGCAGACGGGTGTGTGGGACTGGACTGTCTCGAGTGTTCGGGGAAGTACGACTGATGGTCCTGTTGGTGGGAGTCACGGCGTGCTTGTGGTGGACGGGTGTGGGTGTGGGAGTGGTGGCCGTGGTTGTGGCCGTGGGGTGATTCGGCCTCCTGGAGGTACTGGTACAAGTCTGGGTGTCGACGGTCGATATTGTCTAGAGAGGAATGGTAGTTGTGATGGTGGTGGCGGTTGTATTGTGACTGCGACTGTGACTGAGAGCGTGTGTGATGAGGATGATGATGATGGGAATCTGAACTACCCATAAGCTCATGGGTTGATGATCGGGGGTCATGGTTTTGGATTTGTAAAGAAGTTCGTGAAGCAGCCTCGTCTGCTTGGATGCTGCCGTGGTCCATGGTGACCCGACCATTACTTTTTCCGTTACGACTTTCTTGTTTTTGTCTGGTGGTGAGAGGCGGTATAGTACGGCTGCTAACTTCTGCTTGTTTGACGAACGGTGGGAGGGGAACAATGTCTCTCTCTTAACACGGACCCTCCCTCTCAGCTCTTGTTCACCTTACTAGGCTCTGATGACTCCTCAGTCCAACAGCACTCTGACGAGATTTGCACCTCTGACCCCTGTTCTTGTTTTTTTTCCAAGTGAAAGTCGCGGTCGACGAAACGCGGGACGGGAAAGAGTTGACGAAGGGGGAGGGGAAGTCTGGGATCGATAAGTGCCTGGGAGGGGGGCGAGTTCAAAACTCAGTTCCTGTTCAGGTTGTCGTCAAGTGTCGGTAACAGGCGGTGTTAACGGTGCGAATTGGGTCCTGAGAATGTCGATATCATCCATGCACAGGCACAGGCGCAAGCCAGGGGTTACCTCTGCACTGGGATATGTCGTCTGTCTGGGATGCCATACAGCACCCTGAATGCCACTCTAGCATGCCAGATGTCAGGGCAGGGCATGAAGGCAGTGACGTGTCGACGTGGTTGGGCGATGGGATGGATGGAATCGCAAAAGTCAAAGTCAAGGTTGAAGAGATCTTCCATATTGAAAACTAAAGCGACCCAATCTTCAATCCCGTCTGTGGTGACCAGGGGTCTGTCCCTACGTCGAGGGGGGTGTTACTCTGCTGTGCCTGCCTCTGCCCTCTGTCGGTGGTTCGGGACGCTGCAACACCATATGTGTGCCTGCCTCCTCTGGTGAGGTTCCCCTCTTTTTCCCCTGGCATCTGCATTTCTTACATACAGAGCTTGTTTACTAACAATTAACGAGATAAGACCGAATTCCTCCCGCTCTTCGTTAATCTGGCTCCATCCCCAAATCATTTCTCATACTGCACATCGTGAGACATTCCCTTCTCAACAGCTATTTCGGTATATCGATGGATCCCGCTATAATTTGTCCCTGTGCTAATGACGTTCCAGAACGAACCCCTTCTGCCGTCCATCAGTATAAAGTGGTACCAATGTGGATTCTGCCAAGCTTGCTATAGTGCGAAGATATGCAGTGCATCTGCCTGTACCTACCGGCCCCTGACAGTTCCTCAAAGGTCTTGCTGATACCATCACCATCACGGCCCGATGCGAGACAGCCTGAGTCCAATGCAGGTCCCGTTCAGGTCAGGCCTCAAGATGTGGTCACTGTGGTATCAAGGGATAGTGGCAGACATCTGCTGCTGATGGTGATCATGATGGGGGACGGCGTGTGGGCGTCTATCGGTCACCAACACTGTCCTGTCCTGTAAAAGACCAATGGGATCCTATACTGTGCGTGGTATAGCGTGGAACTCAAAGCAAGGTACCACTGCAACCTTGAGTGCCATGGCAAAGAAAAAAAATGTCCGGTCCGGTGTCTGGGGAAAAGCAAGGACTGCGACCAAAATCCTTCTCCGGCCGTAGACGTTTGAGAAGTGCAAGAATACGAACACCACCCGCAGCAATCAGCCATTGTAAAGGAGGGAAGGAGGGAAGCCACCCATCCTGATGGAAATAAATCCATAAAAGGAGATTGGCCCGTCCACTTCTTTCGGCCGGCAACATTCCCCCTCAAAATGAAAGGCTCGAAACACTGTGGCGCCCTCGTGGCTTCCTCCATTGCGCGCATCCGCCATCCACTGGAGTAATGGAGCAGTTGGAGCAAGGGGAAATTGTTAGCGGCTGTTCTCCATCGTGCCCAATCAGACAAGTCCGGGGTAGGTAACCTCAAGTGACATTGCTCAAAGTTGCTGTGCCTCATGTCCCTCTGTTCCCATGTCCCCTTCTTGTGCCACTACCGGACATACACACGGGCAGTAGCAGAGTCTGAGGCAGTACCTCCGACTTAAATCTCTAGATATCGGGCTTTGACAGTTGTGTTTCGGATGGTTGAAGAATGTCTGCATTTTGGGTCGGGTGGAGAGTTAACTGTCTGTTATGCATCTGATAACGCGTTGCACTGTACAAGTACGTATTAGGCGCGGTTGTACTAACAGTTACCACGCAAACGCCCGTGATAGCGTCTCACATGCGCATATTCGTCCCATTTTCAGGGTACACGAACCCCAAAAACATTTGGAGCCTGGAATGAGTGGAAGAAAGCAAACCACCAAATGTCTCCAATTCGCCATCTCCAACTTTCACGCGTTAACAAGTTTTCCGCGATCGCGCTGTTTCACCAGCCACAACTCAAACTGCTGATTCTTTTCTGTCCAACTGTCTTTCATTTCCGTCAGAAAACCTTCTGATTTTCCATCCAATCAGTCACCAGCGCATCCTCCTCCGCCTTCCATAGGCTCCAGTATGGACCACCAAAACATCCCAAACCATCACCATGTCGATCAAGAAGAGAAAGAGCGTCAGCTTCCTTGAGCTGGACTCAACCGGTAAAAAGATCCCTGGAAGCGATCACGATGAACGGACTGAACCACCATCCGCAAAGCGGCCAAAAACCAACCAAACAGCCAATACCCAGGCCCCTCAACGGCCTCAACATCGTGAACACCCTCAACACCCCAACCCCAAACCCAACCCCATCACCCAAACCCTCCTCTCCATCTACTACCCCCAAACCCTCACTCTCCGGCAATACGCCCTCTCCAAACTGCCCAAGTCCTCCAGGATCCGTCGAAAAAAGATCAGCCAAGTCGGCCTATCTTCTTCTTCCCCTGTCTCTGCCTCTGCCCCTACCCCAGGCTCAGTTCCGGAGAATCCCTCCGGTGCTGCCCATCAGCGTCAGCGTCAGCGTCAGCACCAGCAAGAGCTAGAGCAAGCCCTCGGCCATCTGCTAGACACGACCCTAGTCTGCTGCTCTCACGATGATTTTTTTTCGCTTCAGAAAAAAGAAAAGAAAGAGGAGAAATCAAAAGATTATCGCTGGGAACAATGGGTTTCTTTTTCTCAGGGTGGAGGAGCCGGTGGCGGAGGCGGAAATAAGGGTGATGAAAGTCACGTTACGCTGTCTGATGGGTTGAGGGGCGCGTTGTTTTCGCAGGGGGATATTGTTGATTTTGTGGTTTGGTTGTTATTTTCTAGATCGAGTGCGAGATTACGGGAGAAGAGCGTGACTGGGAATGGAGGAGGAAAAGGGTGGCCGAGGCATTTGCTGTGTGATGGGTTCCGGAAGGGTGTTCCTCCGCAGGGTCGATCGGGTGAAGTTGGAGGAGGACATCATCAAATTCCTGGTGTTTACGCGGTTCATCCAAACAACTGCGTGCGAACGCTGAAAGAAACACCTTGGCCGCAGTTTCTCTTGCTGCTGGGAAAAGAGGGGGAGAGGATCATGTTGGATTTACTGCTTGACTGTGCAGTGTTCGTTGCTGTGAAGGAGGGGAAGGGGAATCTGGTTCAGGTGAGCGGTATTCCTGTGTCGGAATTGCAGCCTTGGACAACGACAGATTCTGGCAGGAAAGACCCGAAAGGCAATACAGGTGGTGAGAACAAGGAACTGAGCCCTTCCGAAATCACCTTTGCCAGAAATCGGATGTTGTACGCCAGAGCGGCGCTCAATGCGAGGGGCTTGGTTCATTTTGGACTGAGGCATATTCGTAGGTTCAGCTTCCGCCGTAGACATATGAAAACAAATCAAGCTGACGATCGTAGACGTATTAAACCGCTTCCCGTTCAAACCACCGTCCGAGTCTGAGGGAGAAGGAGAAAGGAATAAACCAGATGAGAGTACAACTCACGTAATGATGTACATCTTTCCTCGCCAATTTGGTCTTCACAACGTCTTCACCTCGGTGGTAGATCGTCAACAGACTGCGCAGAAGTTTCAGGACTACACTCTCCGGGAAGAGGAAATTGCGAAGAAATTTCCTAAATCTGCAGCCGAGGGAGAGAAGCCAAAGATCAAGATACCAAAGAGACTCAGGGGCAAACCCCAGGAGTTGGTTCATAAACTTCAAGTGCTGCATGGACGGTGTGCCTATGCTGAGATGTTGCAGTATTATTGTCCGGTATATCTCTCTGTATCTCACTCACTCTGGACTAGGAAAGATAACTAACTCACCACCAGCTACCAAAACAACCAGAACCAGAACCAAGGTCACAATGCAGCCAGTTGAGAATTTCAGCCCGCTCCTCGAAGTCATCATCTCAAAAGAGCCGCAAAAGGACACTTCAACCACCATCTACTGCCCAGGTCATCAGCAAGTCCGAGTCCGAGTCCGACAATTCCCAGTCTCACTCCCAGTCTCACTCCCTTCTGGACCTAGCAACGCCCATCGCGAGCATATCAGCCTTTTGTCAAGCAGTTCTCTCAAAAATCATCCCCAACGAGTTCTGGGGTCCCTCACCCTCATCCTCATCCTCATCCTCAAACCCAGACTCCTCGGAAACCCCCAATATCCAATCCCACAACAACAAACACCACTTCCTCAAACAAATCGACACCTTCATCCGCCTCCGCCGCTTCGAGTCCATGACCCTCCACCAAGTCATCCAAAACCTCCACATTTCTTCCATGTCCTGGCTCGCCCCCCCATCTACCAATCAAAATCCGTCATCACATTCACGGCAGAAATGCTCCCAGACCGACCTGGCAAAGAGAAAAGAAATCCTCCTCGAGTTTCTGTATTACATCTTCGACTCCCTCCTCATCCCCCTTCTCCGGTCAAACTTTTACATCACAGAAAGTTCAGCCCATCGCTACCGCTTGTTCTTTTTTCGGCATGATGTCTGGTTATCACTTACCAAACCGGCTATGACTTCTTTGAAAATGAAGATGTTTGAGGAACTTAAAGGGGGTGAGGCGGTGAGGTTGTTGGAGGGGAGGAAGTTGGGGTATTCGCAGGTTAGGCTTTTGCCGAAGGGTGGGGGAGGGGGTTTGAGGCCGATTATGAATCTGAGGAGGAGGGTTTTGCTTACCGGCAGAGGGTTTGGTGGTGGTGGTAAAGGGGCTGGGGGGAGAGTGATAGGGGGAGGGAAGCAGATGCGAATGCAGATGTTGGGGCCGAGTATCAACTCTGTCCTTGGGCCGGTGAGCTCGATGTTAAAGTTCGAAAAGAGGGAGCGGCCGGAAAGGTTGGGAGGGGGGATGTTTGCTGTGGGGGATATTTATGGGAGGGTTAAGGGGTTTAGGGCGAGGTTTTTTCCGAAGGATGAGGGGAAGGGAAACGAAAAGGGGAAGGCGAAAGGAAAGAAGAAGCAAAAGTTCTATCTCGTCAAAGTGGACGTGCAAGCGGCGTTCGACACCATTCCGCAGCAGGCAATGGTTGAGCTACTAGAGAAAATCCCGGGACATGCAGTATACAAAGAGTCGAAGCATGTGGAGGTTAGTCTTCCGTTGGATTACGAGCATAACTCAGCCAACAACACCAGCGTCAGCGGCAACAACACCACTGGCGACACGAAAAACAAAAACAACAAGAACAACAAACCAAAACCGACCAAAAGATGGCACTCAACAACCACACCCTACTCTCCTCTCCCTTCTACCACCTCTACCGCCTCCAACTCACCGTCAACTTCCATCCTCCCCCAGCCCAATCTAGCACAAGGGAAAAAGCAAACCCTCTTCATTCCCTCCCAATCCTCCACAAAACTGCACACCTCTTCCTCCCTTCTGTCTCTAGCAAAGGAACACATCACGCAGAACCTCGTCAAGATCGGCAAGAAGTATTACAGGCAGAAGACGGGGATTCCGCAGGGTTCTGTTCTTTCTAGCACTTTGTGCAATTATTTCTACGCTGATCTGGAGCGGTCAGAGGGGTTGGCTTTCCTCAACCTCGACTCCGGATCTGAAAACGAGAGGGAGGATGGACAAGAGGATGGACAAGAGGATGGACCAGAGGGGGAGGCAGCAGGGGAAAGCGGAGGAAAGAGAGAGAGAGGCGTGAGTAAAGACGGCTCAACCCTACTAATGCGTCTCATCGACGATTTCCTCCTCATCACCACGTCCCGTTCCAAAGCCCGTCGGTTCGTCGAAGTGATGCATCGGGGGTTTTCGGAGTATGGCGTCAGTATTTCTCCTCACAAATCTCTGGTCAACTTTGACGTTGCTGTTGACGGCTGTCCGGTGCCGAAGTTGAAAGGGAGCCTCACGACGAAGTTCCCGTATTGCGGGTTGCAAATCGACACCCGAACACTGGAAATCTGCAAGACCGGAGCCGGTACAGGTCATGAAGCGGATGCGAACGATAAGAAAGACCCAATAATCTTCAACGGAATAACGGTCGAGTATTCCAAAAACCAGGGACGGAACTTTAAGCGGAAGGTTCTCAGTAAGTCACTCCCTTGTCTCTTTTCCTTTTTCAAGTCTTCTTCTCCCCTTCCTTTCTGCAAGTCTCAGGTCTACAGGTCTTCAGGTCTTCAAGTTTTGCAGATCTTAAGTTATGGCTGAAGACTGACAGTTGATAAAAACAAAAAAAACAGACGCCTTCAAAATCCAATCCCATCTCCTCTTCTTCGACACCTCTCACAACTCCTTCGCCACCACCCTCCGCAACCTCTACTCAGCTTTCGTCCAGACGGCTATCAAGTTGTGGGCGCATGCTAGGTGTCTGGGGGCGAGCCGCAGACCTAGCGCGAGCTTGGTGATCGGTAAGCAACCTAACCCGTTCTCTTGCTTTCCCGGATTGTGATGAGATGGGCCGTGGCCTGGTTATGTTTGTTTATAACGGCCAGGAGAGGCGTAAGGGGGAAATAACAATTGAGAATGGACTGTGACTAACATGCCTTGCGAACAGATACAATCAAATCCCTAATTGACCTCTCCTACCGCCTCCTAACAAGCAAGTCCCGCAAAGAGAGATATCCAGGCTACCAATGCACTGTGGCTAAGGGCCAGGTGGCGTGGTTAGCTATGGTTGCTTGTCGACAGGTTTTGGTCAGGAAACAAGCTGGGTATAAGGGGGTTATTGGGTGGTTGGAGAGAGAGATAGGGGAGTTGACGAAGGGGAACAGGAAGATGGATACGAGGGTTTTGGTGAAGGTTGCTAGGGAGGTTGGTGTTCGGTGTTAGAGTTGAAGGGGCTAGGTGGGGACTGGGTGTAGGTTGTAAAGGCTAGGCTGTAAGTTGGGTGTAAGCCTATTAGGTGCGATGTTGATACAGTGATAGCTATCTAGGTCTAATGTCATCGATGCATGTTTATGAATACAGTTTACCCCTGTTTCCAACCCAACGCCTTCTTCAGGTCTAGGTCGGTTTTATCCAACTACCCGGTTTCCTTTTCCAACGCCTTACACCGCAGAGTAGGTCATCACAAACCCTTTTCTCTCTCCATCTTCCCCCCTCCAAACCCATCACCACCCCCCAACCCCAATTCATAGGATCATATCCTAACCCCCCTCTCCCACCACTTGCTCCCCCTCCAAAAACTGGGCACATACTCCCCATCCAACCTCCACCAATCTTTGGTACCCTCCCCTGGCATCCCTCCCAGCCCCAACAGTCTAAACACCGAAACAGGCACCGGCTCAAACAAAAAGAGTCCAGAACGGGCCATGTCGTCGATTAACATCCAGCGGGTCCAGTGAAGCCATAGGAGCACGAAGAGGCCGTTGCCTGTTCTTTCGAGCCATCTTGGCATTTCCTTCCATGTCTTCTGCTGTCCGGTAATTTTGGTGAGGAGGTTTCTGAGTACGACAGTCAGGAAGGCTTGGATCACGCACCCCAAGAATTGGGAGACGAAAAAGCCGACTGGTTCGAAAAAGACGGGTAGTCGGTTGCGCGTTTCGAGGGTTAGGAGGTCGGTGCCGGAGGAGGGAGAGATGCGGAAGGCTGTTGATGTCCATCCTCCTAAGGCGTGCAGGACGCCGGAGAGGAAGAAGGCTGTTGCCATTTCTAGCATGGCTACCACCTTTTGTTTGCGCGTCCTTCGTCTCTTTTTCCCTTCGTTGGGGCTCTTCTCAGTGCCGTTCATTGTCACTGCGCTCTCTCTGGTCTTGCCACCATCCTCATCTTCGTCAGGGCCAACGTTCCCATCATTAATATCCCCGAAAACCCTTCCAACCTTAACCAACCACCTAGCCGGCCCTGTAAACCCAACCCTAAAACTCTGATGCCACCACCCGCCCCAAAAACCGGCTAATCCTCGATCAAGCACATTCCCCACGAACCCGCCAAAAAAACACGGGTACCGCCACAACTCGTTCATCCCTTGGCTTTCGTTCCCTAGCATCCTTCCCAAAACGAAAAACTGCGTGAGTTGCCAGACGTAGCTATACAGAAATAATCCACCTAGCACACCTGAGAGGGAGAAGAGGGAGCGGGCAAAGTTGAGGCCCCAGGGTGGAAGGGAGGCTAGGAATTTGGCTGAGGCGAGAGATAAGGGTGGGAAGGCTGAGTTGGAGAAGGATAGGGAGGCGAGGTCAGATAGGTGAGTAGGGTGGCGGAGAGGGCCGTTGGGACCGGCGACGAAGTAAGGGTCTAGGCGAGCGGAGATTGTGAAGAAATCTAGGGCTAGGTAGGACCATGTTATGTGGAGGAGGCGGGTGGTGAGGAAGTGACGGACGGTGGGGGAGCGGTGGAAGGTTTGGGGGGTGGAGAGGGGAAGGGTGGTGAATGAGACGGGGATGCCGGTTGGGAAATAGGGCAGAATTTGGGAGGTGGTGGTGGAGGGAGAAGAGGAAGAGGAGGAAGATGATGAGGAGGTGACGATGGACTCCGGTAATGGAGGGATGACGGGTGGTTGAAGAGAGGGGATGGAGGAGATGGAGTAATTCCAGCCTGATTTACAATGTCATTGTTAGTTTGAGTTGCGTTTTCTGTTTCCCAGGGAAGAAAGAAGAGAAGAGAAACAGAAGAAAACGTACCAGCACCCCTGAAGGAATTAAACATATCCATCACCCAATCCAGCCTCTCCCAAGCTGTTCCCCGATCCGGGTACGGCTCCCAGTAGTATTCATACTTGTCGAGGTCGACAGTTTCGTCTACTGTCCATCTCTGTCCATTTGCTCCATGATTCTCTCCTAGAACCAGTGGACTTTGACTTTGACTTTGGTCCGCCTTGGTACTAGTCTTGGTCGACTCAATAGGTAAAGAAGTTGACACAGCAACCTTTTTCTCATACTCCGTATCAGCCAAATCCCAACCGCAGCTGATGCCGAGGTTTCTCCGTCGTAGGTCAGTGGTGTCAGGACCCCAGCTGCCTCTTTTGATGAGGCCGTTTTGTTCGGATTTGGATCCCCGGGTTTTGGCTGCGGTGCCGTTGGTGTTCACGAATCCACCATTTGGTTCCCCATTTACCAGCTTTCCATCCTGGATTCCATTCGCCATCTCCTTCCCCTGAGCTGGAATATCACTCCCACTCCTCCGTAGTCGTCGCCGAACCCTCATCGCAACACCCTGATACCCCCCAAAAACCACCGTCTCCAACCCCCAAATCGTTCCCCACCCGCACATCAATCCAGCCGCATAAGCCATTGCCGTACAAGCGCTTGCCGTAGTTTTTCTTGGCGTGGTAAACCACCTCCATATTCCTCCCCGTTCCCCATCCCCATTTTCTTCAAGTGCAAATCCGCCGAAGCCAGGAAGACCGACGACGATTCCCAGGTTCCACCACACGATAACCGCGCCAACTACCCATCGGAGATGGTGGATCCATTCTCTTCGTATCCTCACTTGTCGCTTCTCGTTTTGACCGGTGGTGAGGGTGGCGACGCGGTATTGCGGGATGCAAAGAAATGCGATTGGTAAAAGGAAAGAGCCAACCAGACAGAAAGGGAAGAGGAAAGGTTGGACTTTATTTGGATCTAGAGCTTGGTAGAAGATGGAGCGAAAGTTGGAGAGGTAGTGGGCTGGTAGGTTGATAGGCGCATCTGATGGTGGTATGCCGGCGGTAGGTGGTGAAAAAGAGGCCGACATTATGTCATGTCATGTCCGACTCTGTAAGTGCGGACGCAGGCGGGTGTAGGTCGGTTGGTTGGGGTATGTTGCAGCTGTCAGTGCTGTAGGAGGGAGGGAGTTGGAGATATTGGAGATCGAGAAGCTGAAAGTCGCGAGGTGATGAATCTCTATCGCCAGTTCAAAATCTCGTTGACCTTAGCGGTGACGTGTCTGGCCAACAATAAGAGCTACTAAAAAAGCTGCTTGAAAACTGTGCAAAAAAGAATGCAAAGAGAGAAAGGATTTATTCGAGCCTGCGAAACCCAGCGCAGACCCAAAGCAAGAGAAGAATGACAATCAATGTCTCACAAATCAATTGTGTCACCGCCGCCGTCACTGTATCCGCCCAGTCCCGTGTGTCCGTGTTGTTGATCACGAGCAAACCGCAAATATCTGGGTCTACGAGACGGGACGACGGCAGTTTGCTCAGGCTAGTTCTAGTGGACGCCACCTACCCTGAAGTTTGTGCACCTTGCACCAAAGTCAAGGATTCCCGTCGAACCCAATGGAGGCAAGTGAGAACCCTGAAGGCTGTTGAAAGTAATCTCCACAGCGCGGTAAAGCCCGCTGTCATTGGGGCGATTCAGATGCGATTCGGGGCAAACATATATAAGGTAGCCCTATCGATGCAGGGGCAATCCTGATTTCTCGGATGCCGGATCTTGATTGCTACCAACGGATCACCAGATGAGCCAGATCGGTGGGAATTGCTTCTTTTTTTATGTCAGGTAATTGGTACACTAGAGGCTCATTATACGTAGGTAGGCTACTTTTTGGTGTCTTCAATTTAATGTAATCCGGAGTTCGGACTATCGCTGTCGGCTTGGACTGTGTGGTTTAGCTAGGTAGCCCAACTCAAGAACACTTTTCACCTCTACACCCTACCTACAGCTCTCTCTCTGCACCATGCCATGCCATCTATTCTCCGTCATCCGCTCCTGAATTGAAGTCGAGGGGGGACATCGACAGTTAGGTAAACAAAACACCATGATAAACATCGCCAAACCCCTTATGCGTCTTCGGACTCACTCCCAACACGCTCAAACACACTCAAAGCAGGCTAAGTTTATAGCTACCTCTAGACGGAAAGGGTAACTTCTTTTTCAGTTCTCAGCAACTACAGCGAACGCCGTTATTAAGCCAATAACCATTACCGTAAAACCACAGTGACGCCTTTTCTATGTCTGACACACACATACAACCTCGAGCGCTAATACACACAAGCATTGATCCAACAAGCAACAAGAGTATAGCCAATAGCCTAAGACCTCCCCTCCTCTCAGCCTCATACAACTCCCTCTTCAGATCCATAAACAAGTCTTCAATCTCGTACACTTCTTGTCTCGACAGGCCGCCTGTTGCCGTTGCGGTTCGCAGCTCGGCGAGACTGGCGCGGAGGGTGGTGAGGATTCTTTCCTTGCTGCCTGTGCTTGGGTTGCTTGTGCTTTGGTTTTGGGTTGGGTTTTGGCTTTGGTTGCTCGGGTTGTTGTTGAGGTTGTTTTCCAAAGAGGAGGCCTGTGCCTTGTCCTTGGCCTCGCCAGGTTGATTTGGTTGATTTTGCTGCTGCGGTTGTGGCCTTTGTCGCTGCGGTTGTTGGTGGAGCTTTTGCTGAAGACTTCCTGGGCGACTGTCTTGTGGGTTGTTGTTGTCGTTTCCGATCTCGCTGCTTTCGCTGGTAACAAAGTCCTCCGTCAGCCTTCCTTCCACCGGTCTTTGCTTCACATCTTCCAACCCCGTGTTGTTTCCCACCTCTTGTCTTCTTCTTCTTCTTCGTCTGCTGTTGCTGTGATTGTGATTGTGGTTCTGGTTCAGGATCATCAACTTCCATATCATCTTCCTGTCCGAAGGTTTGCTTCTCAGAGAGAACGGTGTCCTCCACCAACACATCGCTCCCGTCACCACTCCCATTTCCACTCCCACTTCCATCCCCGCTTCTCCTACCAGCACCACCAGGCACAGTCATAAACGGCGAACTAGGAATCAAGTCCTCATCCGAGTGCTCAATCTGAGACAAAGAAAGTGACTGTCTCTCATCCGCACTCCGAGACTCGAATTCTATCTGAGACTGGACGAGCTCTTCACCATCGGATGATAGCTCTTCTATCTCCGGCACCTGTTGAGCCCCTTGTGACCCTTGGGACCCTTGGGACTCAGCAACTTCCTCACTTGCCTCAGCAGCACCACCCATATCAGGTTGTCCAGGCTGCTCAACCTCCATCGGCACCGGAGCAGGCGCAGATAATTGTGATATCTGCTGCGGCAACGAAGAGGGGATAGTTCGCTGATAGGCGGCAGTCTGAGGCAGACCCCTTGCTCGCTCAGTAAGAACAGAGTTAGACACCACCGATACCGAGGAAGCACGGCTAGACGGTGGTTGCGACAATGAGGAAGACCTCGAAGAAGACACGACGGAGATGGGTAGGCGCTCGTAGAAAATCGGTTCTGGCTTGGGGGGCTGAACCTCTGCCACCCCCTTTTCAGCAGCAGGCACGGGTGCAGTAGATGAAGGGCGTCCAACTCTCCTCTTCTTTGTAGGTCCAGTCCCAGCAGTCGCAGCAGAAGTAGCAGCAGTTCCAGTAGCAGCAGGAGCAGTCTCCGAAGCGGAAGAAGCAACCCTCTTCCTCTTCCCCTTTCCCGTTCCCGTTCCCGCTCCCGCCCGTGCGCTCGTCGGGCCCTTAAGTTTTGATGACTTCCCCTTTTCAGCCTTTTCTTGGGGCTGTGAACTAGTAACCTGTTCAACTGAGCGGTTGGAAGCAACAGAACTAGCCCTCGATCTCGTCACCCTTCCCCTTCCTCTCGTTGCCACGGGCGCCGGCGCTAGCTTTGGAACATGTTCGCTTTCGTCGATGATGTTATCGTCGTCCAAAGCCACGATGCAAGAAGCAGCCGGAGAGAGAGCGGCTGACGCAGAACCAGGTCCAGCAGGTCTATTAGAAGAATTGGGCTTGAGGTTGGCTGCTGTGAGAGGTAACTTCTCTGGAGAAACGGATGGTGAGGGACGGGTGTATTCTTGTCTGTTGATGGTTTTACCTGAGTCGAGCTCGACGACCAGTTTCAAGAGGGAGCGGTCGTCCCACTCACCGCCGTCGTAGGAGGGAGCGCCGGATGGGGTGGGTGCGGGTGCGGGTGCTGTGGCTGCAGGAGCAGTAGTTGGTGCGGTTGCGAAAGCGGGAGTAGGTGCCGGAGGTGGTGCAGGAGCGGGAGCGGATTTCTTCACCGGGTCTGTGTTGGCTTGAGTCGTGGCTCTTGCCGACCTACCGGCACGGTGCGGCGTCGGCGGCAGCGGGCTACTAAGCGCATCGACAAACTCCTCCAGCTCGTGATCCGATTTCTCTGGCGTGTCCTGACATGGCAAAACCAGATGCGCTCGCAGTCCTGAGCCCTTGACAGAAACACTAACAGCTTCCTTGGCCGACTTAGCCTGCTCCATGGTAGGAAGAACCTGATTGTCCTGCTCGGGCAGCACACTCTCCTCAATAATATCATCATCTTCCTCCATCAAATCCTGCCCAGCCTCCTCTGCCGGCGCAGGCGGTGACGATCCAACCGCAGCATTAACAGCATCCAAAGCCGCAGCCACAGCCAAACTCGAGGGTACTGGCGCAAACGACTGCTGCCTCAAAGGCGAGCCAGAAATAGGAGAAGAGGACAACTGCCAATCATCCAACAAGCTGGTGTTCGCCGACCTGGACCTTATCTCAGCCGCGAGTGGATTCCTCCTTGGTTCCATCATCGGCGGTGATGAGGGCGGGTCCATCATGTCCATGTCTTGATCGATGATCACCAACGCCGCTTGCCCGCGACGCGGGGTAGGCGTCCCACTGACATGATCGGTGAACCTGCCCCCTGGATTGCTGGGGGTTCCAGCCTGGGGAGTCGATGGGGAGCCCTCGCGTGAGCGGGCGGCGAGACGCGCGGAGCTTCGGGTTCGTGTAGCTGGAGAAGAACGGAGCTCGGGGAAGAGGGCGGCGTTTTCCTTCTGGCGCTCGCGGACTTCTTTTTGGCGCTCCGTCAAGAGTTGGGATTCCATTTCCTCATTGATGAGGTTGAGGTGGGGCGAGGAGTCGACCGCCGCAAACTGGATCTGGGAGTCATCGTGTCGAAGTCGTGGTGCTGCCGCTTTAGGGCGGGGGTTGAAGCCAGAGCTTTTGACTTCGGGAGTGGCACTGGCACGTCGCGTGGCTGGAGACCTGCGCTTAAAAGGGTCCGGTGTCTTGACTGGGGAGTTTGTGCGTGAAGCGCTTCTTGTTGTGCGTCTTGAAGATGGTGGTGGTAGTCTAGGTAGGCTGAACTCCTCCACTGACTCGACAAAGATAGGTTCGTGAGAGGGATATTCGAGGCTGGAGAGCTCTAGGCCTGGTGTGACCAGGTCGGCATATGGTCGGAGCTTTGCAAGAACTTGCTTGAGCTCTTCAGGGTAGTCGAGCTTCTCAGCTTTGCCATACAGTCTGTTCCAAAGAGATACAGCCGAGTTGACAATGTATCGATGAGAGGAACCGAGGGTGGCACAGAGGATGCGGGTGAGTGAATCCAACTGCTGCTCGGGGCGTTCGGTTGTCGAGAGAAAACCGCATAACTTGTCCCAAAGCGTGTTTGTCTATTTCATGTTAGTCTATGTTTGCCTACTATTTTCGACACGGAGTACTCACCACAGCCACGATGACGTTTAGTTGGCTGCCAAGCAGTCTGTTAGAATCTTGGAGCCAAGGAAGGAAGCCATCTTGAAGAATGAACAGTGTCCTGAAGACAAGTTGTTGGTTACACCTATCGAAAAAGCCGACAACCTCTTGCAGGAGGCGGATGATGAGTTCGGAATTATCCGAGTCGAACTCCTTGTACAGGCGGGTCGATGCCTCATTGATAGCCTTGTACAGGTTGTCAAAGGTATCGAATGTTGCCGAGCGGGAACCAGCCAGGGCCGTTCCCCAGAGCCGTCTTCGAGCTGCGTCAACGGCTTGCTTGTCGCGTGGTTGGATAGCAATCGACAACAACTCGGCTACACATCGGACTCCGTTAAAGAAAGCGACCATGGGCCCCGGAGTAGTAAGTTGATCCAAGGCCACCTTAGCTAGGGGCTCAATGGCAACAATGGCAACTCCGGGTTCGCCTGCCTCTGATCTGACCCTCTGGTGAACAGCATTGAATAGTGACTCCCAGTGCTCACGGGGCAGATTAGGAGTCGACCTGATTCCACGCTCAAGGACCTTGACGATATCACGGTAATCATGACCTATGGGTGTATCACCGGAACCAGTCGAGTGATTGCTACTCTGATCAGGCTGAAGCCATCCCTCAAGCGCCTTTGCAACAAACAGCCACATTCCGTATGGACGTGGTGTCTCCATAGGAATCATGGCGAGCAAATCTAGAGCAATTTCCATCTTTCCCTTCTCGGTCTTTGCCTCGGTGAAGTGCTCAAAGACTGAAGTGAAGAAGACTTCAAAAGTCTCGTCGTCAGGGATGCCATTAGGAAGCCCAGACAGCATGGAGAACAGGTTGTGCATAGGAGTCTTTTGGCCAGCTTGGGCCTTGCCCAGCTTCTCTGTGAAAGGGAGGAGACCAAGTGAGGTTATCATGATCTCCACATACCCCTTTGTAGCACGAAGAAAGTCCACTGCCGAAGCAGCATCACCTGGTTGTACACCCTTAAGCCAAATCTTTTGCAGAACAGACAATGCTTCTGTTATAAATAAGCCTGTGTCTTTGGAGACCTTGATCTCTTTAGATGCGGCAGATGCAATAGAGCCAACGAGAGAGGCCCAGAGCCAGTAGACTGCGCTCTTCTTGTTGGAAAGTGCAATAAAGTCTTGGGCGAGGATAGGCTCAATCGCAGAAAGAATCATGCGCGCGTTTTTCCGAACCCATTTTGCGTCAATGGCTGGAACCTCCTGGGGACTAGCGAGGGGTTCGTCCATTACTCGATCCACAGTCCATCGCCTGGCTGTTGTGCAGTTGAAGAGACCGCTGAGGATGACACTTGCTTGTCCATGGGTCTCCTGTCGTTTCTGGATTGGGTTCTCGGCTGCTGGTTTGGAAAGTTCTGGGCTGGACACCAGTGCCGTAATGATGGGTTGGACGCCGGCCTTCCAGTATCCATCCAGCAAAGTCACATTCGTGTTTGGTTTGAAAAGATAGTACCAGAGGTTGCACACATCGCCCAAGACGGCTGCCCTTAGTTGTCCTTCCGAGGCCTTCCCGCTGTTCTTCCTCTTGAGCTGACTAGTCAGAGGGGTGATGATGGTTTTGATAGATGACTCGAATGACGGCTCTACGGCATTCGTCAAGTAAGTGAGACGAGCCCAGGCATGATGCGCGGCAATCTTGGTAGGGTAATCGATGTTGTTGAAACAATTTTGGACCAGTGTCAACCAATGCGCTGTACGGTCCCATACCCTCAGGCGGATCCGCAACAAGAGGATAACGACGCTCCAGATGTGAGGAACCGAGGCAGAGACGGTCTTGTCCTTGACCATAGATTTCAGCCTCTCCTCGTAGTACTCGATGTACTTCTTTTCTTCCGAGACCGAGTTGAATATCTCCATTGCCTTGCGCGAAAGCTGGACTTCATGGCCAATGGTGAACGCAGCGTTGAGGCCCAGGGTGACGGCTTTCTCCCTGATATCCTTTATTGTGCTGAGCATGTCCGTGAAAAGGTCATACAGCCAGTCCGAGTGGATGACCATGGTCTTTCCCGTTTGGCTGACCAGTTTCTGGTATATCATGACCCGATACATGATGATGCTCTTTCCCTTGATATTCTCCTCGATGTTGTGTAGCGACGTGACCAATCTGCCGACTCGCTCAGGGGTCATAACCTTGGACGGAAAGTTTTGTATCAACACAACCTGCATCAAATGCCGAGCCGTGTCTTTCGGGGTCGAGGTGTCTTGGAAGGATCGGATACAGTGATCGATGAGGAAGGATCCGAAATCGGTCGTGATGGTCGAGGCAATGGCAGGGAGGCCAAGGAAAGTGACGATCAGCTTGAGAGCATGTTGAACAAGCGATGAATCGAGGGTGCCCTGAGGTGTCCTGGCGACAAGGTCTCTTTGCATGAACTGCATGAACAAGCCCATCTTCTCTTGCAAAGCCACCCTGTCTGGTAGGTTGTTGGAGACCTTGAAGGCGCGCGTCAACATCATGTAGGAATCGAGCTTGGAGTCGCGATCGCCGCCGGCGAGTTGCTTCAAGGTTGACTCCAACATGTTGGCAATGGAGGTATTCGCGTTCGAGGGATCGGACGGGTCGCCGTTGTTTGCCTCGAGAGGATTCGGGACGTGGTGGGTGATTTTGAGGATGGATTTGACGGGCTTGGAGGCGCGTCTCGAGAGGGAGACGGGGGTCGGCTGCTGTCTCTTGTCACCGTCGATAAAAACTGGAGCGTCTTTGTATTCTGCCTTTGCCGAGAACCCAACTCTTTTGACGCTTCGTTTGGATGTGGATTTGCTGTCGAGGCCTGAGCCGGGCGAGTCTAGGGCAGGCGGGGTATGGACGGCCTTGAGATTGCTGTCGAACTCGATCGGGGCCAGGACATTTCTTAGAATCGTAGCTGGGGGCGCATTATGTGGTTCTCTTTTTGGTGGAGTGGGCGGTCGTGGTGGCAGAGATTCGAGGCTGATGGTGTTATTGGACATGATCTGGATGGAAAGCCGGTCGTCGTCGAGGTGGGGGATGACAGCCGTGTAGGTCCAGCCTAGGATGGCATGTGAACAAGGACAACGCCGGTGCTTTCGAGTAGGAGAGCTAGATGGTGGAAGCTCCTTGGTTGCGCATCACAGCAAAGGGAGCGAACGAGTAGAAGAAGAAGCCGAAGTGAAGAACAGACAATGAAGTCGTGAAGAGCTAAAGTGACGTGAAAGTCAACAGAAAACGAAGATGGCAACCAATGGCTGTCATTCACCGACAAACTGTACTTTAGTGGTGGAAAAAGGAACGTGGTGGTGGTGGTGGTGATGCTAACTTTGTCGCCTTGGCTATGCGATTCAAACGCGAGATGTTAGGAAGAAAATTGACTTGGTTGTAATGTCTGTCCACCTCTCCTTCCTCTTCAGTTCACAGAGTTCAGTGTCTAGGCTACAGCGCGGGCGGTGACGATTTGTGCCGTGATGCCAATCGCTGATAACTGAAAAGGATTTAACGCGGTCGCGACTGACACGGTTGCACATCGCGTCATGCTGCCACTGATTTACAGGGGTCGCGCGCAGGTCTCCAATCCACTTTAAGGGGCTCCCCACCATTAAACCTTTTAGCTTTACAGACACCTCCGTTTAGGACATGAGCTCTGCTTGACCACCAAGACAACAGCTCGCTTTTTCCGTTCGAGGCTTCATCAGAGTTGTCGGAGTAACAGAGTATCAATTTCACTATGAGACATCATTCTTCAGTACCGGAGATGCATGAACTAAGAGGTTTGATCAGGAGTGTTAGTGGGAGATGTAAGATGGGAGGAGAACCATAAGACATTAGCAGTTCAAACTAACAGCTGCTAACACTCCGCTTTTGATCCGCTTTGGACATACAGTTGACGAGCTTGGTCAATTTAATTGTTTGTGCACCGTATCATCATAGCTGGACATTCTCTCGACAAGAAGATGATATTTACCAAGGAGATTAAACTTCGTTTGAAGAATCCACAGACTTCATACTATGAGATGAAATCACTGAAGCGTAAATGTCTGTTTTCACTGAACATGATGGCTCGGTCAAGCGTTCATGGAAGCTCTTCAACTTTGGATCGAGCTTCAAACACCAACTTGGAAGGTGGGGCCACTGTAATTAAGCTTCAGTTCTTACAGTGTTCACCGTCCCGATTCTTCTGTCATCCGGCCAAGTCTTCATCGGTTCATCTAGCTCACTTCCCTTCATTCCATTACCTATCAATCACCACCACTCCTGCCTTAACCTTAATAATTCTAGTACATCTACCAAAGGCTAATTCCAGGTCGCCTCAGCCCAAATCCGAGTAAGACTGGTCACCGAATCTTCGACCCAATCATCAACATCAGAATGTTCTCAATAGGAGTCTCCGGACCAGGTCAGTTACCACTTCTTCCACTAGAGACATGGATCAACTAACACCCAAATAGCCAAGCTCCAAGCTGTGACTACCCTCGTCAACAAATTGACCGAGGACCTCAAAAGCAAAAGCCTCTCATCAGAAGAACGAGACAAGGCCTTGGAGGAGCTCAAGGTGTATGGTCGTGACCCTAGAAATGCGGACCCCATCTTCACCAAAGAAGGCATTGAGACCCTCACCAAGCACGCCTTCGAGTCTTCCTCAGAAACCACCTCAAGAAATGCCCTCCGTGTTCTCTGCAACTCCATGCTGCTCAAACCTGAAACACGACAGGGATTCGTCGACCTAGGCTATGAGTCCAAGGCCTGTGAAAAGCTCAAGAACGACAACTGGGATGACGAGTTCCTGGCTACCCGAGTAATCTTCTTCAGCACTTACGGCACCAGCATCGACCTCGCCAAACTCATCGATGAGGAGCATCTTGCGGATAGTATCGTCAAGAACCTCTCTCGACACGCCACCAGATTCTCTGAGCATGTCCAGAACAAGACCAAGGCGGACCCTATGGAACTCATGGCCCTGGGAGAGACACTCCGTCTCCTATTCAACGTCACCAGCAAATGCCCTTCCAAGACCGACTCTTTCACAGCTGCCGTGCCGCACATCGTGTCCCTTCTTCTCAACTTGGATATCCCGCCAAAAGGGTCACCACCCCTTGAAGCTCCCCTTGGTCCTTTGGTCAATGCGCCCATGAATCTCAAGCTCGACGACGAGGAAACACGCAAGTGTCTCTACCCCAAGGACGCACCCTCCAGTCTCGCCGAAAAGTTGATCAAGCTCCTCGACCTTTGCCTCAAGTCCTACCAAGACCAGGAGCTCGACGCAACCGTCACCCCTCTAGTCTGCCTCATCTCCTCCATCTACGAATATGCGCCAGCCGACTCCCCCGTTTGCGACTCCATCCGCAAGGCCCTGCTCCCCTCGGAAGAGGAGCGCACCAAGGTTCTCGGCAAGGGCGACACCCTTCCCGCCAGTCTGCTAGTCAACATGACCAACCCCATCGCTCCCGAGTTTGCCAAGGCCGTTTCCCACCTGCTGTTTAACATCTCGGACAAGGATGCCCACAAGTTTGTCGACAACATCGGATACGGTTATGCGTCCGGCTTCCTTTTCCAGAATAATATCTCTATTCCGGAGGGTCTTGTTGGTGGCGATGACGAGAAGGGCGAGAGTTCGAAGGGTCAGAGCAGCAGGAGGGCGGTCAATCCCATTACTGGCCAGTTCTTGGATGCTGAGACGTTCCCGGATATGCCCGAGATGACGATGGAGGAGAAGGAGCGTGAGGCCGAGAGGCTGTTTGTCTTGTTTGAGAGGTGAGTAACTAACTGCATTTTCTTGATAAGTCGGAAAACCGGATGCTAATAGCGTGTCATAGGGCGAGGAAATTGGGCATTGTTAATGTCGAGAACCCTGTTGCAAAGGCGGTTCAGGAAGGTCGGTTCGAAGAGTTGCCAGATGACTACGAAGAGGATTCGAACTGAGCTGAGCGGCGGAGGACCGACAACGTTTCTTTTGTTGCAAGTCAGTCCACCTTCAAACCCTCGACATGCAAAGTCTATACAACAAGACTAACAATCTGGACCTAGAACGCATGCTAGGCTACATATTATTGCTACTGTAATGCTAATCAAATATCACCTGGTCTTAATCCCGGCCGGACAAGAGAAGAGTTGACGACGCTGGTGCTGATTTTGCTGCTGTTGATGATGATGCGGACCACCCATCATCCGAGCCGAGCTACCTCTGGTAAACCCAATGCATCCATCCATGTTGTCGATCCTTTTGGAACGATATCGGCTCTTCAGTCTTCAGGGGCACATGATGCGTTTTGAACGGAGTGTGCTCCGCTGCGGTGAGATGGCAGGGCTGACAAGTTGCTTGTCCTAATCTACACCGCATGTCCGGGTACCGGAGACTACGGCACTCCTCCATCACATCACCACCCACTTGTCACCGATCCGTGAAGGACCTTGGTAACTTCATACAAGGTAAGGGCCTCCGTTCCCCGCGGAGGTATACAAATCCCAGAACATGGCACGGAAAGTTCCGTTTTTAGTTCAAATGGTGATCATCAATAGTGGAACTGGTGATTGCAGGGATTAAGGTACCCAAATTCGATCCCTTCATTGCATTGCGAAAAGGAGATAAATCCGATGAGATTGGGATCATTGCTATGTACATTGTCGGTACAACCGATTTTCTTCAGCTCGCACAGCATCGGACAGTCCAGTTCCAACGAGAAGGCCTGATGTCTATCAGGGTAAACCCCGGAACCATGGTCAGAACCACAAAAGGCACAAAAGGAGTCCAATTTCTTCATGTTCTTTTTTCTTTTTTTTCCCCCCTTCTAGAATCTTGTCCCAAGAAACCCCTTTGATATTCTTACACACACACACTTTCCGAATTCCCATCATCATCATCAAGTCCGACCAGGTCGGCGATGATCTTCCCTACTTCGTGGATATGATCACAAACTAAAGAGTCGTGATCCTACCCAGCCGACCCGACGTCCTGTGTTAGTACCTACACTCGTAGGTAAGGTAAGTGGACGGTATCCGAGCTGGACAGGGGTTTGACTAGTACGTAGGGAACCATCAGGGGGGCTGCTGTTGCCCACTGATCCGCTGAGATGGTCGTCAGTCAGTGGATGACCTAGATCGGGGGGTTCGCTCGGTGTGCTCTACACTACTTCCTACCACTACTACCGTACACCACTACCGTACACTACTACTACACTACACCAACTCTCTAATCGCTAGGTATTCCCGTCCGGGTCCCGTCGTGGTCGTGCCAAGCGTCATTTTAGTTCCCTATCACCTATGTCGGACAACGGGAGGAACTAACTGTAGGGAAAACGTCCAAATAAGATGGATGTAAAGAGACATGGGACCTTCACCTACCAACCGTTCCTCTTTCTTCCCTTCCCCTGGACAACCACCCGACCAACCAATACGACTTTACACGTGTAGACGAAACACCAGGCAATATCAAGTCCCGTTCCATCGACACACCACATACCCGTTAATAAACCTTCCCGACTCCCGTCGTCCTCCCACTTTTCCGGATCTCCTTGCTTGATTGTTTGTCCTGAACCAGCGATTTTGTACCGGTAGTGTATCAAACAACCGGTAGAGATACACGCTCCCACACACACACATACCTGTGACACCGTACTATCGACGCAGCCAAGCTGTCTACTGTCTAGTGGTGTTGGCTTATCGTCTGCCTTCACATCCAACCTATTCGGCTGAGGCATCATCACCACTCATTCATATTGACACCCCAAGCATCACAATGGCCAGTCCCATCGGAAATCTCATTCATCCTCCGGACCCTCCTCGATACCGGCAGGGGTCGTCGGGCCAAGCAGCCGCCGGCATAGACTCGATTCTCCACAGCAGCCATCATCAACCTCAACCTCATCCGGGCCCGAGTCCGAGTCCGATCCACCATCTCGGCCCCATCATCGGCAGTCGGCCCGGAATCAGCTCCGGACTGTCTCTTGCTCCGATGTCCATGTCCGGTCCTCATTCTTATTCTCACTCTCATTCTCATCCCATTCCGCCGCCATCACATCTTCCCTCGCAAACCCATCATCAACAAGGGCAGGCATCAACACCGGCAACAAGACAGCCTTTGCCGTCACCGGTTCACAATAACCAGCCTCCTCCTCCACCTCCGCAGCCGTCGAGGAGTCATTCCAGTACTCAGTCACTTTATCAGTGTGCTGATTGTTTACGTACGTTGCTACTACCTTTTTTAAGTTACAGTATCTAACAATGACCAGGACGATACTCCCGACCAGAGCACTTACAGGTACGTCTCCATCCTTGACATTATGCTCCAAGTATTACAACAATGTAGCTAACCGAAAACCGTAGAGACACATTGCGACCCATACTCTCGGGAAGCGTTTCACTTGCGATGTATGTTTGCTCATACAGCCAACCCACTCTTCGGACCATTCGTATACTGACATGAACATCGTCCAGATCTGCTCCAAAGCTTTCGCCCGAGCTGATCTCCTCAAGCGTCACCGCACCAACCACCAAGATGACAGCAACGGAACCAATAAAAGGAGACGCATGAACTCCTCGCCCGGCGCTGGACGCGTGGCTCATGCTTGTCAAGCTTGTGCTAAAGCGAGGGTGAAGTGTGACGAGATGAAGCCGTGAGTATCCAGCCTTCCCAGTCAGAATGACGATTGCTAATAACTATCAGATGTACACGATGCAAAAACCGTGGAATAACCTGTGAAATTGCCCCTTCCGAAGACGCAGCTTTGCATCTTCTTCATTTATCAGCTCATAACCACGCGGAGAGTTATCATCATCATGATCATGACGATTCTAGGCAGCAGACTCCTTATTACCCGCGGGCTTCGGTCTCAGAGCACTCACACGCTGCTTCACATGCTGCCGTCTTCCAAACACATCGTACTTCCGAACCAACAGCAACAGACCATAGTCCTATACTCACCTCTACCGAAAGCGATGAGTCGCATCTCCCGACTCCCTCGGAAAAGATGATGGTGGACCAGAATCAGACTCAACTTGCAACCGCAACCAACCCAGAACAGGCACAATCCTTCCATGTCCCAGCCCCAGTTCAAGTCCAGCCCACCTACCCCTCCAATCAAAACAACACGAGCAGTAGCATGCTAGACGACATAGCCAAACTCCCCTTCTCTGACTTCCTTCGCGACGTTCTTTATGACCAATCCCTCTCCCAAGCCCAAGGCCTAGCGGTTCTCGACTTCTGCGACGACTCGAGCTTGGATCTGAACGCCATGGACTTTGGATTGTTGGATTACTGGTTACATGCTGATGGTCAGGGGTTTATTCCGCTTCCTTCTGATCTGGAGTATCTCGGTTCTGGTCCCGGTCCCGGTCTAGGGTTCAGTTCAGGGGCAGGTCCAACAGCGATGACAGCAGGAGCGGGAACAGCAGGAACATTAGGAAAAACAGCAGCAGCAGAAACAGGTCAAACAGGAACAGGTCAAGGGTCTGAAAGCGCAGCAGATCCCGTGGATATATCCGCCATGCGATCAAAACTGGCTCAGATATGGACTGAGAGCCCGTGGAGGTGGTCGCCCAAGAGGTCGGATAACGTTTATGCTGAGCAAGGACATTTGCCTTTGTCGTCATCTTCTGGTCCGTCGTCTCCTACTATCGGGACTGGTACTGGCACTACCTCTCGCTCTCAGGATCCCATCAACACCACCACAAACAAGTCCAACGCCAACAACAGTCCAAGACAACGGCAAGGCCAGGTTCAAACCGCCAACAATCACCGCAGAAAATTCACGCAACAAACCACCTCCCAGGGGACCCAAGGACAGCAAGGACAGCAAATAACACACACCCTTCACCCCTCCGGCCGCGACTTGATTCTTTCGATAGTCCTGTCAATTTGCAAATCGAACTCGTCACAGTTTTCGAGAGTTGCCTCGTCGTTTCCTTCGTCGGGGTCAATCAACCATTGGATTCACATCTTTTTGGCTTCGCATCTTTGCTCGGTGTCCAGCTTTATCCCCTGCCATCTACCACCCTCCCCCAGTTCCGCCTCCTCTGCCTCCCTCTCCGGTCCCAGCTCTCAGTCAGGCTCCAGCTCAAAGGACCGCTCCAATTCTGGTTCTAACTCCAACTCCGCAAACCAGAAGAACAAAGATGGCAAAGACTCCAGTGCACCACTCTGGTCCCTAAACGCTCAACCAGCCGAATGGCACGCCATAGTCGCCGCAGCCGGCGCAGTCCTCGCCCCCGTCCCCGCTCTCCGCAAATTCGGTTTTGCCCTGCAAGAAGCCGTGCGCGTATCGATCCCCTCGCGTTTCGAAGAAAATAACTCCAACGTCTCCTCTTTGTCACTAGTCCAAGCCCTGGTCCTCACCCAAGACCTGGGAGTATGGTCAGGAAACAGACGCAAGATGGAGATTGCTGAATGTCACCTTACTGTGCCTGTCGCTATGATGCGTGGTCGAGGGAAGTTTACTCGTGGTGCGTATCTGCCGGAAATTAGGGTGAAAGAGGGGGACGAGGGCAGGGAACTGGAAAAGAAATGGAAAGCGTGGATGGAAATGGAATCCTGGAAAAGACTTGCTTTCCACGCTTACTTGCGAGATGCGCAGGTTAGTATGACCCAGCTCGTCGGCAACCCCAGTATAAGCTACGCGGAGATGAGGATGCCGCTGCCTGGACCTAAAGGGTGTTGGTTCGCGCGAACAAAAGAGGAGTGGAAAGCGAGGATGCTGGAAGCGGAAGCGGCTGCTTCCCGAGAAGGTCAGGGAGTCGAGGGGGAACAGGTCCCGTGTCTGGGCGATCTGTTGCGGGATGTCAAGTTGCTGGAAAAAAACTGGATGAGAGTGGACGTGCAATTTGCTATCAGCATTTATTTGCACAGTTTCTGGTCGTTGATATGGGAATATCGACAGCTTGCGTCGATACATAGGCCGCTTTTTGGCCAGCCGAGCTCGAGCTCGAGTCACTTTACGGCGCCGGGGTCGTTCACCGACCAACCTTGCACCACCACCCAGCAAATTTTGATATCCAGACTTACCGACCTCCGCACTACTTTACATCAGTTTCAAGCCCTCATAACCCCCACCACCGGCCCAAACCTCTCCCCTAGCGGAACCTCGCACCTAGCACAAAACACAACACCAACCGAACTCCTCCTCCTCCACCTTTTACTCATGCACATCCACGTCTCTCTCGAAGACCTGCAACTTTTCTCAGGAAAAGAAGGCGAGGAACAAGCAAAGCGTATCTATCCCGTCTTGCAACGGTGGGCGGATAGCTCAGAAGCGAGACAAGCGCTATGGCATGCTGGACAGGTACTCAGGTGGGCGAAGGAGTTTCCTAGGGGACACCTCAGAGAGTTTTGGGCGGCCGGGGTGCATTTGGGGGGGTTGGTGGTTTGGGGGTTTGGGGTTTTGAGTGCTGTTAATCATAAGGGGAGGAAGGGGAGTTTGAGCAATGAGCAGGGTTATCGACAGACGGTGATGGGGGGAGGATATGCAAATGGGGGTGGAAGTGGAAATACTGGATATGGAAACGGGCATTGTGGACGGGAGTACGGTGGACAGCAGCAACCCCAGGGACATTATGGGTATGGACAACAGCAAGGGCAGCAACACCACGCCTATGGATACGGTCAACAGCAGCAACAGCCCGAGCATCAGCAACAACACCAAACCGGAATGTCAAGTTACATGCAACAAGTCATGACGCCCTCAACCACCATCACAACACCAGCAACGATGGCCTCAGGCTCCACACCCTCTAGCATGACCGCCGCCACCCCAGCGTCTACCACTTTCACACCCTCCAGCGGAACCACCTATCATTCTGGATTATCCCAAAGCCAAAACACCATAGTCTACCTCGACGGGCCCCACACCCCGGAAATCGAAAGATTCATCCAACACAACCAAGGCCGTCCGTCGCTCCAGTTATCGTCCAAGGATGGTGGTTCCGACTCGCCAGTGCCGTTGGATGATATCGCAGGCTGCATGTCCGTCTGCAAATCGATCCTCAAAGATAACTTCCCTGATGCTTCATTGCCGGCTATCAGTGAGAATATCATTGCTTTGCTGGGCAAATTGGGCGGGGTGGCGGGGGTTGTTGGTTCTGGGTCTGGTTGATGAGCTAGTCTTTCCCTAGAAGGATGATTGCAGACAGAAGGGAAATGCAGAAATGGAATGGAATGAGGAATTATGGATGGGTGGATGGAAGGTAGGAAGGTAGGAAGGTAGGAAGAAGGGAAGAAGGGAAGAAGGGAAGAAGGGAAAAAGGGAAGAAGAGTCTCCTGAGAGTCAATGGCGGGACACAGAACGCTTGACGACTCAACTCTTCAGAATGCGGGCAATATGAGGCCAAGAAGGTGGTAGACATCGCCTATTATATTTACAGGCCGAATCACACATGGATTAAACATCGAGGCATGGGCAGGAGTTGGAATTAATCTGGAAATATTGAGATACTTCGGATATTTTGATATCATTACAGCATAGCATAGCATAGCATAGCATAGCATAGCATAGCATGAGGGGGAGTTACTAGGTTCATATCAATGCTTTCTACTTTCTTCCATACAGCTGAATAACCACTTTCCTGAAGAAGAGCGGAAATGAACATGGAGAAACTGGTGGTTGTACTGACCTGGTAGGTAAAACCGAAGCCATTCCTGGCCGTCATCATCACTCATCACCCACCACACCCCAATTCCAGTCCGTAAGCTTTTTTGGTCAGGCTACTATCCTCATTGTCATTTGTCTGTCTGTCTGTCTATCTGGTAAAATTTGCCTCTTCCACGCATTCAAAGCTGGCTATATCATCTCTTGCTATTCATCGTCATCACTCATCATCATTCATGCACATCCTCCGTTTCCTGTGACCGATTAACACTCATCCAGATGCCGCCACCCTCAATTCTTCACCCACGCTTTCGTATCGCAGCATCTCTTTCTCCTCCCCCTCACTCTCTCCCCCGCGAAGTCCTTCTAGAATCAGAATCAAAGCCTCGCCTTCTCCACAACCTCCCTCTGCACCCCCATTCCCTTTCCACCCTCAACAAGTCACTCCGTCTTCCCACCCAAAACAATAGTCTGCGCACCCTCAAGCGCATCTCCCGGTTCCAAAACCTGCCACGTACCCACGGCACCCGGTTCCACGCACAACATATTCTTATACCCCTCCTTTGGCTCAAAGTCCGCCATACCCTTCGCCTTTTCAATCCAGGGGTTCCAGACGACGACATTGGACAAGTTATCGCGGAGGACAGTAAACTTGGGCTTGTCGTTCGACAGGACGGTGATGGGCACGGAGGCGGGCGAGTCGCCGGCGGGGGTGTAGACGCGGTCGGTTTCGGAGGAGATGGTTAGCACGGGGGAGGTTTGGGTGTTGGTGGAGATGGGAGAGGTGGTTTTGTCGATGTAGGAGGCGGAGGAGAGGCCGGTGATGGAGGTTGTGGTGATGTCCTTTATTATCATATCAAGGTTAACGGGAGTGACCAAGAACAGGGGAAATTAAGAGAAGAGGAAAGGAAGGGGAAAGAGAAAGGCAAGAGACGTACATCAACCCTCAAATAAGTATGCATCAAAACCTGACACTCCCAACTCCTCTCATCATCATTCGTCACGACCAAGTTCGTCGTCAAGCTATCCGTGTTAAGCGTGACGCTGTAAATCGCATTAAACGCATATGGCCACTTCTGTCTAGCATCCTCGCTCAAGCTCGACGAGCTCAGTCCGAAATCCAGCTTGACAGACATGTCGGCGGCGGCAGCAGCCACGGCTCCGGCGGCGCTGGTGGCCGTCGCGGCGAAGGCGGGGGTTGTCGGAGTGGGAGTGGATTCCGAGGTGGACTTGCCGAGGAATTCCCAGCGGGAAGAGCGGGCGAAGCCGTGCTGCGGGAGGGACTTGGTTTGGGCGTGGTCGGGGGCTGTGCCGAAGACCTGTTTACAATAGCTTGTCAGTCACATTTCCTTTATTTTTTCCCTGTTCGTGCTGATATCGCGTTCATGGCTGGTGTAGCTGGTATAGCTGTCATAACTGCCCAGCCCTCCGAATCACGAGCGGCAGTGTTATGTGGATGACCTACAGGAAAAACCAACGGAATCCCTCCCCTAACAGGCTTACTCCCATCCAACTTGGCCGCCTCACTCAACCACAACTTCTCATCGCCATTCTTGTCCTTCCAGCTGACGACGGTAGCTCCGTAGAGCAAGACCGAGACACTTTCGCCGGTAGGCAAGGTGGCGGTCACGGAGGAGTTGTCGGAGGAGAAAGCGACTTGCGGCTGAGGGGGGAGACCCGGGGTGGTGGCTAGGGCGGAGGGCTTGCGGGCTCGGTCGACCATTTTGTGGTTTGTACTTGGCTTTTGGGGTGTGTTGATTATTGTGTAGGTTGTCGGTTGGGTTGGGTTGTTGAGAGGGTTGCGAAAGCGGATGTGGTTGTGGTTGTGATTTGGTGATGGGAGGTCGACGATAGGTAGGTAGATGTTGGAACGGAGTTGGAACCAAACAGAAGCGGGAGTAAGATGGAAGAGGGGTAACGTAACGAGGTCGTATCGAGGTATGCAAACGGATCGCTGAGCGCAAGTAAAGACAAGCCGAAGCTGTACTGTTGGACGTTGATGAGAAGTTCTTCCAGGTCGATGTCTAACAAGTCAAGTCAGCTTGGTCCAAGTTGTCCTTTGATGGGACGGAAGATTGAAGAAAGAGGGGAAGCTGTTCAAGGTCCCTGGAAGTGTTTGGGACGGAAAAAGAAAGAGGGGCAATTTACTAAGACCTGAGGCGCAGGATACAAGACGGAAGCTCAATGGTCGAGAGACAGAGAGAAGAGTTTGGTGGTTGGATGAAGCTCAGGAGCAGGAGCACCAATGATACAAGACAGCGGGGTAAAGACTACTCCCAAGCTGAATGAATGGGACGACGGTGAGCTTCTTGCATGACCTGAAACAGTCGGTGCAGTGACCAACCGACCCAAGCTGTTGTGGAGCCAGGCAGCGATACGTCACTTTGGGCAGGTAAATAAAGTATTTGGGCGGTACTTTTGTAATTCAGGCCGCTAAATTGTTCCTTTTCGGAATATTTAACAACCAAGGAGCTTGATAGGTAGAGGAAGAGAAGAGACAGCTACCGCCAAATTGGGCCAAAAAATGTCAGTTGAAGATGAATCTCACGATGTTCGATCATGGTGAAAGACGTTTTTGTGCTTTTGATGTTTAAAGGTATCAATACCAGAAGAGTACCACCACTGGTCTCTCCTCGTCCTGAAAGACTGCTCGTGAACAATACTTTGGTATCCCCTTTTTTCATCCCCTTCCTCCGTGATCCAAATACACTCACGCTCAGGACAAAAAAAAGTGGCAGGGTTTCTTCTGGGCACTGCTATCTGAATCCTGTCACTTTTTTTGTCCTGAGCGTGACACTCAATCAATATCCTTTTGGTTCTCCCTTCGCTTTTCCATCACAACCTCCGCCCTTCAGAAACCCCTTTTTTCGGTTTACCACAAAAACTTCACCGCATCGCGATTATAGTAACATTCCCTGAGTGTCCGCAAAAACCTCCGTGGCGGGTCGTCTATTTCGAACATTCGATCCCAGTCTTCACGAGTCAAGGTAGGAGGAGCATTCGAATCCCAGTCAGGCATCTCATCATCATCATCCCCATAACCATCATCATCACCATCCCCATCGCTGGCAGTAGCAGACGCAGCAATAGCAGCAGACCCATTCGTATAGTTCCTCAAAGCGGCAAGATCAGCCTCAGCCCTCTCCAGCGCAGCCCTCTAGTTCGCAGCAGCCATAGCCTCAACCCAATCCTCACCCCCCGGCTCCTCCACAAAAGCAGCCTTCTAAACCGCCGCCGCCGCTTTCCTCTTCTCCATCCTCTCCTGCCTATAATGATCCGCCACCAGGAACGCCAGCTCAAGCGCCTGCTTCTCGTTCAACCGCGGGTCGCAGAAGCTGGTATAGTTAGTACTCAAATCATCCTCATCCAATCCGGCGCCACCACCAAGACACTCCGTGACCGCATCGCCCGTAAGTTCCAAGTGCATACCGCCCAGGTACGACCCCTGTTCCTTGTGAATGCGCAAAGTTTGTTGGAGCTCGGAGAAGATATTGCTGAACTTGCGCGTCTTAATTCCGCCGGTAACGGATTGTGTGTTGCCGTGCATGGGATCGCACTGCCAGACTACGGTGCGAGCGTACTCGGAGTCCTCGACGGTGCGGATGTGTGCCGGTAGCAAAGAGGCGACCTTGTCGGCGCCGTAGCGCGTGATGAGCGTGATCTTGCCTGGTTCGCGGTTGGGGTTTAGGGTGCGGAGGAGAGGCAGGAGGTCCGAGGTCGGGGTGGAAGGGCCGATCTTCACACCGATAGGGTTGGCGATGCCGCGGAAGTATTCAACGTGCGCGTGGTCGATCTGGCGCGTGCGGTCGCCGATCCAGAGGAAGTGCGCCGAGGTGTTGTAGTATTCTTTCCTGGGGGGAGTGGTGGAGTCGGGAGGGTAGGCGCGAACCGAGGGGTGGTTGAGCAGGCGGGTGAGCGGTTGTTCGTACTCTAGGAGCAGACCCTCGTGCGAGGTAAAGAGTTCGACGGTGGAGAGCTTCTCGTTCTGGTCGGCGCCGATGGTGTGCATGAAGCGCAGCATTTCCTGGATGCGGTCGACGGTTTCTTGGTACTTGGCTTTGAGGGCCGGGTCGCGAACGTGGCCAAGGCCCCAGTCGAGGGGACCGTGGAGGTCGGCGATGCCGGAACCGATGGCGCCGCGGATGTAGTTGAGAGTGGCGGACGAGTACTGGTAGGCGCGCACAAGACGGTTGGGGTCCAGCTCGCGCTCGTCGGGGTGGAAGCCGTTGAGGATGTCGCCACGGAAGGAGGGCACTTCCTTGCCGTTGATGGTCTCGACGGGGGAAGAACGAGGCTTTGCGTACTGGCCGGCCATGCGACCGATCCGCACGACGGGCTTGTCGGCGCCCCAGAGAAGGACAAGCGACATCTGTAGGAGAAGCTTGATCTTGGACTCGATCACGTCTTGCTGGCAGTAGCTGAAGAGCTCGGCGCAGTCGCCGCCCTGGAGGAGGAAGGCCTTGCCTTGGGCGACATCGCGGAGGTGTTCGCGGAGACGGACGATCTCATTGGGGAGGACGATGGGCGGGAGCTTCTGGAGCTCGTTGACCGACTTTTCAAGGGCCGCCTTGTCTGGGTAGTCGGGACATTGCTTGATGGGCTTCGACCTCCACGAGTCGGGCGTCCATTCGGGGACGTTTGGTGTTGTTTGGTCGCTCATGATGACGGATTGTGTGAAGATGGTGTAAGTGGGTGGAAATTTCAAAAGTCAAAGTGGTACTTGTGAAGTCTTAGCCTTGGGGCTAGTAACAGTGACTAAGAGTTGACAGGTGGGTCAATCTCCAAAAGGCTGAATCAACGACACCTGTGATGGTGGTCTCTTCTCAGTAAAGTAAGTGGTAAAGGATGGTGGTGTATGGTTGGTAGCAGTCATGACTTCATAGAAGAGGCGTCCTATTCAAATATCTTTTCGGCTTCCTTGTTGGTTGGGGGTGAGTCAGTCGCAAGTGAACCACACGGTGTTTGTTCAAAGTGTCAAACCCGTAAATGGCAGTCGTTCTGAAAGTCAATTGACCAATCATAGGTAATAGAGATTCGAAGACCCTTGAAGTGACGTTGTGCTGCCTGCCCGCTACAAGCGCTGCGGTACAAGCTACAGGCTGCCCCACCCCCACATTTGATGTCGCAACGTCTTGCGCCGGCGACACTGCAGCAGCCAGCACAGCTCTAACTCCAACAACAACTCCAACAACCCGCACACACACAACCCAAGTTCATAATGGCCGAAGATAAACAACCACCTGCCGTCGTCGAGGGCGCCACTGGCGGTGACGTCGAAGAAGAGGTCCAATCCACGGCCAAGTCCGCCGAGGACCGCAAGGCTCAGGCTGCCCTGTCCAGCCTCGACTCCAACAACCGCGAAGACGAGTCCTCGGCCAAGGTCGACCAGGATGCCGTCAAGAACGCCTTCAACTCCCTTAGCACTGCTGGTAGCAAGCAAGCCGAGGTGAAGAAGGTCAAGGTTGATGCGGCTGATGTTGCTCTTCTTGTGAGTGTCTCTGGGTTTGGAGATCAACGTGAGACAGCTACTGATGGACATTAAAACAGGTCGAAGAGCTCGAACTTACCAAGGCCAAGGCTACCGAGTTGCTTAAGGCTCACGATGGTGATGCTGTCAAGGCCATCAACGCTTATGTTGCTGCTCCTGCGGCTTAAGGACGATATACCCGGGTAGAGAAGGAGTAATAGACATGAAGCCGAGTTACGCGAACGGGAACCACATAAACACACCATCGATTTATCTCTGTACTTGAACCATACGCAACAGACTATACCACTTGCTTCCAGCGACGACGAGGACGAGGACGACATTCTTGTCACCGACAAGAGAATTAGCATGCTTAGGCCGGGCCGGGAAGGGATTTGGGGACAGGGCACGGATGGACAGATGGATTAGACAAAAGGGCAGCCCAACATATATCGACTCAATCAACGACAATGTCGGGCATGAAAGTTCTGTGCGGTTGGTTTCGGTCTCGGCGTACACGTTAAAGGACATAAACGCGCGGCCGGCTGCTGGAATCAAGTTGGTATAAAAGTTATCGACCTACCGCATCTGTTCTAGCGCTTACAACGAACGTTCCGCGTTTCCAGGGCTAAAACGTACTTCGCATACTTCAAATCCTTCCATACAACCCTCTCATGTAAGCTTCTAGTTTTCCCAAAGAGACTCGATGTTGGCTATTCACAAGAGTCCGTTCGAAGCTTCGCATTCCCCATCAGCTGTGTGTCGCGCACTGGTCAGTTTCTCTTGTCATCTTTCTCGAAGCAAAGAGCCACGGCGTGTCAAGACCCAACAACCAAGACGGAACGGAACCCAGACATTACATTACAACCTCAATATCACCCGTCGGGTCCCGGGTTCCGGTGGCCGCTATCAACAAACCGCTACTGAGTCTTATAGCGTGCCAGCGCACCGCAAACCCTAATAGGAGTTGCGCGTCCTTTGCGCGTCCCGGCCTGGAATTACGTACTCTCACTCTTTACGACACCAACTCATCCAGCCCTATGATGTGAAGTCCCCTTATCATTTGTTTACTCTGGTTCATGTAAGGTTTAAGCTTATAACTATTGTCGAGCCACATTGTCTTGATTTGATCCTAGGTTCTCAGGTTCTCAGGCTTTTATATCATCAGGAGCACGCCCTTCTTTCCCCTTTCCTGGTCCCCATCTAACCAGTGTCGTCTTAACCCTTATCTTCCCATTCATCAGCATCATCACCACCTCTCCTTCCCATTCTTAACTCCCTCTCATCACTGCGACACCCCAACACCACACAACAACACCATTCATATCACCACCACCATGGACCCATCAGACGGCCACGACCCCTCAAACGAAACCGACTACCCAACAGAACAAACCCCCTTCCTTCGCAAAGGTCCTCACCCCCCTCCAAAACCCCCTTTCACCCCCAAACCAACCTCCCAACAACTATGGCCAACCCTCCTAACAGTAGCCTCCCTCGCCCTCCTCTTCAATATGGGAATGCACATCAGCGCCGCTCCTTCGTTGGCCATTTTGCAGGGTATCATTTGTAGGAATTATTATGAGAAAGGGGTTACCGACGGGTTGGGACCGGGAGGACTGGGAGGATCAGGAGGAGGAGGAGGAGGAGGAGGACTAAGCTTTGAAGACGACAGGTGCAAGATTGGACCTGTGCAGAGCGAGGTTGCCGAGGTTAGTGCTTGGAAGGACGTTTTTGAGATATTACCTGGTGAGTTTTAATCTCTTATTGTTGAGTGTTTGATGAGAGGGAAAGGAGGCGGAAGGGAGGAAGAACGACGGGGAGGAATAAAGATAGGAAGAAAAGAGTCGGGAGGTAAAATAAAGGGTGGGAGAAAACAGGAGACCGGTGAGATAAGAGTTGGATAAAAACGCTGGAAAAAAAACCCTGGGTGATCCATTGGACAACCTGACACTTCAGAATGCACAACTAACAGCCCCCTCCCCCCATAGCCGTCGCCCTCGCCATCCCCTGGGGTGTTCTAACCGATCGCATCGGCCGCAAAAAAGTCCTTCTCCTCGCCCTCTTCGGCCTCTTGCTAAACGAAGCATGGGCTCGACTCGTCTGTAAGTTTCTTTAGCTCCCAGCCACCTTCCTACATACTCGTTGTCAAGATGCCATTGCAACTGACTGACTGACGCAAAAAAACAGATCGGTTCTCCGACATCTTCCCCGTGCGGGCGGTCTGGTTCGGCGGCCTTTTCCAAGCCATCGGGGCGGGAAGCACCAGTTTTGCTAGTATTGCATATGTCCTGGTGGCGGACGTTTGTCCTGCTGAGAAGCGGTATGTTTTTCTTTTCCTTCTCCTTGTCTCGTTGTTACCCGAGACATATAACAGGGAATAATAACTTGGAAAAATATTGACATGAAAAAAAAACCAGATCAACAGCCTTCGGCTACCTTTTAGCGTCCACCATCATCTCGCGTCTCATCTTCGTCCCCGTCGGCGGGTACCTCATTTCCATTGACGTCTGGCTTGCCATGTGGATTGGGTACTTGGTTGAGGTGCTTGGGTTTGTTGTGGCGGCGGTTTTTGTGAAGGAGACTTTGCCGGTGGCTGCTGCTTCCGATCCTTCTTCCCCCTCTCAGTCTGAGCCTTTGACCGGAGCAGATAACACAGACAGTTCCACCACCGACTCGACCAAGAAACCGCAGACAGTCAAGGAACATGTGGAGCATTACCTCGAAAAGGCGAAAGAGGCGGGCACCTGGATGCTTCAGAACCCGAAGATCGTATTATTGTTGATCTGCTTCTGGCTGTACATGATGGGCGAGCAAGCAGAAATGCTCCTCATGATCCAATACGCAAGTAAGCGGTTGGGGTGGTCTTTTGGGAAAGTACGTTACTGTCTTTTTGGTTATCATCTCTCCAGTGTCTCCCCTCACTTCCTCATTCTCACCCCTTCAACCTCACCCGCTTTGCCTCCCCACATGCCACGTCCCTCAATCCTCCCCCGCTTTCTTCCATCCATCCTTCCCAAGGGAACATACAGTCACCTTCTTTTTTTCCTCTACACATTTCCTCTTCCTCTTTCCTCATTAACCCTCAATGGCTCATTACTAAAAAAAACTAACATCTTATGGCAAAAACAGGCCTCCCTCCTCCCCTCCCTAGGCGCTCTAACCAACCTCCTCACCTTGATTATCCTCCTCCCCTTTTTATCCGTTCTCCTCTCCCCCTCCTCTCCTTACTTCCCCTCCCTACCCTCCCTCCGCATGTCCGAACCTCGCAAAGACACCCTCCTAGCCCAAGTCTTCGCCACTTTCTTGACTCTGGGCTGTTTCCTCATCGCCGTCCCCATCCCCCACTTTAGTTTCTTGGCTTCCGGGGAGGTCCTCTATTCAGCTGGCGCCGCTTTGTCAGTGCCACTAAGGAGCTTGATAACGAATCTGGTGGATGCGAGACATAGAGCAACACTGTATACGGTTATTAGCGTTTGTACTTATGGGGCTGCTAGTGTGGGCAGGCCCGTGGCTGCGGGGTTATTTGGGGCTGGACTTAGATGGGGAGGGAGATAAAAAATGGGGATGGGATGGCGTGGATGGGACTCCCGTTTGCCGTGTCGGGGTTGATGTTTGGGGTTATTGTTGGGGTTGTTGGGTTTGGGGGGTTTGGAAGGGAGGTAGTGAGGGAGACGATGGTGGGAGAGGAAGAAGGGTTGGGGGTGGATGGGGAAGGAGAGGAAGGGGTGAGGGAGAGGTATAGAGATTGATTAATGATAGATGATAATATATGGTAGATGATGGTGGATGATAGATGGTGAACGATAGATGCTGGAATAAGAAATGAGTTTATCAACTTACTTGTATTATGACACCTGGTGATGAAATCTTCTTCCCTTTCAAAAGACTAGACTCCCCGTGGTAAACAAGTAAGATGAACTTCTGCTTTCTCCATACTCCCTAATCGAGAGAAGGCATGAAGACAAGAAGACAAGGCGAGGATGGCGTAAGAAACTGACGAGACATTGTGAAACGTGATGATTATTACGATGAGCAAGGTTACCTAGCTAGTTTCCTGGCTATGGTAGTGCAGTGCTCCATCTTGCAGGGGCGGTGGATTGAGTGCTCTTTGCCATTTTCTGCCGGACTGAAGTTTACGAACACAACCTTCATCGCTGCTTCCTCAAATGACGTATCCAAGAGAAATTCCCGAGGCGTATCTGCCTGTGTGAGATGGAATAAGAAACTCGGACACAACTGAAATGATGGTGTACCAGTCTCAGTGACGGGAAGGTCAGTGCCCGATTGATTCCATGCCCTACTTCCAGATACCTAGGCAGAGCTTGATATCTCACCATAGAGGCGGTCTTACGAGGCGTCGTGCTCGGGAGTTCTTGTCTGTTGCATCGTTCGAACATTCTCAAGAATGAAGAAGAATGTATGACCATAATGTATCGCTTGTATAATAACAAAGCCTGTGGTATCATTGCAAATCGAAAAAAAAAAAACACTCACACACTGAAGAAAAGTCCATCAAGAACTCGCTCCTAGCCCGGTACTAAACTCTGAACGCCTCGCTTCATACCCATATCCATAACGTATTCCCAAATATCCTGGGCAAAAGATTCTTCCCAAAGATCCAACAAAAACCCCCACAATATACCCGCCAGCATTGGGGTGTTCCAAAGAAACCCGAACCATCTATACCCAATCAATCCATGGAACCTTTCTGCCAAACAAGTCCCCCGCAGAACTAACAAAAAAACCTATAAACCCTCTTCCACCCCGGCCACCCCTCCACCTCCTCCCTCTCTTGCATCAACAGCACCGGCAGATTAACATCCCTCCTCCGCCCCGTATCCAAATCCATCTCCTCACTTCTCACCACCCTCGTCCTGAACCAAAGCTTATGCACCAAATAAAACGCCCCCACAATCGGCACACACAAATACTGCAAGAAAAACGTCTGCACCACCTTTGACGCCGACGCGTGGTCCGAGTCTTGGTTATCAGTAAAAGTGACTATGGGAAAAGCGGCGGTCCAGAATTGCGCTATTAACACGAATATGTTGAGACCTAGGCCGATGTAAGACCCTGTGACGCCGGCTTGGGCTGTGAATGATAACTGGCTGAGAGAGCGGCCGCGACGGGCCCACGCGCGCCGGAAGCGGATGTGGCAGAGGCAGATTGAGCCCCATGTGAAGATTGAGGAGAGGCCGGAGACGGCAAGGAGCCAGTTGAGCACGTCGGCTTGGAATTTGAGGTCTGCTAAGTAGCCGATGAGGCCGACGAGGGCAGCGAAGAGGATCGCGAAAAGGGGGCGACCTTTGCGGTCGACGTAAGCTAATATCTGAGGAGCTTGACGCTGGTCTGCTAAAGCTGCTAGTGTGCGTGATGACCCAAAGACGGCGGAGTTTCCTACTGATAGCACGGCTACCAAGATGACGGCGTTCATTATGCCGGGGAGTATATCGATGTAGGCGGACTCGATGGCTATGACGAAAGGGGAGTGCGAGGCGTCGGAGACGGAATACGATTCCTTCTTTCTGTCTGGAGACCCGTCGGAGGGGGTGTTTCCCAACAGGTAGGGGTGGTTGTAAGGGACGATGAGGCCGATTAAAGTAAGAGAAACGACGTAGAAGACGGTGATGCGCCAAAAGACTTGTTTAATGGCTGTTGGGAGGGATTTGCGTGGGTTGGCGGTCTCGGCAGCTGCTAGACCGACGAGTTCGGTGCCAGTGAAGGCGAAGGCTGCGGACACAAAGACGGAGCAGAGGCCTTTGAAACCGTTGTGGAAGGCGCCGGGGTTGGTCCAGTAGCGTCCGCCTATGTAGCCTGTGCTGCCCCCGTGAGCGTCGTCGGGGAAGCCGCCTATGTTGATTACTGCTGCGAGGATGCTGCTGCCGTTAGTGACTGGATGATGAAGGTAAGTGAAAAGGGGATGCATACATGAAGCCGATGACGGCGGTGATCTTGATGAGCGAAAACACAAATTCGGCTTCACCGTAGCCTTTGATGCCGAAGAGGTTGATGATGATGACTATTATTAGGAAGATGGTGATGAAGATAGCTTTGTTAAGTTTATCGTTCCAGTAGCCGATGGTTATGGATGCTGCTACGAGTTCGAGTGGTAGGACTGTTAACCATTGGAGGGCGTAACTGGTTATGTTAGTCAGTGTTCGATATGATCAAAGTTTGAGAGAGTGTCTGTCTTACTTCCACCCCATGGCAAAGCCCCATGCTGGATCAAGGAATCTTGTTGAGTATGACGAGAAAGAACCGGCAACGGGAAAAGCAACGGCTAGCTCACCCAGAGCTTGGATGGTACACCAGAGCATGATACCGACGAAGCCATATGCGATGATGAGGGCGGCTGGTCCTCCTAGGAAGAGACACTTGCCGGAGGCCACGAACAGACCGGTACCTGATAGGTATGGTCAGTTAAGCTCGGAATGAACCGAAAGAGTTTGGGTGTCTCCATGTAAACAAAGCCCCCTGACGAGCGGAGCCTTCTGTAGGGTAGCCAAGATCCACATATAGGGAACAACATGTGGAAGCGGGAGTGGCTTGTCCATTGAAAGACGGGCATGTGAAGAAACGCCAATGCTGACATTAACAAGACAAAGACATACCAACTGAGCCACCAATGGCAATCATCTGCAAGTGTCTCCCCTTTAGTTCTCGGGCAAGACCAGTGTTTGCCGTTCTGACGTTGGCGGCGTGTAAATCAAAGTAGTGACTTCCATGATTCTGTTGTCCTCTCGGGGTCTCTGAAGACGGATCAGACGAGTCGGCTGCCTGGTCAGAAGCACGCGTGCCGTCTCTGTATCGATATTGATCAGGATGACCGTGTCCATAAATCCCATGAGTTGATACTCGCCGGCCCGGATCTCGTTTGAAGGAGTCGATGAATCTTCGCAACGGAGGGTCTTGACGATGTCGACCCCGTGCCCATGCCGGAACGTGGCCGACGCCAAAGGGTTCCCGGATACTCCAAGAACTTCCTTGTGCGAAGGAGTCGCCGCCTTTGCTGCCGTAAGCGGCCATTTCTATGTCGGTGGGCACGGTGTCTCTCTTTTTGGGTTTCATCTTGCTGGTATTCCTCCCGGTCATAAATTGGTGTTATCGTTGGCGGATGCTCTTGTTGCTACTGCTGTTGCTTGACAATCGTTTATTCGGGTGTTGTGACTTCATCCTCTCATTACGCGCCCAATATCATCGCGTCCTATCACAGATGTATCTCTCGGCTGACGGTCCTATCGTTCGGGTGAGGTCGAAGATTGTGGTGAGGGTGAGGTTGCGTGACAATGTGTGTCAAGAATGATGATGCTGAGAATTCCATGTACGGGAACAAGAAGAGGTTCCGAAGTTCAAAAGATCATGTACATAGAAAAGATATGAGTGAGAAAGAAAAAAGGCAGCCATCAAAAAAGCTCAGCTCAGGCCTCGGCCAGAACAGGAAGTGCTTATCGTTCCTTTTCTATTTGGATGCAACATGGGCGAACATCATGCGGGTGATCGGTGAACGAGCCCGTATCTCATTGGTGACATTGGATCGAAGGAAGGAACGGCGAGGTACCTTTCCACCGTCTCCCCTTGAATCATCATTCGGCGGATTGCGGCGCAAATGAAAGTAGAAAACAAGGGGGAAAGATACAGAAAACCAGGAACATGGCAAGGGGGGTCCAAGAGGACATCTTGAACATAAACTTTCCTCGATCAAGAGGTACATCGTTCGGCCACTGAAGTCTGGGGAACCACTTCCCCTGCAACAACCCACCAACACCCCTGAAGGTCCCGCCGACCATGCCCTGAACAGGTCCACTTCAAGCGCTCTTAGCGTTCGATTACCCGCCGTGGGGTTGTGGAGTTAGTGGGGTAGACTCTTTGTCAACCCTCCCGTCTCCCATTTTCTTCTCAGGTGGGAGCAAAGGGGGTGCAAAGAACATTGAACTGTGCCTCTCTTCACAAAAGTTTCCTGCCTGAACATCGCCTCATTCACGTTTCTTCACATTTTCTTTTACAACGAACAGAACATAAACCCAGATCCAACGCCTCGGATGCGGGATATCCAACAAGCCCAGCAATCTTCAACCCCCATCATCTTCAAGCCTATCGTCATCTTTCCGAAATTGGGCATCTGGGACATCACGATATCAGTTCCCGCTCCTTCTAATGATAACGCTTCCCCCTTTTCGATATCCATCCCTCCCCTCCCCTTTCGCTCTGGTTCCATCCATTTGCCTCGGGATCCTCTTCCCGGTTACCTTGCCAACTCTCTACCATTCAGGTTTGAGCCAGGTTGCCGGATCACTACCGTTAACGTTGACACTTACACACCACCATTTCTCTCAAACCGCCTTGCCGTCCCATTTCGCCGTCATCATCCAATCATCCGTTAGACATGTCCTCATAAAGGATGTCAGCCAGGGTCACACCAAGCACACCAAGCCTTACCCAGAACTGCCAGAGAGCCAGAACAAGCCAGACAAACAGGTGCCTTGTACCTATTGTGTGAAAGACAGCGCACAAGAAACATGGCTCTCAAATCACAGACCGAGACAAGCGAAGCCACGGACGGGGAAAGACAAGCCTCAATGTTACACAGGTTGGGGGCGTCTTTACTCTTTCGAACATTACGGCACTTATCAGTGTCTTGTCAACACCTGAATGGGTTTTCAACATTTCGATCATTGAAACACCGAAAAAGACTTCCAAAAAACCAACTCCTCGCTACCATTCCTCGGGTTTCTTTTTTTCTTTCTTCACTAGGAACCCAGCAAGTGCCTTATCGGATCGGATCTTTCACAAACGAGGCAAACACATTGTTGTCTAAGTCTGAAGGGGAAGTAAACGCGTCCCATCAGAAGTCTGGCTTAGCACCTGTCAGGTACTGCGGTAGTGCCCAGGCGAGCCAGGTTATCATCTTCAACAATGACGATCCTTTGATAATTCCAGAACCTCTATCCAATTTTCCATATCATATCAAAGCCCATCCATCATCTACTTCCCACGACTTCCTTTCCCATCAAGTGGAAATTTCCAATTTCGAAACCACGACAATTTCAAACTTCCCGTCAAAACCCATAAAAATCCCTAATCCTGCCCAACCTCTCCACCCCCTCCCATACCCCAAAACTCACAAAGCATCCCTCCCTCCTCAAACACCCTTCGCATCTCCTGCCATTGCTGTTCCCAAACTCCTTCGTTTCTACCCTCAAACTTCTTAAACACCACACCCTCCTCGCTACCCGTTTCTCTCCACATATGTACATCATTATTCAAATCATCCCCCGTATTCTCCCACCTAGGACCCAGGTCCCTACGAGGAAAGGAAAGAGGAGACGGTCGAGCCCACTGCTCTCTTCTACCCAACTCTTCCAACACAGATACACCAGCAATATCAGGACCAGGAACAGACGTCTCGGATGTCTCGTTGGAAAAAGACGTGGCAAAGAAATGAGTGGAAGTGGGAGGGACGGCGAAAGCGACTGTTTCAGCCCATGATAAAAGCCAGTACATGTTTCGCGCGGTATGCAGTTCGATACTGTCTGTGTCGTGCAGCCGGAGGGATTGGGAGCGGGACCAGAGGAGGGTGCAGATTTGGGAGATGTTAGGGAGGAGGGAGTCTGTGCAGGTGATCTCTTCAAGGGATTGAAATGAGGAGTTTGAGGAGGGAGACGTTTTGGTGCGCTTTTGGCGTCTGCCCTTTCCTTTACACCGCCGCTGCCGCTGTCGTGAAGAAGGTGGTGGCAGTGAAGGCGAGAAGAAAAAACTGGAACTTGAATCAGAACTTGATGAGCCGTGGCGGGTCTTGAGCTTGCGTTTCCTCCTCGCCTTCCTTGCGGACCGACTCTCGACTGTCTGGCGAGGAACAGGACCGGTATCAGTACCAGGACTCTCCCCTCCACGAACCCCCCGATTCACACAATGAGCCCTGATATACCTCTTGCTAGCCTCCAGACAAGCGTCTTGCACCACTTGGATTGCTTGTCGGTATTGCTCCAGCACCCTCTGCTGTCCAGCTGATAGTGACGGCTCAGATCCGGATGCAGGAGCATATCGCTCTGACGAGGAGCTCGAGGGTTGTTGGGCTGATGGAGAGAATGATGGGAAGTGATGATGAGGTTGCCTTTGGGCTTGGTAAATACCTCCAGCACCGGCCCCATGTGGTGCGTCATCCATCCTCTCCTGTCCACAGCTGTACGAGTCGTACGGGTTGTCGTAGTAACTGCTGACTTCACCTTCTTCGCTGCTTCCTGAGATGGAGATGGCTGTCCAGCCTTCTTCCTTTTCTTCAGATGAAGATCCTCGGTTTTGGTGTTGGTCTCGCTGAGTAGCCTCGGTGCCCCCGTTCTGGTCCTGACCAGCACTACTAACCAAATTCCCGAAACCGAAACCTTCGCTTCTTCGTTCCAGGCCCCGTCCCCGACTCCCCACCCAATCCCCAAACACCGCCACCTCCCGATTCCTCTCTCTCAACTGCCTCCGGTCTGGAGTCGATGTCGGGAACAAAAGACGACGAGGCGTCGGCACCCGAGTCAAGGGACTTATTTCTCGAGATGACGGGATATTTTCATCTCCATCACCAGCGGTTTTATAGCCACCACTGCTGTTAGTGACTGGGTCGGAATGGGAATACATGGGTATCTGAGCAAAAGTAGCCCGCGGCGAAGGAGAAAGGCCTGGTTCTCGCTTTATGTCGACGGTTGTTACCGTCGCTGCTGAGGCTGTTCGGAAGTTGGATCCTGCGAGGGAGGTAGAGGTTTTGCGTCTCTTTGGGAGGTAAGGGTGGGAAGCGGAAGAGGTGGTCATAACACCTGGATGACAGTCTTCGCCCTCGGTTTCGTCGTTTCCGGTTTGGTTTCTGTTGCTGTTGCTTCTAGCGATTCTCTTGCTGTTCTTTTGGTTTCCATAAGTTCGCTGAAGATGAACATCACCAGCACCAGCGCTCTCTTCAAGTTCCCAACCCCGAGCCCTCCTCGCCTTCTGAGCCCTTCCCGCCTTATCTTTCTTAGCCTTCGATCTCGAACGGGAAGATGGTCCATCCCACCTAATCGGTCTAAAAAGTCCCATCTTCGGCATCGTCATTTCTCTTTCCATCCCTGTTTCTGTCCCCATCCCCATCCCGGTAGCCATTCCCAATCCCATATCCGTTCCCATATCAATTTCCATATCCATTCCCATATCCCTTCCCATTCCCATATTCACACCCGTATTCACACCCGCATTCACATCCCACCCGGCAGGTCGAGATGCCCTGTGCAATGAAGGCACTACCCTCTCCATCACTCCTCCACCTCTGTTTACCCATTTCTCCCTGTTGTCATTGCCAATGCCAAAACCGGTACCACCACTTCGCATCTCATTCATCCCCATTTCTGTCACTGTGTTGCCAAACTCCCCAGGCTTGAATTCTCGTTTATCTTTGTCTCGAGGCTCCGTTGGTAGACGTGGCTCCCACTTTTTCATCGGCATCGGCATCGGTAGTGGTATCGGTAGTGGTATCAAAACAGGACTAGATGATCCTTCCTCTTGTGTGATAACCACAGCTGACTCGCTGGAACTGGAACTGGAACCGCTCCCTATGTTCCCTTCCAAAGGTAAAGGAGGAGGTACCGACTTCGACTGTCCTGGTCCCATGTTCATGACTGACTCTCGCTGGCGCCTGTGCTCTAGAAGGCCAGGAGGTGGCTGTGGTAGTGTGGGTAGATACGTAGGAAAGGATTGCTCAACAGGCCTAGAAGGGCCGTAACCTATCGGTTGGGGATAAGGCAGAGTTGACGTCGGTGTTGAGGTTGGGGTTGACTTTCTCGGGACTGAAGGATGAGAAGAACGGGAAGGACGAGGATGAGGGGGAAGAAAGATGCTCGCAGTAGCGTTAGCGGAGTTATTGGCCGAGTTGTAAATGAAGTCGCTTGGTGAGCCTGGTGCTGGTGTGCCGTAGTATGGATGTGGGAGTTCTGAAACCGGAACTGGAGCTGGAGGGCATTGAGGGTTTTCGTAATTAAGGTGGTTATATGGTTCATAGCTGTGGCGGTTATTGTGATGATCCATGGTTTGTTGTTTGGCTTGTGATGCTTCTTCTAACCGGGGAAGTTAAGCAGACAGGGAAGGTGAGGCAAAAAGAGATTGCTTGCAGAGCTGCTGGCTAGTTGAAAGGGTGCAAAGAGACGAGCGGTTAAGTACTTGACAATTATCTAAAGTCGTGAGGGCCGAATTAACATAGAGGTGACAACAGAACTTTGACATGAATATCGACATTAACATGCACCTCTCCGGGTAGCAGTAACCTTTCAACGTTATATAAAAGGCTTTCACTTCGGACATAGTGACGAATCGGAACAAGCCCGGCAAGCCATGATCGGTAGATAATGTGGTCAATGAATCGCCTTTGTATGTGTACCTGTAATTGTGTCGACTGTGTGTCTGATTCACACACTCACACATCTTGCGGTATCGGCGGGCGTTCATGACAAACGGATAGCTCACAGTTGATAAGTGACATGGACATGGTGGGACTTCAACAACAATGGCCGGAACTGGCGGGTAAGCAATCACTTGGAGATGTGGCTGGCGGGAAAGCTAAAGCACAGGCAAAGTCAGGCAGGAATCAAAGACCGGGAAAGTTACCCGGTGAAGCCTCTGGGAACGATCGATCTTGGTTTTGAATCTGATTCATTACCAGCCATTCATAGGTTCTTACTCTATTAACAATTAAATGTTACGCTTCGCTTGCTTTGGCTTGGCTTTGGTTCCATAGGTGTGTGTGCGTCTATGCCCTCCTCTCTTTCAAGAAGAAGACATCTAGGTGTGCCAGATGACGACTCTGCCGTCGACACCGCTCGCTGTTGTCAAAAGTTAGCACCAAAACCTCTCTGAAACCAGGACACCAAAGACAAGGAACACTCACAACTAAACTTGGTCACCCGTCCACCACTCTCCTCAAACGGCCTCAACATGGTAACTGTATTCTGATGCACAGTCTTCAACTGCGTATCGTCCTTGCTGACCTTACCCTTCAGATCCATCTGCTTGAACATGTTCAACGCGCTTTCCTCCCTATCCTCACCACCAAGACCGGGTCTTCCACCAGCCTTGGCCTTCTCCAGGGTTCCCGCCAGTTGCCACCCTTGCTCGCCGCCCTGGAAACGGAACGCCTCGCAATCGTAGCCCGCAGCAATAATCTCTGCCTCTCCGTTCCAGAAGAGACTCATGAACGGCAAAAGCTGCGTGTTGATGCTGATGACCGCCTTAGGCGGCTGCTCCGGAGCCGAAGGGTAGACGACGGTGATGGAGGAATCGTGCGCCGCGAACGCCAGGGCGTCTCCGCTCGGGCTGAAAGCGACGGCGTGAACCCAGCCGGCAGAGTTATTCAGGAACTCGCCGCAGACGGTGTTGAAAGGCAAGCGCTCGCCCCAGGGGGAGGGTTCGGGACGCTGGTCGGTGCCCTTGATGAAGGACGAGAATACGCGGGCGTGGGCGTCGGTGGAGCCGGCGGCCAAGAGGACGGAGTTCGGGTGCCAGGCGACGGAGGTGATGGTTGACCGGATGGGCTTCTTCAGGTGCTTGGATACCCACCAGTCGTTTTCCTCCTCGAAGTAGCAGATGGCGATGACGCGGTCGCCGGAGCCAACGGCGAACTTGGCTTCCGAGGGAGACCAGCGGACGAAGGTGGCGGCGCGGGAGATACGGAGAAGTACGAGGGTGGGCTTGTAGCCGGTGGGGGAGGGTTCCCAGACGAGGGCGTTGCGGTCTATGGTTGGGGTGTTAATACCTTAATTGGTTGCCATTGAGTCCCAGAGGGGTTTGGGTGGTTGAGTCGCGAGCGGGAAAGGGGGCCTACCCTGAGAGCAGGTCACAATGCGCCCAGTGTTGGGGGCAATGTCGACGCTGGTGACAAGCTTATCATGACCCTTGAGCTCATCCTTGAGCTTGAAGGCATTGCCGACTCTGCCGTAAAGCTCGACCTGGGTATCGCGGGCAATGGCCAAGGTCTGGCGATCAGCCGAGAACGAGTGGTCGGCGATGGGGTGGTGGAAGAGATGGTGGACCTCGGGAGCAGCCATTGTGAATGATGTTGTAAGGTATGCGATAGGAGTATAGCTCTCTACTACCGCGCTCGGAATCGGGGACGGTGATGACGGAGAGGGCGGGATGTAGGTTCGGTGTTGTCGGAGCCGGATGTTGTAAGTGGAAGTGGAAAGGGGAAGCTGCCCGGGAACGGGAGAGCTCCGTAACTACAGCGGACTGGCCGCCTGAAATGAGGTCAGACCGCCAGGCTCCAGGGGAACCGTTGCGGCTTGCGTAGTGGGGTTGGCTGCGGGTGACTGACGCCGCCAAGCGCCCTGCCGGCCGGGCTTGATCCACTTGTAACAAGCTGCACCCACGCCCGTGGGGTTGGCCGATTGTTTGTAGGCTGGAGGCTGGCCGCTGCTGTCTCCAATTTTTGACCAGCAATTGTCGACGTCGCATGCGCTCCCGCGACTTGTTGGATTCATCACTGAACATTGAACATTATACACCCGCCGACGACGAACGATTGACGACTTTTACCCCTACCACGAGGCATCCACGACATACTGAAAGAGTCTACGCGACAATACACGACCCGCATTTACACATCAATACCAGCTCCCGGATTCACACGCGGCAATGGCTACGCGTACTGCCCCCCGCGGGCCTCCCGCAAAAGGTGGTCACGAACCTGCCAAACCAGACCCTTTACGTCGCGAACCTCCCCTCAGCCAAGATCCAGAAAGACGACCTCCGCACAGCACTATACATGCTCTTTTCCACCTACGGACCCGTTCTCGATGTAGTCGCTCTCAAGACCATGAAGATGCGCGGGCAAGCACACATTGTCTACCGGGACATTCAGACAGCAACACAGGCGATGAGGTCACTTGACGGGATGGAGTTTTTGGGCAGGCAAATGGTGGGTCATTATACACAAATTGGGAGGTTATGACCAAGAGGTGGTAATGCTAACTTGGTCTTGTCTAGAAAATCACCTACGCCAAGGGCCGCTCCAACATCATCGCCAAACTCGACGGTACTCTCGTGCCACCCAAGGCCGCCGCCGCCGTCACCCTCACCACCGTTCAACAAAGCATCTTCAGCGCCCCCGTACCGGGCGCCCCTACTACGAATACCGAGAGTCCAGCACCACAAGGATCGCCAGCCAAGCCTCCTGGGACGGAGACGACGACATCGGCAGAGGAAGCCCGGGGAACGAAGCGGCCACGCGAGGACGAGGAAGAGGAGGAGAGCGATTCGGATGTTGCCATGGAGGAGGACAGCGACGAGGATTGATGGGTGTCCTCTGTGGCATTTGCTTCCTGTTTAAAGATACCAACTCGCGGGCGGTGGTGGGAGGATGACGAGAATGAGGGACGCATTGAAGCGTATGGATAAAACGTGTGTGGGAGCGTCAAAACGCTCTCTTGAAAGATTACTATGCAGAAGACGCCGCTAGCTGCACACACCCACCGCGCCACTCCCACACTTCCTTTCAGGCGGAAGAAGAAGAAGGCTCCATGGCCATCTCCTTGGGAATCCAAAGGCCGACACAGCCGCCGACGAGTCCAAGCCAAACCATCAGGTAGTTCTCGATCGAGACATTATTCTCAAAGGTCGACATGGCCTCGCCGAGGAGACAAGGGTGGACGAAGAAGGTGGGAACGCCAGTGATGGGATGATACTGTTTGTTTGGCCGAAATAATTCAAAAGAAGGGACATTTGTGTGTTAGTATAGGCACCTTTTTTTTTCTCGTTCTCTCTTGTTCTCATCTCATCATCTCATCAATTTTCTCACATCAAAGTCACACAAGAGCATGAAGAAGAAGTTCAGCCCTAGTTAACTTTTTCGTGTTCTCAACAGCGAAAAGAAGAAACATTACCGAGATAAGAGACGAACGCAAGGAGAAGAAAGAAGACTTACATCAGCTGAAATACCACCCACACTACCGACGGCGCGGCGAAGTCCATCTTTGAACTGATCGGGTACGAGACGTCGGAAGACGGTGTCGATGTTGAAAGCTGGTTCGTCGGCGGGTAGTCCGTTTAATGAAAACCACAAGCATGGCGCTTGATATGTCGGATGAAGGTGTATTTCGTATGTGACATAGCCGTATGTTGTCTTTTGTTGCTTCTTAGAAGGTAAAATCATGGCCTTTTCACTGTCATATCAGCTTCTCATTCCCTTTACTCCTTGAGACTTCACACCCCTTCACACCCCTTCACACCCCTTCACACCCCTTTCATACCATCCACTTAAGAGAAAACATACCTCATCATCATCCTCAACCTCCATCCCACTGTCACCCCCAAACCCTCCCATCCCCATCCCCTCATCCCTCACCACCGGCCCAGTCCCAGGCCCATCAAAACTCAACCCATCCAAAAAGTCCGACAACCCATCATCATCCAAATCCACTTCCAGCGGCCTGGTAATCTGCACAAACGTGCTATATTCCGGATCCGAAGGAGAAACAAAGTGGGTGTTGAGGGCCGAGCGCACGCGCAGCTTCCATTGGCGTCGCAAAGGACCAAGGGTGGCGCGGCTGTAGAGGCTGTCGAGGTGGTGGGCTGCTTCGGCGAATTCGGAGGGGGTTAGGTTTGGGTAGGATTGTATTTGGGAGTGGTACATGTTGGCGTTGAACTTGATCTTAGTACAGTCAGTGTGATGAGAAATGTGTATACAGTAAGATGGGATAGAGTGAGTGTTGGGTGGCTCGATGGGGTTGAGGCCGGGGGTGGTGATCTGATGTTGAAGAAGCGGGAGCGAGATGGAGAAAGGGTTGCCGAATGTGGAATTGTGTTAGTGAGCGGAGGGGCGGTGATAAGATAAGGAATTATCCCTCCTGTTCATTTGTTCTTCACTTTCATGTCAACAGCAAAGAATAATGAATGGGTCTCTGATAATTATATTGATCATCATATACTCTTCATCAATCTTATCCTGTTCATTCATAACGTTTAACTTAAGAATGTTTGACCTAGAGCAAGCCTAAGTGTGACCAGACACACCTAACCCCGGCCCCCTTTTCAGAAATACAAACAGCGGGGCCCCACAACTCCACGACGTCGTAACGCTTCGGGTCAAAGCTCAAGCTGTCCTCTTTGGCATTGGCGTACGAGGTCAGCAAGGTTCTTGGCTTCCTCTTGGATAATCTCGTTATCTCGAGTTGATATGAAAGCAATCACCACCACTTGCATTCGGCTGGTGTGGTTGAACAGTGAGGTACAATGCCATTATAAATACATACATGTGAATACATATGTCAGGCAATCCCCAAGTCCATGTAAAGACGGAAGTACAGAAGCTCCATCAACGTCTCCAATAAGGTCCGCAGCTCTCCTTCCCTGTGCAGCCAGCTTGACCGCTCAAAGTTTTGTTTGAAGGGAAAGTTCGGGGAAATCCTTCGAGGTGCATTTGTCTTTGCAGCTTCTCCTTATCTGTTTGCGAATACCTACCTTCAATCTTTCCAGTAATAGCTTAATCCATCCGATCTCAAAGACCATCTATTAATGACGACCTAACCAACTATCGTGGCGATTCCATCCATTGTCTCAGTCCAGCAACACAACGAACAAGCTCCCGTGGCCCAAAGCGCACTAACACCACCACTAAATCCGGCCAATGCACCCTTCTGAAATATAGCGCCCAATCAATCGGTCCCCTCCACCTTTCCATTTCTTGAACCTCTCCTTCTAGAGAATGAACCGCGTCCGCGATCCATTCAACCTCCACACGAACCGCCCGGGTACCACCTTTGCCGCCATCAACATCCTCCGCGCAACGGCCACCACTGCCGCGAGTGCTGCCACCACCGCTGCCACCGAGATCCGCGACCGCGCCGCTGAGAAAGCCGCTGAAGCCACGAAAAGCGCCGCCTGGCAACAAGCCGTCGAGACCGCCTCGAGAGCTGCCGAGTTCGCAGAACAAGCTGCTGAACGCACCCGCCACGCCGTCGCCGGCGCCGTAGCTGAGGCCGCAGAAGTTGCTGAGGCTGCTGCGAAGGAAGTTGAACGGACGCTTGATCAGGGGTTTCAGAGCCAGTCAGCGTCAGAGAGACAGATAGAGGAGCAGTCATACCTAGAGCAGGGCCTGTTACTGCCGGGTGCTGCTAAAGAGCCACCAGAAGACGAAGACGAAGACGACCCAGAAAACCAGATGGCCGCTTTCTCGATCCCCCGACACGTCCCGTCGTTTACGGACCCAGCGCGCCAAGCAGAAGATAGACTGTGGGCGGCCGCCACTCGTCAACGGGCTGGGCCATCATCAGGAGGAGCCGGAGGAGTGTTGGGAGGGGTACAAGATAAAGTTGGAGGGTTCCTGAACCCAGATCGAAGGTCGTTACCCATGTATAAGGATAAACCGTATGGATATGGTCCTGGCGGGGCAGGGAGGCCGAGACCGCTGCTAAGAAAAAAGAGGGTGTTGGGGTTCTTGACGCTCGTGGTGCTGGGAATGCTGTGGTTTACGGGGGTGTTTGATGATCATCATGAAAGGGCGAGGGCGAAGTTGGGCGATTGGGGGTGGTTGAGCTCGGAAGGTGGTACGGCGGGGAAGGCGAGGAGTAAGGCGGACTGGCTGAGGAGGAGGGAGAGGGTTGTTGAGGCTATGGAGCTGAGTTGGGATGCTTATGAGAGATATGCTTGGGGTATGTTTCTTTTTACCCAGACAGTTGTTGGGGTTGTGATGGCTAACTAACTGATGGCAGGTTACGATGAGTTTCATCCTGTGTCCAAGACGGGCCGGAATATGGCCCCCAAGGGTCTGGGCTGGATCATTGTCGATTCGCTAGACACCTTGATGATCATGAACTTGACTTCAAGGGTCACTCATGCCCGGGAGTGGATCTCCAAGTCGTTGACCTGGGATCAGGACCAAGATGTTAACACCTTCGAGACCACCATCCGCATGTTGGGCGGTCTTTTGTCGGCTTACTACCTCAGCACAGAGTACCCTCATCTCGCCCCTATCACCGATGATGACGTGGGTGCACCAGGCGAGGACCTCTACCTCGAAAAGGCCCGCGACCTGGCCGACCGCCTCATGTCCGCCTTCGACACCCCCTCGGGCATCCCCTACGCCAGCGTCAACCTCGGCAAATTCCAAGGCCTCCCCTCGCACGCCGACAGCGGCGCCTCCTCCACCGCTGAAGCCACTACCCTCCAGCTCGAGTTCAAGTACCTCGCCAACCTGACTGGCGAAAAGGACTTCTGGGACCGCTCCGAAAAAGTCATGCAAGTGCTCGACGACAACCAAGCCCCCGACGGTCTGGTGCCCATCTACGTCCAGCCCAGCACGGGACGCTTCCACACTCAAAACATTCGCCTGGGTTCTCGCGGCGACTCCTACTACGAGTACCTAATCAAGCAGTTCCTGCAAACCAAAAAGGCCGAACCCATCTACCAAGAAATGTGGAACGACGCTCTCCACGGCATCCGCAAGCACCTAGTTACTTACACCGAAAACAGCGGGTTCACCATCGTCGGCGAACGTCCCTCCGGTCTCGAAGGCCACCTATCTCCCAAAATGGACCACCTCGTCTGCTTCCTCCCCGGCACCATCGCGCTGGCCGCCACCGAAGGTCTTTCCGAGCGCGAAGCCCGCAAAAAGCCCGGTTTCTGGAACAAACAGCGCGAAGCAGACATGCAGCTGGCCCGCGAACTGATGCAGACCTGCTGGGGTATGTACCGGTACATGGCCACCGGTCTTGCCGCAGAAATAACCTACTTCAAGATCCCCTCCGACCCTTTGCCGGAGTCCACCACCCACGTCTCCCCACCAGACTCCATCTTCGACACCCCCTCCACACCCGAATCGCCCGCCTCCTGGCGCAAAGATTTCGAAGTCCACCAGTTCGACTCGCACAACCTGCAACGGCCCGAGACCGTCGAGTCGCTGTTCTACATGTACCGCATCACGGGCGAGGTCAAGTACCGCGAGTGGGGGTGGGAGATGTTCAAGTCGTTTGTGAACTACACGGCCGTTGAAGACGGCGGTGGTTTTACGAGCTTGTCGAATGCCAACGTTATCCCGCCTGTTACAAAAGATAATATGGAGAGTTTCTGGATGGCGGAGACGCTAAAGTATTTCTATTTGCTGTTTAGTCCGGAGGATCTGCTCCCGCTTGATAAGGTTGTTTTTAATACTGAGGCGCATCCGTTGCCGATATTTGAGGTGGGGAGGTTGTTGAAGACGGGGTGGGAGAGGAAGCCTAGGGCGACAGCGGCGGCGGGAGAGAAGTAGGGGGGTTGAGAGGGTGGGTATCTGAGTTTTTGAAGGTGTGTGATGTGAGGGGGGGGGGTGATGTTTGAGGTGAAGTAAAGAAAGGAAAAGGAAAATAGATGTTGAGAGAGGGAGAAGGAGATAAGAGGGAAGCTAAAAGTATATATACTTTTCTCTGTAATAGGTAGTTTGTTAATGAGTGGATGAATGGATGAGTATTTTTCCTGCTTGTTAGGGTTCAATGTACATATCTTATTTGCTACACCAAAAAAGTATGGTTCTTGACCTGGAGCTCATGAAAACAAGCACGCACCTTCGCATCTACTCCTGCAATACGCCTTAATGAAGTCCAGAAGAGCCACACGATGAATGTTCTGGTCGTTGATAATGGCCTACCTTTTTGCTTTTTCATTTTCTATTTCACTTTCTGTCCCTGCGTCGACAGCAGTGAGCTGAAGGTGTCCCGTCACTAGCGTCCATGTTAAGTAAGGCAGGTGCACTTGGGGACTTTCCAGCCAAATGACCATGATTCGAGGAAGGAGCCATGAAGTCCTTAGGTAGCTTCCGTCCAGTTCCGTTTTATGCAAAACGGGAAAGAGCACCCCAGAATGCTTGCTCTGATGAACCACCGCTTTCATGGCACATGGACCTCACTTGCCACCTTTTGTAGGTACCATCGTCTCGCACGATACCCTCTGTTACACTTTCACGCTCAAATCTCCCGATCTTTTTGATCTTCTCGCCAAGTGTCCCATTCCAACCAGCCAGCGATAACCATGAACCTCCTTTCCTCAACCCTCAGACAAAGGCCCGCGTGGGCTGAAGTCGCAGCTCAACTTCTTCATCAACCGGGAGGTCGTTGGCAAGGTAGATACGCCAAACCATTATTCCCTTCCGCATTCTTCTTCCATTACATCCCAATCCCATCCATGATTCACCTCGTCGGTGCTGACTGTTGCTGACCACGTCCACTCCCAAAAGAAACCGAGCTAGGCAATAACGACATAACCAGCATGATCCCCAGTGGAAACAGCTACACCGTCCTTCGTCTCCTGTTGTTCTCGGCTGTTGATGTCGGTAATAAGCCAAAGACGATGGAGTGCATAGGTAGCTTTATGGCCTTGTGCCAGTCGGATAGAAGCAATGATTCAGAGGCAAAAATTGTTTATGCGCTTGGAGCGGGTAATAGCGTTCTGGATGGTGAAGGGGGTCATGGCAGTGAGGGCAAGGAAAAAGGGCTGGAGGGGTATATGAAGTTACAGATTGAGTAGGTGGCCATTTCTTCCGTCTTCACCTGTGTCTTTGAGGGTTCTGGTCTTATTGAGCGTTCAACGTCATAACATCGATGAATCACAGGTTGTGAAGATATAATCAACTAACAAACTCGCAGTCTCCTCTCAACTCAACAGCCATCCCTCTCTTCAATCCCCATCCTCCCCATTCCCCACCCTTCACAATTGCCATCACTCCTCTCCTCCCTTCAACAACAGGCTCCATCTCCCACTCCCGTACCCCCTCCAGCACCAGATCCCACTCCAATCCCCGCAGGTACCCATCCCCACCACCATCCACACAACTACAACCACCCAGGAGACATCAACCCCAACACCTACATCCCCAGCAGAGACACCCTCCTCCCCCTCTGCATCGCCCCCTCCACCAACCAACGGCACTTTACCCCTCTCTCCCCTTATTCCATTTCAGTCCTCTCAGGTCCAATCTTCGTCAACTTCCCCGGCCTGCGGGATCTCCTGGAGCTAGTTGAGACCAAAGAAGGGAAAGAGCAGATTAGGAACGCGATGGCACAGGCTTCGGGTGATGATAGGGAGCTGGGAGAGCTGGGAAGAGTGGAGGCGGAGAGGTTTTTGGCTTTTTGGGAGCACGAGTTTGCTGTCTAAACTGGGGGTTTGGTTGTGAGCGGTTGAAGAGGGGATGAGGGTTGGAAGATTGAGTATGTGAAAAGGGGGGTTTTTGACTGGAAGCGAGAGGAAAATGGTGATGAGTAGTGGTTTCCAAAGTGAAGAGAGGAGGAGACGATGAGGTCAACGGCAACCGCGATACGCAACAAGACTGAAGATGATGATTAACTAGGATGGAAGAGAGAATGTACGGTTGAGAGTGGGAATGAAAAGGTGAAGAGAGCGGTTTGAAAGGTCAGAAGAGATCTTAGAATAGATGGCAACTTAAGTTGCAGCTGAAGCACTTGCCCGCTTGTTCACTCACTTGCTCACCTGCTCGGCTGCCTATCATAGTATCCCCCTTTATCCTTACTATAACGACCGAAGCAAAACTCCGACCAGTTCAGTTCAGTTCTCCCTCTTTTCTTCCGGCTCTCCCAACTGAAAAGCCACCAACGCTCAAGACAGAAGGTAACAGGAAAGCTAGCTGGCTAGATAAGGGTAGAATGAAGACGGATGCGCCCTCATCGCTGAGTGCTACTAGACAGTAGAGGTATTTGAGTCCCAAGCAGGAGTCCCCGATAGGAGTCCCCGGCAAGAGTTCCAGGCTCCCAGCCTAGGCAACGAAACGGGTTCCATGGAGGTTCCTCTAACTGAAGTGTTCCCAGCACTTCCTAACCTGTTTCACCGGCCGGCCGGCCGGGTGCTGTGCTGTGCTGTGCTGTACCGCTTCATCACCGACTGCGTGGGTAAGGTAGCAAAACCTGCAGCGAGCAGACGGAGTAGACATTACAGATGGATAGAAAACATGCGGACGGGATTCTCAGGTCCTGCCTGAGTCGTCAACAAGACCGACCGGCCGACCGACCGACCGACCGATCCATGCCCTTCCTCCCGCCTGCCCTTCCGTGATATCTATCCCTCGGCACCTGACTTGAAGGACTTGAGGGACTTGAGGGATCAAAGTAAACCTCACATATTGGTGCCAGGTAATGTGATGATCCGAAATCATCTCCGCGTACACTGCATATCGTTCGTATTAAACGGGGAAGTGGGGAACCTAACTGAGTGCCGGTGAGTAGAGAGTGGTAGCTGAACAGCGAGTCAAAACTTGAACGTGAGCCCGATCCGATGTGATAGCATCCATCCATCGAGGTAAATGTAAACCGGCGAGTTGAGAATAAAACTGGGAGTGTGACTAGGTGAGGCGGTTGTATGTCTAGACACGCAAGCAATTCATCATTAGCTATCTCGACCCATGCCCATGCCCATCTCATGAAACCGTACGTCGGTGCAAAAGGTAGTGACGAGCTCTTTGAGTAGATACCTCTAGGCTCAAAAGCCCGTGCTACTCGTCTCTCCCCCCCGCACCGCACTGGGCCTTCACTTCGAACGGCCACGCTCCCCTTATTTTTTCCGCAACGAGTCCCAACAGGAATCTAGTTGGATCGGCTGAATCGGCGCCTCTGGTGCCAGGCCGTGAGTGTTCCAAAGCCCGAGCGAGACTGAAGTCAAGTAAGGCGTAAGGCGTAAGGCGGGAGAAAAGATGTAATCCATCTCAATCCGCCTCTAGACATGTCGATACCCAGGTAGCCCCTCAGCGGCACATCGTCTAGAAACCTTCTTACTTCCTTCCCAGTCATAACTCCTCTCTGGCTCTTCATGACTGAAATACCGGCCATGATTGATTCATAGTTGATTTTAACGTCCGGGTCTCTGAATCCTGGCTTCCTGCCCTGGGGATATCGATATCGTGAATCCTGGGATTTTGGCTGCTCGACCGTAGAGGTGTCTAGATCTCAGCCAAAGCCTCGGCTTTCGACCTTCGACCTCTCTGATGTTGACCTACCATAGGTCCTAGGTATCCTTGGTTTTTGACCTCCACCTGATCGTGGCCTGACCATAGACGTTCGGCCTAACTCCAGCTCGCAGTAGCTGCCATTGCTTTCACGATGGCGTTGGTCCAGCGTCTCCTTCCGTCCATGTTCCCGACCCTCGACCGTCCGGATGTCGTTCACTTGAAGCCGGCGACGTATGACTCTTTCACCGGTTCTGCTAGTCAATATTTTCAGGAGAAGCATGTAGTCATTTTCGGTGCGATATCCGATGTTTTCCGAAGTCGAATAGTGCCGTCCAGTCCACCTTGAGGCCGGAACGTGAAGCTGTTGAAGTCGCTGAACTCGTTGAACCTGACGTTGTCTTGGCCTCTTTTGGTGTTTGGTTTGAAAGAGAGTCTTGGCCCGCTCAAAGTTCCCTTTACTGAAGGGCACGGCAGGCATCTAATTTCTTGGCACTTGGCGCTGACAAACACCTTTTCTCCTCTGTGCCAATAACACACGGTCATTCTGTGCTGCCTGATTTTACGCCGTGTTCCTATCCAAATTAGCCTAGCACTAAATAGACTGTGACTCACAGCAAGCTTCACTTTCAAACAGAGCGGCAAGGGATCGCGGCAATGACACTCATTCGTTGGCACCGGCAGGCAAAACTGAGAGCGACACACCCAGAGCACGACACGACAAGAAAGTGAGCTGTGGTTTGATGTCATTGCCAGGACGGGATGACAGGGAGCCAGCCGCCCAACGCCCCACGTACCACGCAACCACTTTGGTCGTGGCCGTTGGAGGACGCGCCGGCGGGGTGGTACGGTACGGATGGGCCTCACCGCCTAACCTTATCGCTTTCGTCGTTTCATTTGAGGCCGTTTGCTAATGACATTTGATAGCATCATGAGAGAAAGTGATGGTGTCTACCAAAGGGTATTTTGTGGTAGTTTGTGTGTGTACCTATCTAAGATAATCTACCTACTAAATAAAATGGGAGTCATTCGTTATTGAGAAAAGCGAAGAAAAAAAACATGCAGGTCTACCGCCCTCGCACCCTCCTCATTCAGATCGATTGACATTGTCCAGATGCTGTTGGTAACGGGAGTCATGAACTTGTCGTGTAAGTCGGCAAAGTCGAGACAACCAGATTAGCAGCCCACCCTTCAAGTTCCCAGCGCAAAATGAAACACAAAAGACCCAACAGCTTCGGAATCGATGACCTCTCTCTTTTCGGCTGTCTTGTCTTCCTCGCTTTAGACTTCGATCGCTTTCCCGCTTTCCCTCATCCTCCAAGACGACGTGGTGACAAAAAGGCTGGTTCTCTCCAACCTATTTCCGGACTGGCGACTGCCCAGAATGCGAAGTAATTTTTTTGTCATTTGCGTCTGGAAGACTCGCTCATCCTTTCATAACGGACATTACCAATCTTTCATTTTCCCACAACTCCATGACTCCTGACCAAGGGGGGTTTCGCCTGAGCCGGGCCCTGAAGTCGACCCTATCCATCCGCTTAGAGATCATCATCGTCCTCCTCGTTGGGGAGAGGCATCTGGGCGGCCTCGTTCATCTCGGCGGCGTACTTCTGCATAAGCTCCTCATCGACAACGGCGGTGGGGGGAGCAAGGGCGGGAGCAGCAACGAACTCCTAGAGACACGGTTAGACATCATACTTTTGAAAGAGCTGACGGAGGGATAACGTACGAGAGCGTTGTTGCCGACGAGCTTGCGAGCGAGCCAGAGGAAGGGCTTCTCGAAGTTGTAGTTGGACTTGGCGGAGATATCGTAGTACTGGAGGTTCTTCTTGCGGTGGAAGGTGATGGTCTTGGCCTTGACCTTGCGCTCCTTCACGTCGACCTTGTTACCGCAGAGGACGATAGGGATGTTCTCGCAGACACGGGTGAGATCACCTAAAGGTATTGTCAGAAAGATGTTGTCATGTGTGGTGACAAGTCCTGGATGATGAGGGGCGCTTACGGTGCCAGTTGGGAACGTTCTTGTAGGTAATGCGGGAAGTAACATCGAACATGATGATACCGCACTGGCCGTTGATGTAGTAACCGTCACGGAGACCACCGAACTTCTCCTGGCCGGCGGTATCCCAGACATCGAACTGGATCTGGCCGAAGTTCTGCATGAGGGGTGGTTGGGTCAGCACTGGGTCGTCGAGCGAGCGAGCGCGCGTGCGACTACGCGTTGGTATAATCGGGGCCATCGAGACTTACGGTGCTGAAGCCGAGAGGGTGGACCTCGACACCGAGGGTGGCCATGTACTTCTTCTCGAACTCACCAGTCAAGTGGCGCTTGACGAAGGTGGTCTGGTGATGGCATCATGATGTTAGCGCAACGGTCCAAGCAAGCAGACGGTTACCCACCAACACCACCCCGCAGCGCAGCGGCATATGGACTGGAGCGTCGATGGTGTTTGATGACGAGGATGCCGTCCATGTCGCGGAGGGAAAAGCCTAGGATGGGAAGTGTCACTGACCTTGCCGGTACCACCGTCACCGACGAGGACGAGCTTGAAAGTAGGGGTCGACATTGTGTATGGATGGGTGCTTAATATCGCAGGCGAAAAGAAGCAGGTAAACAAGTCCTTTTGAAATAAGTCAGTTATCGACCGGTCGGAGCGACACAGATGGGCGGGGTATCGAAAGGTTAAATAAGGGCGAGGGGAGGAGGGAGGGATCCAAATTCGACTAGAGACGCACCTTTGCGATTTTGCAGAGGGTGGGAAAATGGGTGTGGTCAAAAGAGAGAGAAAGCAGTGGACCTCAGACAGCCTGGTGGATGATGTTGTGTTTTCAAGGCACCCGCTTAAGGGAAGACCACCAGCCTTGACGAAAAACTCGTTGGGCGGCGGGGTGCTTGTTAGGTGACGGGCACGTGACTCGCCTGGTCAGTGCGGCAACCTCAACCACTCAACCTGAACGGCGCAAAGTCAACACAAACCGAACTCTGTCGCAGTGCCGCCCGTTCGTGTCTTTTTTTCCTGGTATGTCTACTGACGTGCAGTCGCGCGCCGGGAAACAAAGAACCTGTCAGGGGTGTCAAGCGCTGGGTTATAGTGGATGCACCATTCATCGCTTTTCCATCTTTTCCTTTCTTTCTATTCACTGTCACCAGGTTTGCTCGTTTTTCTCTTTTAGTCTGGAAGTTTCAATTGTGTCACGCAAAACTGAAAACGGCTGTCGACTACATGCCAGGTCACACAAATTGTCCTGGGCGGTTCGATCAAGGTTTTGCCTTTTCACCTGTTCTGTCAGGTGGGCGCATACGCTGTTGTCTGAAATTCGTTTGTTTTTGTTTTGGTTCTGGCTTTGTTACTACGGCGAGGGAGGACCCCTGGCGCCTTGGCCTTTTGGTTCATCTTTCGAATGCCAGTCAGTCTTCAGATGCCTTTTCCCTCCATTACAAAGCAAATCCCCAAAGAGGACTCATTTTTCAGGCGGCAGCGATGCGTCCTGAATCTTCCCTAACACCTTTTGGCGAATTCGGTGCCCAATGACGCTAGTCTCGTATCACAATCTTCCTCTGCCTAGCTCCAGGCAATCACCTATAGTAGTCTCATTTGCCGTTTCATAGTGGGAAGATGTGGCATCCAAGCATGCCTCTACCGCCCCAGTCGCGGCGAGGAGTCAACGTCAGTCGAAGCTCTTGGGTTCGCGTACCTGCAGTGCTCCGAGAGACCTTGACAAGAATATTTTGCTAGGAAGTATAACCAGTTAGCTCAGCTTTCATACTGGCAGGCAACTGCTGGTGGTTGACAGAGCCTGATATGACTTACCCCTTCATTGCCCTGAACACACTCTGCCACCTTCCTGAGGTTGTCATGGTTGGACAGGTTGACATAACCAAAGCTGCGGATCAGATCACCGGCTTTTAGACCTGCTGTGGCCGCTGGGCTGTTGTCGACGACACTGTTGACCTTGGCGAAGGGCTGCTCTAGAACCTCAGGCACCGAATCTGGTAGCGGCGCGGACTGATCGGTGGGGATAGGTGCTGACTCCTCGTCGTCGTCCTTGATGCTGGCGAAATGCTCATGCAGGCGCTTCTCGATCAAGTTCATCAACTCCTTGTAATCGTTGCGAAGATGGATGATGCGCGACCTTGTTGTTCGGATTTGCGCAACATCGAGATCGGATCTGGGAAAACCATCGGGAGTAAGGAGGTTTGTGTTCATGTCAACGCCGTGCTGCACCAGATTCATCAGTCAACTGTCTTGATGAAGGCTGGATATGGATATGGACCAACCGAATCAAGCACTCCACCGAGGGCCTTGAGCTCCCCCTCGATAGCATCCTTCTTGCGCTGGAGCTCAGCAAAGGATAAATGGGCAGCATTGCCGTTGGAAACAGGAGCAGATGTCGGTCCCGAGGGGACAGTGGGCGCATGAAGGTTGCTCATGGTGAAATGTAATATAAGATTTCTATAAAGTGCAGGTAAGCTTCCGTTGTGAAGTCATGATGATACTCTCGATCTCAGACATGGGAGTATGTATGTACCTGTGTGAGTTAGTCTCCAGCGAATGACGCGTTGCGGTGGCCTGGCCGGATGGATGCCTCTGCTTCTCTGCTTGAGCCTGAGCTTCAGTGAGCTTCACTTCTTGCTTGCCCGGCCTGTTTGCCGGCCGTGTTCCACTCTTCGCCGGCCGCCTGTGTGGTGGTCGGGTGGGCCGAGGATGAGGTGAGCGGCGGCGCGGGGTAGCATTTTGTTCTTTGGCCCCTCCATGTTGAGTAATCTGACCAATCAAATCGCAGCATTCACCTAGTCGACCCGTTCGGACGGTGTTGGCCGGGGCTCCCTGGAATGGCGCCTTCCCACCTGTCGCAGGGATGGCCTGCGCTAAAGCAACCACAAGCAAGGGCCACAGGGCTTAGGCGCAGAAGTGGACGAGAAGAAATGGAGCGAGCGGTTGCTTCCTCTTTCTCGTCGTCGACAAAAACTCCCCTTACTTCAATCAAGCACACCTTCCCTTTGAGAGCAGCGGTCAAGGGTGCAAGGGCAATAAGTTCCGAGAGATGGAACACGGCATGAAGCGAACTCTTTTACTTTTTCGCAACCTCAACAACATCCTTCCCGCGTCCATGATCGACGTCCCACCGCTCTTGCTGCAGTGCTGCAACTCGCGATGTGCCTCACCGTCTCTGATCCCAGCTGAAGTTCTTTTTCAGATATTACCCGACCCACAGAGACAGGCATCTTTGTTTTCCATTGTTTACTCAAAAACTCCAATGGACAAGCCACGATAGGTAGTGATTGGCTCTACACTGTCAGAGTGTCAGTCGATGACCACCTCTCTGCCCCGTCTCTACACTACCACAATCCTTTCTCAGTCGTGTCTGTATGATGGATCCCTCTGGACTTTCTCAGCACTGCAGCGACCAGAGGGCACAGTACACGAGAGGAGTACCCGGTGGTCCAAGCCAAGAGATGAACAAATCCATAGGCTGACTTGAGCCACGTGTCGGCAGTGTTGCGGTTTCACGTCCGATTCTCGCAGCCAGCCTTCCGCTTTGATCGAGAACACATCTGGCCGAGCCCCCCCGAGTCCGCCTGAGTCCTCCCTTCCACTGCCTTTTCAGCTGGAGATCAAGACCGCCCAAGAAATATCGCTTACCATCTCGGCGTGCTCGGATACCCAATAGATCTAGATACCAATGGATTCGAAAAGGCAAGCATTGGTGGCCAGGATATCATCGATGACGTGCCTTGCGCTAGATATCCAAGAGTGGCTGTCCGCATCCCCGGCCGCCTTGTCGACTCTCGTTAGTACAGACAGTGGCTATCTCAACTATCTACCCTTACCTTGTCCTGCCTTTGAGACAGACCTTTCCAGACAAGGTTCAAGTTGAACCCGACCTCCTCTTCCCGTCCTGTGCTGCAGTGACTCTTGGTCGACGGGTGCAAAGTCGGAGTGTTGTTCGTGGTACTACCTCTACCTACTTCCACTTTGTCCCAAGGCAGGCACGAAGCAGGCAGGTCTCGGCCATTAACAGCAAGTGGAAAGCGGGCAACAGCAAAGCCGGCGAGGAAGCGACAAAGGACTCACTCCTTCCCGGGCTGTCCTGGACTGGGACTCGGACTGGACTAAAGAGGTGGGTGATGGAAAGCTCCTTCCCAATCAACCTCTTGTTTCGCCCACGGCATCTGGCGATAACGGACAATCTTGCACCATTTTCAAGCCGAGAGAAATTTCTGCCCCATTGTTTTATCCTTGATCCCTCTCAGAAAGAAAGACTTCTCTCTCTTCTTCCCCTCCTCGCAATGTTCCGGTTCGTGCTTCATCAGTCGTGGAAAGGAAAACGTTTCGGTGTTTCGCTTCTCCAACCTTTTTTGGTTTCTTGGTTTCTCGGTCAACTACTCTCTACGCATTGTGCATTATCTTTTCATCGTCACTGGGTCTTACCGCTGCTGCTTTGCTCCTCTTAAATTACCATGTTTTGCTAAGGGCCAGTGCATCATCTGGAACACTTCGACTAGGAGAGCACTGGTGCCCAGGGATCCGAGATACTATCTGTGGTGCTGCTGTTGCTGCAGGAGCACTTGGACTCGAGAATCTCCACGGTGGTCATCTGAGCCTCAACCAAGGTTTCAAGTTTGGAGTTTCGAGTTTTCCCTTTGAGCCTCATCAGGTCTGGTTCTGGACCCCTTCTACCTGTTCCTCTTTTTCTTTTTCTTGGAACATCCTCTCGACCACTGGACCCAACCCATAATGGCAGTTCCTGGACCCAGTGTCGATACCCATGTCGATCCCGTCACCAAGCCTTTACCGCCATCTCCTTCTACTCTACCGATAAGCGCCATTCATACCCCCTTCGACCCCAATGGAGACCCGCTGCCGTTGCTTTCACCATCAGTCGAGATCCAACCACTCTATCATGTACTGGATGATGCTACGGTTACAGGAGAGGGCAGCCTCGACTCCAGTCCTATTGTCGTCGTGGTTGAAGAGGGCGGGCCCCATGGGTGGAACACTTTGGATACGATACACGACTTTCAAGATGGCGTTGCACATCATCATGCCCTGGAAAGTAGCAACTATGTCTACCGGAAACCAACATCAGCACCATGCGAGCTTCCAGCCAGTAAACCTTCGAAACCGAACAGGCCGTTTCAAAAGTGGATCAAGACTCTGCACAAACGAGCAGTTCGCCGTCAGGAAGCCATGGGTAACGAGCATGCTTCCACGTCTCACTACTTCAATCTCGACGGTGCGGGCTCGACAGCATGGGGACCCGGCCACCATCGACAATCATCTTCAACTTCCTCTTTCGGTTTCGTGACGGCCGTCAAAAGCGCCAGTATATCTCTGACTAGTGCCAGCACTATTCTGACGCGCTCCCGGAGAAACACTGTTCGGTCATCCCGTGGCCACTCGAGGACAGAACGCAGCAGCAGAGCTTCTCTCTCCGGTGCACGGCTTTCCGAGGACAGCTATTGTCCGGAGCGACAGCTGATGGTGGATCCTGCGGCTATAGGGAGGTCATTGCAGAGACGCCGGGTTTTGGAGGAACTAATCAACACGGAAGAGAGTTACATTGGAGATGTGCGCTTCCTGATGAATGTATGTCACATCTTCAACATATCTTCTTCCATTGTCTCTAACCCATAACTCCTTATGTAGGTTTACGTTACTATTCTTGCTTCCCTCCCTACTTTGCCAGCCAGCCTTCGCTCTTCCATAAACCGAAACCTGAATGACATCGTTGAGTTGCACGAGGAGATGCTAGGCGACCTCCACAGAGCTATCCCTCACTCCGAGTATACACAACTCAACTTTCCTCCACAAGTTCCTTCAGCCGGCTCAGGGTTTCGTGGTCATCAGCGATGGAGGAGTCTGGATGCAGTACCAGAAGATAAAGATGGTATCTCATGGCTTCGGGAAGTGCCCGGCATGCTTGCTGATCCCCAAGTTGCTGCCGAAGTTTCCAAGATATTCACCAAGAAGATGAACCGATTCTTCATCTACGAAGAGTACGGTGCCAAGTACGAGCTGATGATCAAAGACGTTGCTTCTGTTCACAGGACAATGCCTGCATGGCAATCGTACCAAAAGGGCATCGAAATTCTGGCTTCCTCTCTGGGCTCGGCTAATAGCTACGAGGACAAAGAGAGAAAGAGCTTGACTATTGGGGATCTGCTTATGAAGGTAGGTAACACATCTCAGGACAAAATGCGGATGTATGCTAACAAGGTCTAGCCGATCCAACGTGTATGCAAGTACCCATTGCTCTTCGCCGAGTTGCTAAAACACACCCCAGAGGCAGACTGCCCATACTCTCATATGGAGATCGAGAACACACTTATCCGGTTGCGAGAGGCCACCGCAGAAATCAACAAAGCTACGGATGATTTCAAAATCAAGTCGACCCTAGAGAAGACATGGATTCTCCAAGACCGCCTGGTGTTCCCTAATCAGCAACTGGATGCAGCTTCAAAGAATCGCATTCGATCATTCGGTCACATTCAACTATGCGGAGCTCTACATGCCTGTTGGCAGACAAAAGAGGCGTCAACGGACAATACATGGTCGCTCTACTGTACAAAGAATGGTTCTGTCTAGCTACAGCTAGTAGGACAGATCAGATATACACAATCCAAGCTTGCATTGCTTTGAGCAACGTCAAGTTGGAAGAAGTGGACAACGGTCGAGGTATGAGATGGATACTGTCAGATGTCTCCATCCGTGTGAACCTCGTGCTGACGTATCTATAGGCCTTCAATGTCACACCGCGCCATATTCCTGGAAGCTTGTGTTTCTCTGCGACCATCAGTTGTACGAGATCATCTTGACAGCATGTACACCAAAAGAGGAGGGTGGAATGCGTACACGCCTCGGCAACCAGCAGACCAACGAAGGCCAAGATCAAATGCAACCGGCAACTTTTGGCTTGCTTTCGCTCAATATCAAGACACTGGGTGCTGTTTTTAGAAAGCCAGGTATGTGGTCACTCACCAATTAGCCTATGTAAAGGGAGAAAGAAGCTAACCACCGATTGTTTCCAGGAACCATTGCCAGAAAGATATCAATACATAGAGCGACCACTGTTGGACCGAAGTCACCGTTATTCCAAGTAATCTTGAAGAATACAAGTGTCATCAAAGATGCACCCGCCTCTGGGACAAGCTCTTCAATCAGCCGATCTCAATCCCTCCTGACTACCAATACCCGACTGCCAGTCCTTGCCCCATCCCGTGAAGAGCGGGCTCGACTCGAGGCTCTGCTGTCAGATGTCTGGACCCGAGACATCCTGCCCTTCCCCGGGATAACTGCCCGATCCCGAAGCGAGCAGCTAGTCCGAGCCTCAGCGTCATCCATGATGCGAAAACTCAGTGTGGTGAGCATTACGAGCAGCTTCACCAAACGCTCTGCTAGTTTGACCAGTCTCCCACGCAAAGGAGGGAGCGGCAGTAACGGCACGGAGGATGAGACTCTTGTCGGCTCAACTCCCTCCAAGGGCACAAGTACGAAAGCTCTGAGCAGAGTCTGCTACAACTCGCAGGAAACGAGCTGTTCTCTACTCTCCGTGATACCCGATAAGATCGAGAGACGAAGTCCCATGCTTCGCAGCGCTTCAGACTCGGTGAGCAAAGAGATGCTTAGTGTGGTACGTCGGTTGGACCGAGCGCGCGTTCGGTCAGAGAGCGAAACTGAAGGGACACGGATGGTTCATAGTGATATCTCGGGTGTCCTGCATCATTCGTCTGGAAACAGCTCAAGGGCACCGAGTATCCAACAGTCGAATCTCAGCAAGCAGTCGACCAGGGAGATGTCAGTCAGGAGGGGAAAGGAAAATGGTGGCTCGGTTGCTGACTCAGCTAGTGTCAGAGGTAGCGGGAATAGTACCTCGTCCGGTGACTCTGAGTACAAGGCGTCAGTTCCGAGGCCGGGGAGGCTGAGGAAGAGATCGAAGACGACAACGTCGTCAACAGCGGGGAACAAATGGCAAAAGGTCAATGTGCATAGGGAGGTTGTGGTACAAAGCTTGAGGAATCTGTTTCGTTGAGCAAAGGAACTCGGGAATAATGTTCATTGGGGCAGACAAAATTTCATGATAGGCGGTAGGTAAGGGTAAGACGGTTGGCATGTTTTTGGGTTGGGAAAGTTTGGTCGGATAAAAGCATTCTATAATACCCGCTTGTTTTTCTTCGCATGGTTATGGCTTTATGGTTTCACGAGCTTAAGAACAACAAACAAACAAACGGGTGTTGAATACCACCTCGGCGATGAGGTTATATGCTCAAGGATGGTGGTGATACTGGTGGGGAGGACAGATTGTTATCTCAAAAATTATCAGATACCCGGATGTCTTAATGGTAGTCGCTCGTTTGCTGGAGGAAAGATGATAGGCAGCTTTGAGCTGATGGAATTATGGAAGTCAACGTTCGATGGTCTGATGTTTTCATGATGATTCACAATGAAAATGCCGCCAATATGGCCCGATGTTTTCATGGGGATCCAAAGTGATGGTGTTTACTGTATCATCAAGAACCAGAATGATTCGGGACGGAGCATCCTCAATCCGATAGCCAAGAATAAGGCCAAGCATCTCACCGCCCGCAGATGGGTCAGCAAACGTTGGCATTTGTCGTGAATGCCGATGCCAGATGGAAGTCACTCGCGACGTGCCGTTGTCCGACTGACAAATGACGTAATTGAGGTCACCCAGAGCTCGGCTGCAAGGTACCAAGCTACAACTCGGTCTTGTGAGCAGTGAGCTCCTCTTTGTGGACAAGACAAAAGCTAGGAAGTGGAATTTAGCTTCAGGGACCCTCTTCAAATGAAACAAATTCCAGTTGGATCTTGAAAACAATGGAAGGGTAAGGGGAAAATGATTTCATTCTTGAGGAACTGTGCCATGGTTTACTTTGTACGAGAGCTTGGAGGGTCTTGGTGACAGCGCTGAAAGAGCTAAAAGATCCACAGGGCGGCAGCGCTATTGTGCGCGCTAGCTTTCAGAAACCCGCTGAAAATGGATCTGCGGGGCTGTTCCCGCCCCACCATTCCTTGCTAAAGTTGTGCCTGCCGCGATAGTGTGGAGTAAGTGTCGAGAAAGACCCACCAATTACATCCAATTCCCCGAAGCGTCACCTATGACGTAGTTGTTGTCTGTTTGTTTTGCTGGCTCTGGCTGGCCCAGCCAACCTTCGGTCAGTAATTCTGTCGTCTTTATAAGGCGCGAGGCAGAAACGGACAATAACTTCTTTTCCCCCTCTCTACTCTCTTCTTTATACCAATCAATCATCCAACGACGACGAACTATCACGACTTTTTAACGACTACTACTACGACGACGATTTGATCAAGTTATCAAGGTGAGTTTTCACAGCTTGTGTGCTTGTAGCACATCGCATCCAGTTAGATGCTCTCTTACCTAGTCCCATATCCTCGTTTAAAGGCGGGGTGGGTGGTCAAACGAGCTGCGATTGGGGAACTTCCATTCACTTCCTCCAGTTGGACTGAGGATGGAACTGCCTGTTTGTCACGCGACGACATTCACCCAATTCCCCTAGGTCTCCTACATGAGCAGCGAGCATAAAAGACCACAGTCGCACCGATCCTAGCAACATCGCAACAGCAACAAAACAGACAGCTAACCTAAACCCTTCCCTCGTCTACAGAACTTCACGAATTTGCTACACAAACACATAACCAAACCAAACCCCCCTCACAAATCCATCAAAATGCGCGGCGGTGCTACCGAGACCAAGGTCCACTACAAGGGCACCGGCGAGGACTTCCTTGTCTTCGTCGACTCCAAGGAGGACTACAACAAGTGGGTCGGCGACAAGTCCACCCCTCTGGCCCAGGTCGTTTCCGGCTTCGAGGTCTTCACCACCCACAGCCACGGCGCCCAGGGCCGCTACGAGACGGCGTCCAAGTCGACGCTCGAGAACGAGTTCGGCTCCACCGACCCAGAGGATGCCATCAAGCAGATTTTGGAGAAGGGTACCCTGCAGGAGTCGACGGTATGTTTTATTTCTCTTTGTCTTGTGATAACGTTGAAAGATCAGGACATGTGCTAATGGGAATGCAAACAGATGGCCGAGCGCCAAGGAAGGAAGAACGACTCCAACGGCGAGTTCATCATGAGGGGCGGCGGCATGAACCACTCGTAAACTTGACACGACCAGTCACGACATGACACGACACGACATTCTTGAGCGGGAGAGAATTTAATCAAGCGAGCTGGCGTTTTTGATAAACGGGCTGGGCTTGGGCTTCTCGGAGCTTAGGGGTTGGAGTCGAAGTGGAGTCGAGGGGAAAGAGGAGTAGAGTGAGGAGGAGTGAATTAGAGCAGCAGCAGCGCTTATGACGATACCATATTAATGATGACTGCTTGATTCTGAAGAACAAACCTTTGGTTCGACTCATGATGCGATGCGTGAACTGTGACGGGTGTGTGAGTGTTTGATGGACATAAGATGCCTTCGAGATGGATAGATTGGGAGGTGAGTAACAAGGGAGTCGAAGAAATATGAGCGGATTCAGATCCTGAAAAGAACAACTGGATGAGCTTTTGGACAAGATTCGGGAGGTGGTGCAGGTATTTCAATTTCTTTCGATATCACCATTGATGGTTTCATGATGTCCTGCACACCTGCGGCACAGCAACTTAACCACAGCAGCATCGAGATGCAATCTCGAACTTCATGCTGAACCCAAAACCATGCCGCTGGAGTTTGCATACGAAGAACGAACACGAATGCGAGGACTCACTACCTTTTCATCACTTTTCTCTCATTCAATAGATACTAGTGCTCACCTCCCGTCTATAAATACTCTTTTGGTTCCCATTCAGAATCCGAAAGCTAGCGAACGGCCAGTTATCCAGGCCTAGACCGCCAGGTTCGCAACAGGAAGCGATTCGTCAAGCGCGGCCAGTTCTCATACCCGCACCCGCCACCAATGCCAGTTGCCTGGTATGGCCGGCGCTTATGGGAACAAGCAACGTTAGATCTAGAGGACTGGATGCCACGAAGACGCCAAACGCACAATCACCCAAGCGACACGTGATTGAGGATGTCTCAAACACCAACATTTGAACGACACAGAAATGCATAACCATAGGATTGTGCCTGACGGCTAGCAGCCCCCGAAGGGATGACAAGAATGCGGCCAGGAGTGAAGACGTTGGAGCAGCCGATGGGCGCGAGCATGAGCGCAAGCATCGATGTGATAAGGTACCTACCAAAGGTCTTTGAAGCTGGTTCACTGAAGGAGCTGGATTTCGTTAGGCAGGTACTGTTCAGGGTGAGGCTGAACCCAGGCGGTTGCTGAAGTGCCGATGTTGCCCGATGGTGTCGCGGTAAACCGCTTTCTGGCCCGCGTGGCTACCTGGCGGCGGTAAGAGAAGAGTCTTGCTTCGTTAGAGGTTGCTTTGGTAAATGCTGTCAAAGTGTTGACATTGAAGAACTCATGCTCGGGAGACGTCTTTTCGAATGACCTGTTGACTGGAACATGGTGAATTGGATTATTGGATTGCGCTTGGGCGGCTCTGAGGGGATCAAGTTTGACCCGGTGATGAATTCAAAGTGTACCCATACACAGCTAGGTACGTAGGTAGGTATTTGATCCTTGGAGCCTGGAGGATTACAGTCTTCTTCTTTTCTGGTACCATCTTGTATGGCGATGACTGATTGGACCATAACTCACTCACTAGTCTTCTTTTCATTACCTTGTTGGTGACCTGCATCTGAAATACTGGTTGGGTGGGAAGGTCAATTCAAGGACGAATGAGGAAGGAAGGAATCTGGTTAATGGCTGTGAACTTCACTCCTCGGTCCTCCTCGGTCTCTTTAAGTCTTTGAGCTCGGACTTGCGTCTATCTCAGAGCACTGATGCAAAAAGCTGTGACATTGGAATCATGAAACTTGAAACTTATAGGTAGTTGAGAAGAAGTGGCGCAGTGAGTGAGCATGTAGTCTTAGACGCTAGACGCTGGAGTATGAATGACCGGTAGGTGAGGTTGGTGATGAATCAAAGTAGACCTTTCACCAAACTATGTGCTTCATCCATTTTTTGGTGTAGATGAAACTGATTCCTTTGGCACTAACACTCTACTCAAGTCAAAGAAATATGCCTCTAGTTGATCACTACCTGTTCATAAATGGTGAATCACGGAAGAGCCTCAACCCGACAATCCACCTCCTCAACCTGACAGTCCACTGTGACATCCACCTCCTCATTCCTCCAAAGATCACTGGGTGCCGACTTCCGAACGATTCTTGGTTGACATCATCCCATAGCATTCGATTCTCTCTTCACATAATTCAACTTCATCGATTGTAGGGGCATTATCAACACCACTATGACCCAATTACGAACATGGTTTCTCGCTTAGTGAAACCGAGCACAAAACACCAAAGGCCTGAGCTAGTGATGATGCCCCTGTCAGGGGCTCACTCACGATACGATGCCACAACACCACGATGCCAAGGGGAGTGAAAGATTGAACAGAAACTGTAAAGTAGTCCATAAGAACGTGGCCGCCCGCTCTTGACAAGAAAGGATAGGCTGGCGATGGCTTTCTGTCCCAGCTTGCTCATGGCTTTCTGTCCCAGCTTGCTCTGTTTTTTTTTTTTTTTTTTGGGGGGGGGGGGAGAGGAGATAAACCCATTCACCAAACTATCACCACGAGACTTGCTTGGTGCGTAACAAATTGTAGTTAAGAACGTAAAGTGTGTATATGCATTGTATTCTCTCTCTCCGTCTGAGCCAATGATGCTCTTCCATGCCCTATGGCATCACCTATTTACAACCCTCCTAAATAATGCAATCGTTATCATCACCATCTTCCCATTTGCCTCCATGTTCTTGCTCTTCCTTCTCTCGCGGGTATCATGCTTTCTTCATCCCCTGTCATAAAATGTCTGTAATCACAAAACGCCGTGTGGTATCCAATGCCAAGTCTGACATGCAAATTGATGCTATATAGATAGAAAACGATAGGAAGAAAGGAAAAGGACGATGACGCTTGCTGTGCATCGATAAGCCAAAAATATGTGTGAGTTGTGTATGTGCTGGTTGAGGGTTCTGGCTCGTATATACGGCCTTCCCTCGCTTTTGTGTTTACATCTCATAATGGCTGACTGACTGGCAAGTCAATCCCGCGCTCACTCCGGTTCTCCATGGCTATTTGGGAGGTCGCGTGTGATGATGAAGCTTGTCGATTCGGCTAAAATGTGATGAGTGTTTTGTGTTGGTCCGATGAGCAAGTTGTACAGAGTCGTAACCATACGTCAGAGAATGCTGATTGCTGGATCGCCAATATGTACAATTGTGGGTATTATACACGTCCGGACTTGCCACCACGCTGTGGTAGTGTCCATGGCTTTGCGCAGATCATCTGTTGACTTGAGTTAGCAAAACATGTCTCATCTCAAGATTATGACAGGAAAACTAACCTCTCCCTCGCTGTATGCCCAAAAGTACACACCCAGTCCAATCACCTGGTAAATCGCAGCGTTTGTCCCTTGGTAGATGAGCGCGGCAGCCAGGGCGGTAAGCGGAAGGATGGCCAGGCGGGCCTCGAGACTGCGGTGAAAGCTGGATCCGGCAATAAAACCGAGCGGCCACTCCCAAGCGATGAGTAAGAGTCCGAAGAGGAGGTTGATGATTTGCAGTATCGGTACCGGCTTGACGGCGGCATCTAGGGTTTTTGTGAGGAAATCCCAGAAGATCTTGGGCCAGAAGAAGCCCTCGAGTGCGGCTGCGACTTGGTCTGTGAGATGTGTTAGTCAAATGTTTGTGAAACATGTGATGGAAAGATGCAAATTGCCACATACAAGTTCCAGCAGCCAGTATAATGAGCCTCGCCCAGTGGTTCTTAATGAGTTTTCCCATGTTGATGACTGATTATGGATGACGAAAGACGATATGTTTCTCCGTCGGGTATCTTGGCTCAAAAGCAAAACTCAGCGGCTCCCTCTCGTTTCCAGCTCAGTTTCCCTTTTCTTCGAACTGACTTCGCTCCCAAGTTGACCTTTCTCTTCCTTGCTCTTCTAGTTCGGTATCCTTCGCAGGTGATGAAGTCTTTTCACACGCGCAATGATGATGATGATGATGATGATGTCGTCCAATCCAAACACTCTCTCGTATTATCCAAGCACAGACGATGGATGATGCAAATGCCTTTAAGTCCTTTTTTGTAGCGATCCAGCGCGTCAAACAACCCCAACTTCCAACAGGTACTCGATTCGATAGTAGGCAATGGCGAGGTCCTTTTTCGAAAGAATGGAAGCAGGTAATCCCGACCTGCGGTTTAAAGAAGCGAAGTAGTTGAAGGAAAGGGTTGTCGATGTGAAAGAAGGCTATCGACGTCCAGACGAAAAACAAACGCCGGCAAAGAATGGAATGGAGAGAAAAGAGGAAGGGAACCCAAGAATTAAGCGGCCGTGGCGGGGCCGGGACGGACTAATATTGGGCGGGTTTCCCTTCTCTTGTTGTGAAGACTGGCAGTTGCCCGCAAGGGCCTTGCACCCGGGGGTTCGGGAGCGACGTGTGTCAGAATCGACGGGGTGGTGGTGAGGTGGAGCAAGCTTCACCGATGATGGTAGTATGTAGGGTGTATCGGAATGTCCAAAGTTTCCCGTATTGCTAGTCGCTGTTGTTGGAGATCCAGGTTCTGACTATTCGGTCTATAGCAACAGCGGGCATCCGGGCGGCATCTGATGTTTCCAGGGGAATCGGGAAGCTTTGGTCTTTGTTTTGGTTCACGGCCAAAACAATGGTATTATGGTGAGGGTAGATCGAGGCACCTGGCCTGTTTTCGATATGACGGTGGTGTTGTGGGAGTGTGAAGTCTTTGGCGATGTGACTCTGGAAGACCGGAAGCGTCTGAGGATCGAGGAGACGAGGCAGTCCTTGCATGAATGAACACCGGTGTATGTGTTTGAGGCCGACAGACTTTTTAGGAGAAGGGGGGATAAAGAGTGTATGATCTACGAGAGTCTGGGACACATGCGAGTTTAAGAAACGACCAGGTACCACCAAGCCCAGAAGTCGCTTGAAGGAGGGGGTTTGCTGGGGGGAGGATCCATGGACCGACAAGGTGGTCCAGGTCACTCACAGTGTGGGGTGGTGATGGGATGGATCGTGCCGAGCTAGCAGCGAGTTACAGTAGCAACTTGCCAGGGCTGGGCATTGTCTGGGCAAGAGAGGAACAGGCCAGCAAGAGGCCGAGACCCATGAGAGCGCCTTGAGGTTGTGTGTCTTTGGTGGTTTCTGTGAGAGGTGAAGCCACTCGCCGCGTTGGAGGCGGGCACATGGCCTTCCGGGGTCCCTGGGCGGTTGCTGTTGACCTTGGTGGTGGGAGTGGTTCACCCGTCTCTTCGGGTCTTTTTCTGAGGAGCAAAAAAGGAAAGCATCTCATCCTTGATGAGGTAATGTGTACCATTCAGTGTTGCGTAGTACCCGCCAGTCTTCAAGAGAGATGGGCTGTGCCATTGTGATTGTTCCTCTGCTCTTCCACTGCATCTTGCCTTGGGAGATGAACAATCCGAGTCAAGTGGTTGTTCCCACGACAGCATTGGGTGAAAAAGGTGAGGGATTTGGCACCATCGAAAATGACCAAAGAATGAGAATGACGAGGCAAAAAGCCTGGGAGGCCATGAGAAGGAGGGAGTTGTCGTCGTCCACACAGAAAGAGTTCTGCCGTTCCTGGCACCTTCATGGCCCCGAGGTGCCCCGGCCGTCCGACGTGATTGGCGTTAGCGTGAGCGGTTAGCAGGCCGTGATTCAGCCAATCACATAACATCCCGCATGCTCTCCGCTGCCAAGCCTGAGCCAAAACAGGGGCTGTCCCATGCAATGTGACCCACCTATACACTAACGTTGAGCACCAGGGCCGGGATCTTGTACTTTGCGATGCCCGTCCTGTAACTCGACAGCGCTTCACCAGTGTCAAGTGACAAGGCGGATGCCTCCTTTGCGGTTGCCCGGTACTTACGGCGCTATGCTGCCATTTGGTTGAATATTTCTTCCGGGGAGCACTGTCGACGCATTGTGCTTCCGATATCACAGTTATTTTTGGTGGGCCAAGACGTGGAAGGATTTTTATTTTATTTTCCGCGAATGCACCCCTTCAATGGCACCTTTGCTTTTTAAAAAGATATATGTAGTCAATCATTTGGAATCAACGTTGACCTTCTAGAAACTTTGCGAACACGACGGCACAAGACAATTGCTTTATTCTTTGGTACACGTAGACAATGCAACATGGATGAGCTGAGACAGGCCGTTGTCTGGACTCTCCGACAATGGCGGGTTGCTGAGGCAAAAGACGTTTTGAGATGCTTGGCTCCCGATCTGGAATCCCACCCGAGCACAGACCACCAGTCCCTGGGCAATCTCTTCCTCCTCCAACAAAAGAGAAAGAGGCTTCTTCACCTCGCCGCTGACATGCCTCGTTCGTGCCTCTTGTCATATCTTGGTGTGCTTGGCTCCCCGCACGTTATTGGAAAGATCTTGCAGCAGGAGCCGCCCTTTCACAAGATTTCCACTTTCCTGAGAAGGCCACTCGAATTCGGATTCAGAGTTCACCGTTTCCTGCCAACCACCTCACACCCACACACCCACCAAACTCAAAGCTTCGTTTCGTGTATCACCATGCGGCGACAACACGATTGTATAACCTGGTACAACCACACCTCAAAGTTTGAGACTCTTTTTCCATGCATTCTGTATGCTGTGACGACTGACCCCAACCCATCGGATTTCTGTTATCGGATTAAATTGCATTGTCATCGATGTGTCTTTGCTTTTCATTGATACCCACCACCGCACTTTCCAAGTCGATCCGGTTAATTGTTTTCCAGAGTCTGAAAGTTTGGTTATGCCAATCAAGCCATCAAACTGACCTGGTCCATGCTTCTCTTCACTTTACTCCTCACTATCACATCGGCATTTCTTGTCATCACCTCGGCTGACCTTGATGACCTGAAAAGGTCTGAGAAGCGACTTTTCTTCACCGCTCGATAACGAGGTCAATCTTGTCGTCAGATAGTGGACCGATCCAGATTCTCCAAGACCGAGTTCTTCAGGGTTTTGCCTGGTTTTATTTTTTCTTCGCCGTTCTCTCTTCGGAATCTGCCCTGTCCGGTCTCCTCTTTTCAAAAATACACCCCGGCCACAAAGTTCGCCAACATGCACCACCTTGTCCCCCAGGCAGCCCCAAAACAACCCCGGTCGTCACGCTCTCGCAAACTCGCATATGCACATCGTGTGCTAGGGACAATCAACAATGCTGCCTCTGCACGCTCTGCAAAAAAGGGAAAACCCACACAGTAAAGTGCAACGTTAGACCGGGCGGTTGTGTGCTGCTCGTCATTGGCCTCGACTGGAGTCAATAGGCGGAGAGCCACATGGGATCCCACAGTGTCCCCGACTGCACTTCAACCAATTAGGGGTCCCCCATCACCTCTTTTCTTCTTGAGGCTATGAGCCTCTTCACATTCCCAGCCCAAAGATGATCACCATGCGAGTTCAGATCCTGTTCGCTGATCACAAAGATTGAAAAGTCCGCTAGTGCGGTATAAAATCATGTTATCATCACCGACTCACTCGGAGCTTTCTCCAACCACACACACTCCACCACTCATGCCGCGTCATGCGCTACTTATTTTACCATGGCTCCGGTCTTGGGATTTCTTGGGTCGTCAATTCGGTTCTCGGCGAGCTGATTGTTGCGTTGTTGTGATTGTGATGGACCAGGTTGTGGAGCAGCAGAATGGACAACACGCAAGACACCACCATGCGGTGATACCTAGTGGGTAGCCGTTGAACGAGCAAGATTTCAACGATTTTGTTGACGATGAGCCTATGAGAGTGGCATCCGAAGACGAGGAGATAAAATATTGGAGCACCGACCACTCGTTCTTGATATCTGACGAACGGCGTTTGGGTCTTCGAATTCGATGGGGTTGTTTATCTCCACAGCACATCGTCTCACCTCTGTTGTCAAGTCATCATGATGGTTACCTATCACGCCCAGAATGGACCGAGAGCTTTGGAGGCTAAGAAGCCAAAAGCGAGGTCTTCCCTTTGCCACCATACTACGCCTCAGCCGCAGCCAATATTTCTCAACTTCATGTCCACCACTGAATAGCTCATCATGGAGGATCATCACAAAGACGGTACGGTACGGACAAGCAATCCAAACCCAATCGCGGGATCTTCTCCTGGTCCGAGCCGTGCCCTCCATCCCCTTTTTCACTCTGTAATACCCAGTGGCGAAGAAGTGAAAGAACAATCGCTATTGTTCCATGCCTCAGCTTGTTGGATATCTTTCCAGCTGGCACAATAATTTGGCGGTAGTGCCGCCAGGTCCAGTGACCAAACCCGCCAGTCCCAGTGGGATGGATAGGAAGCGCCCCAGAATCCCAACCAACCGAACCCAGTTAGGGCCGGTGTGTGGATGTGTGGATATGTAGTCCAGTCCAGTCTGGCCTCGACCCGCCGGCCTGGCACCTTTTTGCCTCTCGTCTCTTTTGGGCTTTGGCGTGCCTCCTTTCCTTCCTCTTTTGTGCTCTCTTGACTCCCCGGATGATAATGTCGAATGTCTCGGGCGCCAAAGATAGTTCAGCTCAGCATCAACTACGTGTAGGGTAAACACGTGCTGACTTGCTCTCTAGCGTCGTCGTTGGGATATCATGACAGAAAGGTGTAGTCCACACCACCAGGCACGTGAGGCTAGAAAGTTCGGCGGTAAGCTGTGCCTATGGACTACATTAGCTCCTTGGTTTCCTTCTCGCTTTTCACCCCTTTGAAGCCGGATGTCCGATGTTGGAGGTATGCAGGTACAAGACTTCCTCGGCGCTTACACACAAAATCATATAGGCCAAGGA